GAAAAAAAATAGGTAAATGATAATGATTTTGTTTTTTTTTTTTCAAGAGGATGACCTCACAAGTATATACCGGGCCCAGGATCTAGGATGAAGCTACCGAATTTCACGCTATGTCATTAATATTAATCTACTTGTATTCTATAGCCAATAACCATATACTATATTATAATATAGGTGCACAAAATATATTTAAACCTTTAAAATATTGTATATTCTTAAAATACGATTGATCCTCGAGCAATATTTTAAATCGCATGACGTATTAATAAATTTAAAAAATGTGGTTCACGTATTTGGCCTTATGAAATTGAACAGTTAAATATGTGCTTTCCGGTAGCAACAAAATATGTAAACACAATAAATAATTTAATATCGATAATAATTAATAATCAATTATAGACCCGGCGCCAAAATACCCATTAAAATTACTAACACTGCTGTAATTAAGTTTGTTTATGTGACAGCTTGCAAGAGAAAGCCGATTAGAATCAATTATTTAAAACTGGTTGAATCGGTGTTCATCTGCAGATATCTAAATAAAATTCGTACCACTAAAAATATTAAAAAATCCAGTATCTTTGACACAGTATTATGTTACTGATGATAACATGTATGAATAATAAATAAATAGCTTATAAATACATTGAACGGGTTAGACGGATACTGCGAAAGAATATGCAGAGCAGGTCACTCAATTAGTACCTATAGCGTGATTCACAAACTGGTTCTATTTTAGGACTAAATACGCAGACAAAAGAAGGATCGGATACGTATATTTTTATTTAAAAATTAAAATTGAAAATAAAACCTATGTAACGGTGAAGTTATGAATTATAATTTAATATTAATCATATGTTTATTATATATTTTATTTTATTAACAAAAGGCTAAATGGTTAACCTACTAACAATAGTGTAGTGAATAAGGTATGTAATTTTAGAAGTTTAATATTTTATACTTTTTAATTAAGCACATTATATACTGAGTTATTATAAAATTCCTGTCGTAGATATTTAAATATTTAACATAGATGTCTCCACCATACCTATATATATATATGAATAGATGTATTATAATGTATAACGTATGTCATAAATATTAAAAAAATTAAACAGGATATCTATAACGACTAACGACTGTAACTCAAACCTCATTTAATCAAATACTTAAATAAATAAAAAAACATTTTATTTATAGTAATTTTAATCATTATATTTATCATTAAACCGTTATTATACTTTATACAATATTACGTATAAAGTATCATGTTTTAACTAAATAACCAAATAATTGGAATATTTTTCATCTCATTTGAGTTTTAAATTGTAGATGTCATTACCATAGTCAGAAACATAGGGAGGGGGTCTAATTGCTAATGTGAAAATATCTTCTATAATTGTGGTTTGGATGATAATATATCATAGTTGTTGCGTACCCGATAATTTTGTTATAAAGTTAATATTAGTTATTATAATTTGAATAATTAATAATTAAAGAAATATATATTTAAAGTGAGGGGAGAGGGTAAGAAACGTGCCAAAAACCCTCTAGCTATATAAATGGTAGATGTTTATTATATAAGTATGTAATTGCATCATACAATACCGAAACTAACATATTAAGCTTAGCCATACCACAATGTTCCTAATAAATAATACGTATCTTTAGTGATAATTTCCTACATATTATATTATAAGCATCAATAGATGCTGTTAAAGTAACTAATTATTATGATTATCGCAGTGACTAAAATATTCAAAATCAATTTATGCACTAATTCTGTAGACAATGTAGTAGTGTACTTTAGACAAACTGAATATTGGTAAATTGAGTGTGTCATTGTATTTTTCTGTGTTAGATATAATTATTATACTTATGAGAAAACGGTGTAACCGGTGTTATAGAATATTGTGATTTTGTATTTTGAACAAATTAGAATATTGTTGGCCTAACTTAAAAATGGACATTTCAAGCTTAACTGTACTTCCTTTTCAAAAAATCGTTGTAAACAACGGCGTTTTGAGACCTGTACGCTTATTATTATATACAGGCATAGCATTTGTAACTTTTAAGTAGGTTACTACTCAATTTCCGCATTCTCCACAAGACATATTAGACAGCGTATAACTGCAATAACTATATTATACAGTCTACCACCTGGCACCTGTGCATTGCAATATTTGTGCATGTGCATGGTATGTTATGTTTAAATACTCGAATGATATATGTCGTGTTTAAAATATCCCGTTTTTTTTCCAAAACCATTGTTTGCAGATTTCGGCCCACGAAAAATCAAAGTGGATCCGCTTTAGGATACGATTTACGATGGGGCGTGTTTAGCTTAAATATATACATTATTTTTCAGTCACCCAATTTTCTGTAAACACTACGATCAGATAAGCGATCCTGTTTTAGTCACATATCTCGTACGTATTATTATGCATAATATGCAAAATATATATTACGGTCGCAATCTTACACAGTATTATACAGGTACGTGTGAAACCGATATTAGATTATTATTACCTTTGGGCTATAGCCTATAATTCCCGTTGCCAATACGACGCTATAACGTTCAATAAAAATAGTGTATTAATAATAATAATATGTTAATGCGAATAGGTACAGCCGGTACAGGTGAAAGGCCTCCCCCGACGTGAAATGATAAAGATAATAATACCACAATCATCCGGGTGATGTCACCCGTGTGACCGTGCGGCGTAAGGTATTCGCGGTCCAAGTTGAAGGTCGCCGCCACAGCCGTTCCCGCAATGCAAATGAAGACAAGGTTCACGACTGCACGCGCGTCGCGTTTACTTACAAAAAACAAAAAAGAATTTATTTTTTTTCCATCTCTCTGCCGGTTTCGCGAGCTCATCAAACACGACTGAATATCAGTCGGGTGACGGGTATCGAATTCACGGGAAAATTAATACACTATATGATATCACGATATTTTATCATTTTATAATATGAAATAAAAAAAAATATCTGTATGCATGTGTACGATTACGTATACAGGACTGCAGCAAATGTCATTTTAGACACCAACCAGCACTAAATACATGCTGGTATTCCGTGATCCAACGGCACTTGATTTATTCTTTTCAGGAAATCCAGTGTTATCGCGATTATTCGAAAAGTGACATCCGAAGGACCTGCAGCCATCTCGAAGAGAAAAACTTTACATATTTTTTTCATAACGCGATTTTTATGCGTACCGATAAATTTATGTCTACAGTATAAAACTCCTATACCCAAAAATAATCTCATGATTATTTTATGATCTATTGTCGATTTTGGTAAATATCACTGTAATAGAAGTTAATCAAGGATGTAGAAATTAATTGGATAAGATTGCGTTCGGTGTGGTTATGGAAGCAATTCATAACACGAATTTCAGACATTAAATTTATTTTATTTTCAAGCAATATTGCTAAATCGTATGAATTTCATTATAATCTATACAACTAAAAATAATAAAATAAATCTGTCCAGTAAGTATCTGAAAAACGTACAGCTGATTGGTGGTGTTCATACTCTAACATAATATGACGTAGTGATACCCAGTGAAATTGATTTGAATAATTTTATATTTATTATTTACTATAATAGTGTTTTTTATTGATATAAAAATTATGAATGTGTAAAATGCTTTAAAATTTAAAACAAGTTTCTTAGTAAGTAATTAATTTTCCAATTAAAAAATGTCGAAAAATTATAGTTCCGATATTTTTATATTAACATCTAAATTTAAAATTTTGACAAGTTTAAACCTAAAATTTAAAAGCTTAATACAATAGATTATTTATATGATTTGCAAGCTATATATAATATATATATATATACATATAAAAGAAAAAAATGTTTATCAGAAAAATCAAATAAATTATTTATGACTGTTTGAATTTAAATATTTTTTGACAATGGATTTTTACCTTGATGATAACTAATTTTTCCCAAACGATTTTTGTTTTTAGTTGTAATTCAATAATGAATACTCGTATATGTTTGAAATGTTCACAAAATATTTGAGCTTTGTCTATTTATACCAAATTGTCCAGAGTTATACAATAATTTTATATAGTAATAATTATCATTTTTCAACATCATAATATAAATTAGACTAAAATCATTAATAATTGTGAATCTTTTCAACCTTATTTCAACGTGTCATCTAAAAATTTCACAAGTTAAAATCATATAAAAAATTTTAATATCATTATATAAATATAAAAACAAAATATTAATGCGTTATTGATATGTTAAAATAATTTATTTAATTATAATATCACTGGATAGCCTCCCTCCTTTAAGATTTTACTATGCACTTATAATTAATTTTATCATATTATTTCATTGTACATTAAGCATAAATTGTTAATTTTCTTAGTAAAGATTATATTGTTTTGGAAAAAAAAAGTAAGTATGGTTAGTTATTTTTGAAATAAAAATGTGTACTTATTATTGAAAATTATTTAAATAAATTATAGTATTGACTATTATTTGAAAACAATATGTATTATTGACAATTACTGAATTAAAAAAAAAAAAAAAAATGTGTACCTACTATTTATTAATTATATTAATTATTAATTTGAAAATAATTTATATAATTGATTATAATTAGAAAAATATACAGGTTTTATTAACTTATTAACAGTTATTTTAAACAATTTGTGTATATAGGTTAGGTAGACATCTATATAAACATTTGATATATTTGTTTTGCTATTAGCATAATCAAATTCATAGTGTATAATAACTTAAGAAACTTTTTAAACTAAGCACGCTTTGTGTGTAAGGTAGTTTTATAAAGTATATTGTAAAAAGATTATAGTTTAACATCGATTATTTTATATAATATTTGTACTACAGTGCGTATTTTAATTAAATAATACTTAATTTGATAAATCGTGTTTTTATTGTTTGAAAATGTGTATTATATACATAAATACACGATCTTACTCAGATAATTTGAGTTTATTTCGTTTAATTAATATCCAATAGTTATTTATGGTGAATATTGTATCAGTAAATTGTATCATGGTATATTATGAACTTTTATGGGCCATAAAAAATTATTTTCATTCTACGCGTTCCATTATCACAATGTTTTATTGGCCAATTAATATGTTCATAGAAGGATAATGCGATCGTATGTTTTGACATCTAATACTATCAATCCAAAGCGTTTTTCTTTTGATACGTGAATCGTTTTCGAGTTGTGAACGCGCTTCTTGCAAACCCAGATGCCCCGTTCTGGCACAGTGTAATTGATAATTAAGCGAGTTTAATTGTTCACTTATGTTTTTTACTTCCAAAATAAGACTAAAAGAAAAAATAATATTATTTATTTTCATTGCATACATTATAGGTTTAAAATCCATGTAAATAAGGGTTTTTTTTGTATTTATATAGAACTAATGCAAAATACCTCAATTGTGCATTATCCTTTACGTTTTCATCCTCTGGACGTTTCAGCCGATTGTGTAACCTTGTTTCAGCAGTTTTTTTGGCATTTTCTATATTCGTTATAACGCGAAGGAGGTTTCCGATTAATTTTTCCGAATCACCTAATCGTTGAACTACCTAGTTCATTTTAAATCAATGCAAACAGATATTTACAATTATAAAATGTATTAAAACATAGATTCGGGTTTATACACAGCTATATGTTATACACATTTTCTTAGTTAACTTTATTACCAAATAAGTCTAATGTGTACATAAAATGTTAATTAAACGACGATTTACTTAAGCATAAATTAAATATAAATATCATTCCTATATTTTTATTATGTTTTGTAGTCTTAAATTATAACACATAATGTATACAATTATGTAATTCATAAATCGTATTTGATTAAAATTATAAATGTAAAACTACTCATTAAAAATAGCATTCGTATTAAAGTTGAAAAAATCAAAGTATGAGGAGGGGGGAAATAATATAGCTACCACAAGTCCTATTAAAGTATGCAGTAGAACCTCGATTATCCAAACTCCGTTATACGAACCCTCTATATTATCCAAATGTTATTTCGTTTCAATTCATGTATTCGAACGTCAATGCGTAAAATATCATGACGCACATGCCCGGTTGCAATTTACTATTAGTATGTAGTATGTATATGTACGTAATTTAATGACGTTTAGATGCACTTTGCACAAAAGCGTGTAGTAGCAATTCGTTAAATAAAAATTGATCAATTTGTCAATAAAAAATAATAAGTCTATAATATTTAATAATATTCTTATATTCATATTAAGCATTAACATTATAATATGTAATGTGTAATAACAAGTAGGTGGATAATATATAATAATATCCTATATTCAATTGAGGTTCTACTGTATTAAGAAAAACTGATTGGTTTCTCGCCTTCGACACATCAAATAAATTCATATTTGACGTGTCGGGTGATGTAAATTACAAATTACGAATAACTGTAACGAAATTAATTTTTAAACAACATCAAAATAACTTTTACCCTACGAAATAGTGTACTTATATTATTTTTTAAAAGTAATTTACTAAAATATACTTAATAACGTTTAAAATTATTATAAATAATTGACTATTAGTGGATAATACGAGTCTTATATGAAAGTAAAATACGACGTTATTGTATAAATATACGAACATTGAACTCAAATCGACAACTTAATTAATAAGATGCGTAATCACTTCAACTTGTAATTATTTACATTAGAGTCATGTAATGAAAATTGATATTTAATTGATCGTAAAATTTAAAATAAAAATTTTTAAAATACGTACCTATTTAAAGAATAACAATTATATACGCATCATTTAAGTGAGTTAAAAACATAATAAAAATTTAAATAAAAAACATTTACTTAAGTTAAAGATAATTTTATTAATAAACACCAACATTTAAATATATTTTAATTAATTGTGTTGTAATTAACTATAACATGTTTTAATATATTTAATTTGAAGTTCTGATATTATTATATATTTATATCCAACTTCAGTAAATAATTAGAGTAAACTACTTTGTTATTTAATTTTATTGATATTTTTATATTTCTTTCATTGTAACGTAAAATAGGTACTATATGCGCATTTTATACTTTTTAATTTCCTTTAAAAATAAAATGTAAAAAAAAAAAAATTATAAGAGAGCACAAATTTATCATTTATTGTTTTATAATAGATCTAGATCTATTTATTATTTATACTTTAATATTTAATAAAATAAAATTATATCGAATATCGATTTTGACAAACGTGCAAAATTAAATAAAAAATATAAATATCTTGTCTTAACAATCAAATTCAAAATAAGAATTATTCCGATAATTCTATTAATTTTTATATTATCCAGATTTAAATTAAGAGAATATATTATATTCATTGATAGTATATTTTAAATTCATTAAATGTAAATTAATTTAACATTAACTATTCCAAATCAGTCCATACTCACTCTAAGACATGGTTAACCTGTATATTAATAAATAATAATTTGACCCAAAATTTTATCTAAACTTAATGTTCGTTTCATTGTGTTTAAAATTTTTGTTTTTAAAAATAATTTTATCAACTTAAACATAAAATTAATTATTTAAAAATCACTCCATCGACAGATCTAATCTTAGGAACTACAACAACGCGATTAAAAAATCGAATATCAACAAAATTCTAATTTATTGAAATAAATCTCTCAGTCATCGAAAAAGCAAAAACTTTTTACAATATATTTCAATCTTGTTAGTCATCATAATTAATCCATAAAAAGTTTATTTATCTCAACTCTACCATAAGTTCTTCGCTGTATTCAACTAGATAATAGTGATGTGACTTAAATATTTCATGTATTATTAGGTATTTATGTTATACTCAGTATAGAAAATACCTCTGTGTTGCTTCTTTAACCAAGTTTTACATATATACATTTTGTGATCTAATATACTTATTGTACGTTTGAATATTTAATAGCGATGAAGTATTTTATAGTTTGAGAATAACATTTTATTTTAAAATTATTTATTTACTTGTTTTAAATCATTTTCTATTGCTTGACCAATTTGTTGTGTATCGGATATGAAGCGCGCTAAAGCAATATCAACTTTATCAGCTTGATCTCTCAATCTATTTGCGCTTTTCTTGAGTACATCGTCGACTATTGATCTCAATTGTTTTGATTCATTTAAAACTTGCATACCTTCTTCATATAAACTTTTAGTAATTGTTTCCCATTCTGGTATTGATAAACAAGTGCTAAAATGAATAAATAAAATAATATATGTGAATATTAAAATTTGAAAATCATATAATACAAAGTATTTTGTGCTAACAAAACGTTCATACTTTTCAGAATCTTTTATAACATTTGTATGTGACATTATGATAGGCGCCTGAATATTCAACCCTAAATTGATAGTATCGATTTTAAATGATTGATACTTATCACTCCAATTTTTTTCTAATCGAATCTTCATTTGTTTGTTGCGCTCTAATTGAACTTCTATCTGGCACAATGTGTCACAAAATAAATTTCCTATTTCGGTAATTAGTTCCTTTTCCTATTTATACATTATTAGAGAAATTGATATATCAAAAACTTTAACTGAAATTGAAAATAATACTTTAAGAAGTTCCACTTGTCCAGGATCTAAAGTGTGATCCATTTCCAGTCTAAAAGATCGTCGTTCTAAGCATTCAGTAGATATAGAACATATAATACGCAAAGCCGTTTGAGCTTTTTGAATTTTTTTTTTACTTAACATTAGTAAATCGATTTCATTTTGCATGTTTTTTAAGACTTGAAACATGTATGTTCTCCATCTATCTATGTTTCTAGCCGTACCAGCAATTTTATTGGTACTATCTAACATGCATTTATCCACAGAACCGGATATAGTGTTTATTGCACGCTGTACGTTATACTCGACCCTAAATTTATATGTGAATATCACGTATTATAATCAAATAGTTTTAAAATAATTTATATTTAAATTATAAAATCTTACACGTTTAATTGATGATGTCCCTGAACTGATCGATTTAGTAGTACTTCGTTGTGCTTTTGCCATTGGAGAAATGAAGAAAATGTTTTCTCCTTTTCGGGATTATTCGCACAGATATTTTGGATGATACATGGTTTGTGGATGATTTGATTGTTTATTTGAGATGAATCATTTGAAATCATATCACACATTGAGATCTGATGGTTAGGGGTTGACATTTTTTCCATGATAATGAATTATTGAAAAAAAAAATAATCTAAAAAAATAAGTATTCGAAAGTGAAATGTCTTGATAATAATATTTTTTAGTATAATTAAATTATTACCTGTATGTATTTTGAATTTAAATCACTATTAAAATATTTTAATAGTTAAACCAACACATTAGAAATAATATTTTTTCTTTTTTTGCTTATGTTGGAAGTAAAAAACCTAAATGATTAATTAAATACGCTTGATTATCAATTACTGTGTGCCAGAACGGGGCATCTGGGTTTGCAAGAAGCGCGTTCACAACTTTAAAACGATAAACGTATCAAAAAGAAAACGTTTTGAATCGATAATACTTGATGTTTAAACAGATTTAGAGTTGTATAAGATTTAATTAAGTAGGTAGGTATTGTTAATTATTATATTTTACTATAATTTACCAGGTATTGTAAATTAATAAAAAATGTATTAATTTATGTCCAATAAAAAATTTAACAAAGAATATATACTATTTGATGCTATAATTAAGATTTAAAAAATATAAAATGAATTATTTAAATCACAATTCTTGAAGGATATATTTACAACACAAGATTTTAAAATATTAAACAACTTACCGATTTAACAGTCAATAGTATCGTAGCAACGTAAATATTATCTTATAAATAGAAATCAGAATTATATGCATTAAACATGATGTGTTAAATATGCGAAGAAAATGGATCAAACAAATAATTGTAACCTATATCATAAATGTATACTATTAAAAAATAAAAATAGTTATTTTTGTTTTAATTATGTTTTTATTTAAAATCAAAAAAAAAAAATAAAATTAATTTCAACATCAGAGAATTTAGGTAGCAAAATATTTCAATATATAAAAAATCATCATTTTAGTTTTTGGTTACAAGTTTAAATACATTAAACAAAATAAGTTTCAAATAAAAAAAAAAAAATAAAAAAAAATAACTAAAACAATTCAAACATAATAATGAGACAACAACTCAAATATGCAATGTAAACAAAATGGACAAATACTAATTTGTATAGGTGCATCTTTGAAAAATTAATTTTTAATAATTTTTGTTATAAAACAATACTTTTTTTTTTGTAAATAGATAATAATTGAAAATTTTAATTTACAGAATTAAGAGATGAAATGATTTAGTTATTCATCAAAATTATAAAAATATGCACTAAGTACTAATGACAAAATATGCCTTAACCTTTCAAATAGGAAATTATATGCAAAATTAGTCTATGGAATCAGTTCAGTTTGAAATATCAAATGAGACATTTTTAATCCTTAATATACTGCATTAACTCAATATGTATATGTAATTGTGTATAGTTCCGGTCACTAGTTATAAGTTATAACTTTATATGGTAAAAAAAAAAAAAAATAATAATAAAATGCAAATTTGTTGTAAATTAATAATAATTACAATCTAGTGGGTGAGGTTTTAATTGGTATAAAGCTATAAAACCTATGATTTAAAAAAAAATTATGGCCATGATTTTAAACGAAATAGTTGCTTTTTATACGGAACCTATAGTTCAACAACCTAAACAAAAATCTCTGATGTGCTTGTAATATTGCATATCACATTAACAATGGGGCGTTTTATAATAAACAATATAATAATTTTTATTTTGTACTAAGTTTAAATTACCGTAATCAATTTGTACAGATATTTTATCATTATAATAAAAAGAAAGTATTTTAATTTGTTAATTCTCTTCAATAACCATAAACTTTATAAATGTTTTTCATAAATACTATTTTAAAATAGTTAAATGTTATTATTTTGAATATTAGTTTCTTCCTTCTAAAGTAATTATAAAATTATCCCACTTTTTAAGTTGATTCTAAAAAAATGATATAAATCAATGCTAAAAGATATTTGTATAATATAAGAATAGTTATTCTTTTTTAATAGATTAAAATATGTTGTATTTATACTTAGTTAAAAAATTTATGATTATTAAAATTATTAAATTTTGAAAATACTAGAAATTTTAAATTTTTATCTCAAAAATACCAATTAGATTCATTTAATTATTAGAAAAAATATTAAAAAATTGAAGGAATTTTTCTACTCCAAAAATTGAAAAAGAGAATAGTTATAAAAATCAAACTCTAAATTATTTACATCGAATATGGAAACATGTATTGTTCTAATAATCTAATAATTGAATAAACACGTGAACTTAAAAATGGACAAACTTAAACTCTATAATTACATATTAACTATCAGACATATAGTGAATAAACAGAAATTATTTATAATTTTAAATTTAATTTATAAATACATTTTATTCGAATATTCAATTAAGACAGTCCATAGCTTTAATAAAAACTAAAAATTAACTACCTAAGTATTTAATATAAAAACATAAAGTCATATTTAGAAATTAATTGAACAAAAGTAAAAATTAGCTTCAAAATATCAGTAGATTAATTTATTATGTTATACAGGTAGTTAGTCTTAGACAGCAATTTTGTTTATAGATATGTTTATTTTAATTTTTTTTTATCCACTTTATGTTTTTAATGTGTTAAACTGTTAATTACTCTCTAACAGTTTAATCATTATTCATTATATTAATTAATTATTTACTATACACTTACGGTGCAACATTACCGTTTAATTAGCTATTCACACCATGAATGATATATTTTACTATTATATGTAGTATATCAATTGTGGTATAACTAAACATCAATGTTTCTTGAGAATGCTTAACCTTACCTAAATTTTATTCGACAATTTTCATATCATTACATTGCTGAAATATTGTTTAATTTGAGTAAAATTATAACATTGTTAGTATCAAAAAGAAACTATAAAATACATTTTGAGTTAAAAACAACTTTAATTAAATTATAATTTCTATGAACAATTTCAAAATTTACTGAACAGAAAACAAAACAAAACAAAAAAAAAAAAAAAAGCTGAAAATGAACTTAAATATCATAATTATTTTATTTATGTATTTTTCAGATATTTTTGCATGTAAAAGTAAAAATTTTTATATTTATCACTTAGTGACAATTCCACTCCTATCGGATATGAATGAACAATATTATTATTGATGATTTTAATCATTTTTTCGTCTACCATCATATGTTTATAATCCATTCCAGATATTATATGGACAAATGGTGGGTTGACACAATACTGCAAAAAAAAAAAAAATTAAAATAAAATAAATTATATACAGCAAACAACCGTTTTTATCTTTAATTTTAACTCCGGAAAACATGAAATAAATAGGAAATTACTTAGTAAAACTTACATCTTTCAAGTTGGTGCTACAAAATTTAGATGTTTTTTCATATCTAAATAATACAACTTTTGAATGTATTTTATTCGAAAATGGCTTAGTCTCTAATAATGTTTGTAATCTATAGCGAATAGTATTTAAAGCTTTCTGTGTGTTTTCTTCAAATAGTTTTTGATAAGCCGACATATTTATCAATTGAAATTCTTCATTATATTTTTGTATTGAATTTTTAGAGAACTATATAAATTATAAAAAAATTAATTTTCAACTAAAATAAATTATTAAACGTCAAAATGTATGATATGTATAAATACATTTGATAAATTAATAATCAACAATTTCTTCTTAAATTTAAGTAGCATTAAAATTTATAAACTTATTATACGATACAATTAAATTATATTTATATTAAATTTATTTGTTTACCCACATTAATATACTTACATGCATCATTTAAAAATATCAGATTTACTACTTTAAAGTAGATATATAAATATTGTTAATGTTAAGTTTTAATAAATAAATGTATTTTTATATTTACCTCACTTGACAATGAACCATAAGTTGTATTAAGTTTTTTAGTAATATAACCGTTAGATAGAAATTGTTTCGCACACTCTGTTAACATTTCTGGATCACCTTCTAATAATGTTACAGTAGTTAATGTTCCTTGTGCTTCCAATATTTGAGCCATTTTAAGTGCAATGGTACCACCCCAAGATTCACCAATTATAGATACATATTTTTGATTTGTAATTTTTTTAAGTTTCTGTATTTGAATAAAATATAAATTAGTTTAGTTGTATTTACACGTATTAGTGCATTTATATCTTACATTTACTAAATGTTGTGATACTTCATCGATTGAATCGAAATCATCGGAAAATTGAGCTTCGAAAGCTGGATAACTCAGTTTTTCATAAAACGATTTCATAAGTTTTGGTTTAAATCCAGGTATTATGAACACAGGTATAACAGATTTTAGCTGTGATAGTCTAGGACTTCTTGTCGAAACTTCAAAAAATATTGTTTCTTGAGCTTGCACATCATTTAAAAAATGTAATTCATCACTTGATTCAGGGAAAATATTTGTGATTATACTATTAATTTGTTGATGGCCTAGTAAAAAAAAATAATAAATATTTATTTTAGAATGAATATATGACGATTCTAAAAATAAAATGTATTTAATACATTTTATAATTTTCATGTATGACATCATAGTATAATATATATATTACATTATATCTATATTTAGTTTCGTATATATTTATTTCTTTAAAATATTGGTTTCCACCACCAAATCCGGATTAAGAATGATTAAGGGTGGTAAGAGGGAGAGGGGAAATTGATTTAAGAGCTTATCTCTTTATTTAAAATAAATTTTTTAATTAATTCACTGTTAAAATAACTTTCAAAAAATAACATTTTTATTGAAATTACGAAAAATAATTAACGATAAATTCATAATAAATCGATATTTGATAATAACATTATGATGAGGTTGGTAAAAAATTAAAAATGATAGTTATAAACAATATAGTTCAATGTAATTCATGATAATAACATGTAATTTATTTGATTACATTCAATAATTTTTTATATTGAACATATTTTAGTTATTAATTGATATTAGATGTTTTTAATTTTTACGTGTGAGATAACAATATTTTATATTACTATTTTACTTCTTACAATATAATCTGTTACTGTTGTTGTTGTGTTGATTACAATATATATTTTTAATCAGTATTTATAGTTACATATAATATTACATAGTTATTTTATTTTAATTTCAATTTTAAAAGCAAAAATGTATATAATTATGTGCAACTATAAAAAGTAGAAATTAAAATTATTTGAAAGAGAAAATGGTTTTAGATTGTATGTTGAATGGGAACTACCAAGTGCATGATGGTACCAGGTCAAATCGATCTTTAATCCAGGCAAATCGATCATGCCTTTATAGTATTTAATAAATGTATTACCATCTGATTTAAGGGCGCCGTGTTCTGAGCAAACAAATGACGAAGACTCTACTGTGTATGATTTTTGTAACAAAATATCCAACGAAGGCAATATTTTGGATATATTTGTTGGTTGTGAAGACATTCCATTCCAGGAAATATTTATAGCGTTCAAGCCAATTGATTTAAGCTCAGCACAAATTGAACTTCCATTACTTAATAAACATACGAACAAAGATGTTGATGTTCTGTTCGTATGTTTTTCAAAAGCATAACGAAGGTTATTAATTTTATTTATATCAAACTATGATAAAAAAAAAAATATATATATATATTTATACAAATTATAATACTCTAAACTATTACGTATTAATAAAAAATTGATAAAATATTTTACAGTACCTGATTGAGTATAAAAATTGCACCTAAAATATTAAAATTTGTCAATTTATTTAACCAGTTAAGCGATTTTTCTTTTGATTTTAAATGTAAATCTGATTCAATGTGCACAGATACGTTTCGTGAGATGAGTCTATCAAATCTGTTTAGAAAAATATAACTATAAAAAGTTATATTCATTTGACGCTTATATATAACATTAATAAAAGAATTTACTAACCTCCGACAAATAGTAGATGACATTAAACACCTTTTAACAATGATTACAATTTTTTGAGCACCTCGGTCAACTAGCCATTCAGCAAAGTCAAACCAATCTCCCCTATTTCCTGTAATTTAAAATATATTTTAACAAATTTAGCGCATTGAATAAGTAGAAAACTATTTACCAACTATTAGATACGTTTTATTAGGATTACATTCATATGGTTTATATTGAAGTTCTTCTCTTAATTTGGAACTCTTTTCAATAGTATTAATATTTTTTATAGAAAGTATAACTTTTTCAGACATAGTCAATGCCGGGTATGATCTAAGTTAAACGTAAATCAATATAATGTTATATAGCTAACATAGATTTTGTAGTTATTTACCTCATTATGTCAAAAATGTTAACATCGCTCAATGATTTAGTTAACACACGACTGCGGAAAGGCTTGATCACGCCTCTATTCAATCCATCCATGAATATTTGTTTTATAATTTGTTTGTTTTCTACACTTTCGTTTAACAAATTGTTTGGACTTACAGCGAAAAACGATGTGTTTTGCAAGAATATTCGCATTCCTTTTAAATCGTGAAAATTGTTTTTTACAAATCATATAATTCGTATAATAAAGCTAATAAGTTAAATATAATGTTTCTTTACCTATGTATCTTTGATTTTTCATATCTGATTTTGAGAAATTAAAGAAACTTCCATGACTAGCTAATGCACGAAAAGCAGCTTCAAATGATTCACCACTCAAAAAGTTCAATATGAAATCTATTCCTCTGGATTTGGTTATCATTTTTAATTGAATATCAAATTTGTTATTGGTGTTTATAAGTATTCTTGACCGTAATAGCTATAATTTAAATTTTATTTCATGATTTCTGTTTATCGTCACTATCATTAATAGTTTAATACCTCTGGGAAGATACCAGATAACTGTTCTACTTGTTGTTCTGAGTCTACTACAGCATAAGTCTCACATTTCATACCTAAACTTATTGCGATTGCAGCTTGGCCTATTGGATGTAACCCCGAAGTTACTAAAATAGAATTATCCTTTTGAAGTTTGCGTAAGATGTTAAAAATATAATAACTCTGAAACGATGGACATTTAATTATTTTATTTTTTTTGTTATTAATTTAAAGTTAATCACCATGGTGTATGCCAAAGGAACAGTGGTTGCTTCTTCTAATGACCACGTCGGTGGTATTGGCCATGATAATATTGGGTCATAAATCATTTGAAAAGATTTTTTTTCTAGTGATGTTATTCCCATAGTTGTCTCGTTATTATTATACCCTGAGTATTCCAAAAGTCCGAATTCATTCTAATTAAAATAAATAAAATATTATATATTTAAATACATCGCTTATATTATTAAACAATTACTTCGGTGTTTTCTTCAACAACTAAATCTTTGAAATTCAACCCAAGATATTTTACTGTTAATTTGTTTTCACTGAAATTATGTAATATAGTATACAAAAATAAATTTAAAATTAGAAAATGTATTAACACATTTTACTTACGTATTTGCAATGAAATTTTTAAAAACTATATTTTTGTTGACCTTAATATCATACTTTAAATCTTGAAGAGCGATTCTTTTATAATAACCCCAACCGCCATTTTTATAAATATTTACCATAAAATCTTTCAATAGTTGGTTTGTATAAAATGTGTGATTGGAATCAAAGTCTGGTGCGTTCGAATCCAATATAAAGAAGAATCTAACAACAATAAACGTATACATTTATATATCTAATTTTTTTGATGTCAAAGTTCTGTGTTGTGTGCTCACCTTAATTTCTTTGATTTATATTTTTGTAAGACTTCATTAACATAAACGTTAATTCCTTCCAATGGCTCAGATTTTGAAATTATATAAATCCTGTCTTTTGTTGAATTATGTGTTTCTAATGTTCTCCAAATACTCAAGTCATATCCATCATTTGTTGGTTTTATTGTTATTATGTTCTTATCTACAACAATTACCTAAAAAAAAAAAAAATATAATAATATATTTCAGTTATTATTTTATAACAAATAATATTACATTTACCTTTTTCATCAATCCTAAATAACAGTTATTGTTAAATTGTTGTTGTGTGATTATTTTCCAATCTTTAAGATCTTGAAGTTTTTTTGATGAACATACTATAATATAACTGCATTTTGTATTGATTAAAGTTCTTATAGTATCTTGTAAGTAGTTAACATTAGTTACTGTGACAAATCTTCTAGATTCATTATTTTCTGGTGTGTTTTTAACGTCATGCCAGTTTAAGGTCTCGTTCTAATGGTTTTATTTAATTTTAATTTTAATATTATATAACATATATTATTTTAAAACTACAGTAAGTACTAGTTATACACCGAGGTTAGGTTCCTATAAAATACGACGTTAATTGAAATAACGTTGATTGAAACACTTTTTACATACACTTTATTATGATGGGTTTCTGCTAATAAAGAACAATGTACAATGTACATTGTACATGTTCCTTATTATTGCGCGTAATTTAATTGTTTGTATTAAATTATATTAAATTATATATTATATTAAAAATTAATGAAAACTTATAATCAGATTGACGTACGTATTTAAAATTTATTCTTAAAAAAAATGAAAAACGATTACGGAGTAGATACTATATTACCTAAAATAAATAAAAATAGTACCTACGTATGGTAGGTATGCTAATCAAAACGATTATAGTATTTTCTAAAAAAAGGTTGACAAAATTAAATTACAAAATACATAACAATTTGATGAGTAGATTATGTATTACAAACGACGTTTTAATGAAAATGTTGCATTGTTAAACGAAACTATTTATATAACACAATATCAAAACAACGCTAAATGAGGTGACGTTATACAAGCACTTACCGTATATTCATCAAGATAAAAATACTTACATTCATCGATAATTGATTTTCAAAGATTTGTTTAATTGTTTTTGTACATAATTTAACTATACAATCGTCAAAATGGTACGGAATACATAAAATTAGTTTTTCTGAGGTCCTATCTAAATTATCTGTTATTATATTTATCGAGTCGTAGATGAATTGATTGATGTTCTAAAATTAAAAACAGCATTAAATATATAGAACAATAACCTACAACAGGTTCATCTAAAATTAATGCATTTTTTTCATTTATTTATTATCATTCCATTAAAAATTGTATTAGTTAGGTAAATTATAATCTTGAGTTTTTTAAGTATACAAAAAAATTGAGTTTGAACATTTTTTGGATATAAATTAATAATTACTATACGCTATAGTGTTAGTACTCGTATATTATTACAAATATTTTTTGATGCGTAATATGTATATTGAAACATTTTTTGTTCCATACCTATGTTTAAAGATATATCTAATTAGTTGTATTCGTGACAACTGTAAATTGTTACCACAATCATTTTTTATAAACCATCAATACTTTTTATCACCAAACAATTTACTTTTTAATTGTTTTCTACCTATACCATCACTATCATTCCGCATCTCCATAGTTTATGAAGTATTTATTAACAGTCTGTGTATCTTTTTCTTCTCGATTCTTATATAGCCATATAGGTAATGAATATCTAAATTTATTCTTCGAGTGTTAATTATGGTAGCTCTATTAGTCAATTTATGATTATGATAATAATGATTTATCATTAAATTTGTTAATGGTCTTAGATTTTGTTAATTTGGCTTACAAAACCAAGAATACAAAAAAAAAAAAACTTTTTATGGTTTCAAGTGAATTTTGTTACTGAGAGCCACTGCGATAGGTTAGACTAACTTGCTTGAAAGTTATGATAAATTATTGTATTTGATAAAACGTTTCTGAACGATGTCTTAGCATGATAAAATTATTATAACTATTGTTATTAATTAATAATTTAAAATGACGTATGCTTGATATTCATAATTAAACGATAATATAAAATGCAAGAATAAATTTGATTTTGTATTTAAAAATATAGAAACTAAAATATCTATAAATTGCCTGAAATTGCGAAAAAAAATAAATTATTGTCAATATGAAATCTACAATATGGTGTTTTCTGGTTATTATTGATAATTTTTCATTGCGCATTTATAGAAAATTCTATTTAAATTCTATAGAAGACAACTATAACTAGATGACTTTGTTCTAAATTAACTGCAATTCATGTATAAATTGTATATAATATTTGTGTATAGATAAATAAAATATTACTTTGGATTGTGAACGGTTGAAATGAACAAATGTCTCTTCTTGTACATTTACAATTGAAGAATTAATCATCGGCAATACTGAATGCCCATTTTTTATATCTATTATTTTTATTCCTTCACATGTTATTTCTCTAGTTATTAAGTTGTAATTTACACATACATCTTAAAACAAAAATATCATTGTAAACTAAGCATTGGTAGTACATTCTAGTAGATGAAAACTTTTAATCATAATGTGTGATGTATATATTACCTTTTTCTGTATTTTTTTTGAACATTGTTGGGTTTATACTAATATGTCTGATAGAAATTGGAGTTTTTATTGGATCTGTGTCTAAATGTTGTAATATAGGAAATTTAAATAGGCCATCAAGAAAGTAAATCCAATCATTTTTCCATTTTATATTTCCTTGAATATATTTTTTATAAATATTAAATTTGGTTATATTTTTGAAATTTTCCCCTAGATTGAATCCATTGTTTTTGAATATTTTATATATTTCATCTTTTAGTACACACTCTTGGAAGTTATCAGATATTATATCAGAATCTATTATTTCTTCTGTTTTTATTTTTAAATGTATATTATTGTTTAAAAAGTTTATTTGACCAGAAAAAATAACCTCATCGTTAAAATAGTATTCAAAATGACCAGATCCCCATTGAATCATTAAATTTCCTTCAGCTACATCTATAAGAATAAGAAATCACTCTGTTACAATAGACAATCCTGAAATTTAGTACTTCTAGAAAATAACAATATTTACTATATGGATGAACTTTGATATTATTTTTAAAATATAGATTATTGAATTGAATAGATTCTTCAGAAAACGTTTTAGAATTAATTTCAACAAACATTTTCCAAACATTTATCTACATAAATCATGATAAAATCACATGAAAATATCAAAAAAATATAGGCCATACAATTGTTTAAAATATGTATGGTACAATAATTCTCTTACCAGTATATAAGCAAATGGTATAATATGAACACCATGGATTTGGTACTCAGTTAGATGAATACTATCATTGACTAGTATTGAAGTAGTTCTTTCACCAAAGAATCCATGAATCTAATATTCAAGTAAAATAAATGAAATAAATATATTTTTAAAATAACTTATAATATCCAATAGAAATAAAAATAAAATTATAATATAATTCAGATGTGTAAAAATTTGAATTTTAAGTGTAATATTACTTGTGAATTGGTAGTCACGACAGGTGTCCATTGCTCATTATGGTCCCAAAAAGGCAAACTTTGAATACTGGGAGTACCTCGACTAACAGGAAAAGTAACTTTTGGATAAATATCACGAATTTTAAGATTAACACCATTTATATACATCCTAAAATAAATGTAAAATAATAAAAGATAATGTAATAAAATAAAATATGGCTGCATATCTAAGAAACGATATTCTGGCTAATAAATAAATAATATTATATTAAATAAAAGATAATTGACTTGTCAGGTATATAATGATTAATGTGAAAATAATTTAAAAAAAAATCCTAAAGATAACGAACGAGAACTTACTTTCCAATAGAAGTAAGTAAGAATCTAATTGAATTTCCGTACATTCTCTTTGTTAGAGGTATATTGGTTACTGATTCGGGTAATGCTTCTTTTAATATTGATTGTAGGAGACCGTGAGGAGCAATTTCAATTACGATAGCATCACTGGGTATATGTTTCAGAACGTCTTCGAATAATACACTACTCAATAGATTGTTAGTATGATATTCTGGAGAAGAATATTTTGCAAGGTCAGATTCCCATTTTGTTTCCGGCAACGAACTGCTAATCCATTTTGAAGACCTTTTTTTTGGTACTTTAATAACCTAAAAAAATGATTTTATTTGCATGCAGTTGAAATTAAAATAATATTAATTTTATTTAACTAACGTCTTTCAAATATTTAAGCAGAGTTGGTCCAGCGGATTGAATATATCTACTGTGAAATGCAATGTTAGCAACGTTGACGGCTTTTGCAAAGATATTTTTGGATTTTAGTTCTGACACGAATTCATTGATACTATCAACTGGACCTGAAATTGTGCAACTAGTCGCACTATTATGACAAGCGACGTCGATGTCATGTGGGAGTTGATCTTTAATTTGGTCATATCTAAGTCCTAGACAAAAGGTTTGAAAAAATAATAATATTAAAAATATTTTGGTGGTTTGTTTTAGGTATTACCGATGGCGGCCATCATTCCAGGAATGAGTTCTGTTTCTATAGAAGCTCTACCTCGGGCATAAGCAGATAATATCATTTCTTCAGTCGTAAAACAACCATCTGCGTAAGCACATCCCAATTCTCCAACAGAATGGCCTATAATTCCATCAGGTATAATGTCTAATGCTTTCAGAACTTCTACTAATCCGATCTAAAAAAAAATATGAATATAATAAACAATATTTATTGCACAAATTAAGCCATTATTTTATTGATTTAAACCTGAATCGCAGCAATTCCAACAAAAGAATTAAGAATATTATCAAATATTTTTGAATCTTGTGTGGTTAAAATGTACTTGATGTCGACTCCTAGTGGTTTTAGTACACTATCACATTTATTTATAGAATCAGCAAAAAGTGGAAGTTTCATAAGATCTTTGCCCATTCCATGCCATTGTGATCCCATACCGGAGAATACAAACCATATCGGGCGTTTCTTCATATCAACATTCTATAAATATTATTTTGATGTCATATTTTTTATAACGAAATATTAATAACATTTTATTGCACGTTATATAATTGAGTTACAATAATTATATTAAGTAAATATGAATTACCAAAACTTCATCTATCCGTGATTCATCTAGTACAGGGAAAATAGAAAAACTTCTGAAGAAATGAGCATTGATATTTCTAGTAAATACATCATTGATCAATGTTATATATTCCGGATCATTTCCATGGCACTTGATCTAATAATTGTATTCAGTAAATATATATTTATACTTAAAATACAATTTTACGCTGCATAACATTATTATGAATAATTTAAATAACATTTAACTCAAATGTTTTATTACTTTTTTTAAAGTGGCTCTAGTATTTTCTTCATTCCGTCCAGATGCTAGTATTAGTATTGGTATAAAATCATTACTGTTGATATGTTTGGATATCTGTTTTTCTTTATTATTTTTTTTTAGAATAACATGGCTAAATGAATTTAAAAAACCGAAAGAATTGATTCCGATAATATCACCATTGAAAGGAGTTTTTTCATTAACTACCTGCATGATAAAATTATTAACATTTATATATTTTATGTACACCGATTGAAGACAATACTTTTTTTTTATCACATAAATATCATTATTACATAATCCTTAGATATTATAATGAAAAATTTAACCATTGTAAAATTTTACTTGAATTTTTCCATTTGTTAATGCTGCTACACTTTTATTTGGTTCTGAATAATTTATGTTGGGTGGTATGTAACCAGTTTCTAGTACAATTATGGCTTTTACAATTGACATAAAGAGACCAGACACTTCACAATGACCTATATTACTTTTCACGGAACCCACTTTTAAAGGTGTCTTTCTATTTTCACTGCAAAAAACTTTTTCCATGATATTTAATTCCATAGCATCTTCAGTCTAAAAATTAACCCAGTTTTACATTAATGCATATTTTCACTTAGCTATTGCTAATATCTAAATGGTATAAAAAAATTCCGCAATTAAATTTTTTAAGGATTGTATATGTATAATTTAAAATTTATTAACCACAATAAAATATACATATTTAATGATTTCTTCAATGCCTTTGATGTAGTGATTCAATATCAAATCAAGTATATTTAAAAATAATATTTCATAAAAATAGCAATATATAATACTAAACAAAATTAATAATGAACAATACGTTTTATTTTCAACCATAAGATTTGATTAAACAACTATTTTTTTTGTAATAAAATTTTGTTTATATAAATAATACACAAGATACCTACGATTTACTTCCTAATTTTTAGTATAGAGTAATGAGATTTTTAATAAATGTATATTTATTAAAATTTTTAAATTTTAAATTGTTAATGTAATCTTTACAAACAGACGTTTTTCCAAAGACTAGTTAGTATCACCTTTATTCCGGATCCGTAAGCTTCAATGAATTCTACAGAATCTGGATCGATATTAACTTGTTTATAAGAACCCAACAGTAAAGACTTTAAGTTATTTTCATTGTGCTCAGTTATATGTCCGTCGTGATCTCCAAACTGTATTGATTGTACACTCAATAACGTTCCATAAGAACGTTTGGCTTCAGATGATTTTTGAAGATACATAACAATACAAGCTTCTGATCTGTTATAACCATCAGCTAAAAATAAAATTTGAATTAAATAAATTTAAAATAAATACTAAAATATTTAATCATCTTGGAGTGTGTGCCCAGGTAAATATAGTGTTTGTTTTTATAATTTATAATGACTATATTAGTTAAATGTAAAATATACTCTTAGCTGCATCCCTAATTAAATGTAAAAATAATCAAAAAAATACTTAATTTTAACGATAGGTAAAATATGAGTCAACTTGAATATAATATTATATAGTTTTTCTTATTAATTTTTCGTTAAAAAATATTTACCATCAGAACTGAATGATTTTGTTTGGATATTTTTATTTAATCTATTCAACCCTTGAAATTGGAATTGTATTTCTGGTCTTAAAGTCAAATTCGTAACTCCAACAATTGCAGAAGATATGAATCCATTTTCAATCATTTTTTTGGCTTTTTCTAAAGCATTTGATCCACAAATCCATCCTCCATCCATCGTAAAACTAGGTCCTGTATTAAATTATTTGTGTGTCAATTAGATAAATTATTATTTTTTTTAATATAGTACGTTTTAATATACCCGTTAAATTTAAAATGTATGAAACGCGATTTGCTTGCATTGTTCTACTCCGTCCCAACATTGAAAACGCTGCAAATTTAGAGGAGTCCAACGTAAACATTTCTGTTTCACTGATAGCTGAGCCGGAAAATACAGCTGTATTTGTTCCATGTAAATCTGCTGGACTCAAACCGGCATCAAAAATTGCTTCAATTGAACGTTCTATATATATTCTTGTCATTGCATCCATTGCTTCAGCCAATTTAGGATGAGCACTGAAGAAAGTTGCATCAAATTTGTCAACGTTTTTTATTTTTCCGGTTCCCGCAATAGCACCAAGTTCGTCTATTTAACATAATATTATTGAAAAATAAAAATAAAAATCGATAAAGACAATATAAAAAAACTGAAAAGTAATTATATACTTGGTTTCCATCTTCTTGAATCGATTGTTACTCCATTGGTTTTGCTGAACAGCAAGTCTTTTAACTCTTCCATCGAATCGCATTCAGGAAATACTCCTCCAATACCTGATATTACAACTTCTTCTTTTTGTACAGCCATGGTTTATTAATTATTCACTACCTTACAATAATTATAAATTAATAGCTTATTATTTATAAAAAAATATAAAATATGTATAGCAATAGAATCATTATACAACAAATTGTATTAAATTGAAAATATAGAAATTTTATTTAGTTAACTAGATCGTAATTGTTTAAAATATGTGTACCATATTAAAATCCATCCATGGAGGTGTTATGGGCTACGAGATATGCTACGATAGTATATATAATATAATATGTAATATTGCTAGAAGCATAATAATCTATTATAATTCATCATCATAATGGCAGTTGTTAAAATGTCGAGGTCGTTTAAATGTATTATTACAATTCCACAAATTGCCACTTAAGAACAGAAGACATCCTGGAGATTATTGTTTTCAAATGTGAAAACAATTCTAAGAATTAATATGAATTAGAAGGTTGTCGACTACAACAACAAGAGACTTCTTTGTATATAAGGGAGTCCAGAGACCAACAAAAGCAGATGTACCAGAGCCACGAAGACCTGAGCAACTTCACGACATTTGGCCACTTTTTGTATCAGTTACATGTACTTCATTTATACGTAATAAACACATTATTGTTCTTAAGAGTTGTAAATTTCATTTAAATAACACCCTGAGTCTGGATCTGATATTGGCACGCAACAGAGGACTAAATGTATTTTTAAAACTAGAAAATATATTTTTTTTAATTGTTGGTTTTTATAATACAGCAGAAGCCGCTTATTCACGAATAATTGATAAATAAATCGGATTATTGAAACATCACATCGGTTTTTTTGAAACAATTAGGAGAAGGTCAGTTGACATATACACCGATTATCCGGCAATAACTAATGTACTTTAATCTTATCTTTGCTGTCGTTACGTTTATTTTTACTGAACTTTATCTTAAGAATACTCTTTTTGTACGCACTGACCGTACCATTTGTAGTTTAGCTTTATCGTGCATACGTAAAGATTATTAGTGTTTCGTTTTTCTAAAAATTTAAAAATGTCTAAACGCTAAGATTTTAGCCAATTTTCGTGCGGCCAATCATAGTTTGAAACTTATTAGACCGATTTGCTAGCCCAATACTCACCCTCTGATATTTTCGATGCGGAAAAGACTGGGATTTATTTTAGAGCTTTACCTGAACACACATACGCACTCAAAATAAGCAACAAAGCAAAGGGGCAATATTACTCGTATGAAAATATGGTCATAAAGTTACTCGACGCAAAAAAACAAATAACGTTTGTTAATATTTTAAATAATATCGTAAAATATATACATTTGTACATACTTTTTTAAATTATACAATATAGGTACATACATACATTTTTTTTTCGCGTACCTATCATTCATTTTTTTTCAAACGCTCATTAGAAACAATCGGTTAATTAACACATTTAACCTTGGTCCCAAAGTGTTTCTAATAAGCGGCTTTTACTGTATAAGAGGTTATACTTAGGTGTTCATTTAATCGTACAGATTAAAGATGTTAAAGTATATGAAAAGTAGTTATAAAACGATCAATAAAAACTGAAACATGTCAGTTTATTTTTAAAGAAATTCAAGGCTACTTTTTTTTGCTACTATTTAATTTTTTAGGAAAAAACGATACATCATTGAATATTCATTCAAACGTACAAATTAACATTATTCAAACGTTGATTGTGGTAAATCTGGTAAGAACTTATCAATGTCCGAATGAACAAGTGAGCAATACAGGGTTTTAAAGTTAATGATATTGTTAGAGTCGCGGCACTACCATCTAACAAATCATAGCATATAATATACTAGTGTTGGCCATCAATAAATTTTTAATTATCAATATCGTTTTTCTTTTTTTGACATCGTGTCACTATATTGAAAAAACATCGATATAGATTTGCATATACTTATTTATAATTATATATATATTAATTACAAATTATTATGTATTAACTTAAAAGTTTATCTAAATGTAGAAAATGAGATATAGAAATAATAATATATGTATTTTTCAGCTTACGATTTTTCTTCTTCAAGTAGTTTTTCTATCAATGTTTCTTTGAAATATATGACAATATACCATAATTATTTATTATTTAGTAGATAAAAGTAATAGAAGGGTATATATAAATATAAATATGTAAACTTTATTCGTATTCCGATATCGTGATATTTTCGATAATTATTTTTAAAAATTGATATCGAAATTATTAATGAAATACTCACGATATCGATATCGTTGGTCAACACTACATTAATATGCATATGTGTACTAGTATTTTATAAATAAACAATCAAACAATTTTCATTGTTATCGTACTAAAGAATTTACATATTACGTATGTAAAAGTTTAAAATTTAATCGAATTCAATAGAAAATTATGAGCTATTATTATTATGTTGTTCCAGAATGAAATTATTTATAACATATATTCGTAGTAAATGCATGCTATAACGGAAACATAAGGTCAAAATTAAATTATTATTTTTTTTTTAACTCATTCAACATATTAGCATTAAAATCATTATATTATATTAATAATAGTTTCAATTAGCTTTGATACCACACTCTTATTCATTTATTTTTTTTCAATACAATTTTAAAGTTAATTAATTTCATTGTTTAAATTTATTAATTATTTTATAATACGATATTAAACTTTTAGCAAATTTATCCTACTGAGTCCAACAAATTTTACTATATTCATATAAATTCTAGTATTTTTGTTATGAAATGCAAGCATATTAAGTATTAACCCTTAACTGGTATTGCTTTTTTATTTATACGTATGTGGTATTATTGGGCCTTATTGGACCTCAATATATTTTGAGAGTTTTCAAATAACTAAAATTAATTTTAACTTTCAATCTTTTTTAATGTATTTAGTCAAAAATAAACACCTGAGTGGTGGTAGATAAATAATTCATTATTTATAATCGATTTGTGTATTTTAGATAAATGCTATTTACCTTCTGATTAAAATCTATCAATATTTATATAATTATATCTGAATTCTGAGAACAAGGGATGAGTTATGCATACTCCTCGCTATACGCTATACTCAAAAACCACATTTAGTAGTTTGTTTTTTTTAAAATTCATATTAGTAAAATACTTTAATACGTATGATAATAGTATTTTACGTCTATTTATTTAACAACGATGTGTTTATGTGTGTGTGTGTGTGTGTGTGTTTATATTGTGTACACAATCAGTAGTCGGTAAAATACTTCAATTTTCTCTTAGTATATGGTTTTAGATAGAAAATTAAATTAAATTTGTACATTAAAAAAGTCAAAATTAAAAATTTCAAGTATTTTTAAAATTATCTGAAAAAACAAACCATCAATTAAGGAAAATGTCTCTCATGTATCTCATATTTTTTAACTCTTACCTACCACAAAAATTACAGTAATTTCATCCCAATTAATATAATACTGACTACAGCCAACTCTTTAAGAATATTTTGATTTTTTGTTGATGACTCATTCAGGTTAAAAATTTTAATATAATTGAAGTTCTCTTAAAATATATTTTGATGTAGAAATTTAGTTATTTTATTATTATGTTTATTTTATATCAATATTAATTTATAAGCTTTATACTGTGTTATGTGTATGTGCTGCACTGATATACTAATATACTTTCCTATACCAATAGAGCGTATATTATATTTTATACATATAAAATATATATATAGTTTATTGTTATTTTTCCAAATCAAACAAACTTAATTTGTTCTAGTGCAATATTACACTAAAATATATCGGATAAATCAAATAACAAGAATTAAAAAACAGACTAAAAATGGTTACAAAACTATGTTGCTTCAAAAATTAAATGTATAAAAAATAATTCGAGTTAGGTACATACGCATACAGGTTAAAATTAAAATGTTGAATGAATTTTTCACTGACTTAAATAAAAATAATAACAATATTTATTATTCATTGTTGAATTTTTCTAAAAGATATTTTATACTGCAAGTTAAAATTTAAAATAAATTATTTAAAAATGAATTCTTTAACATATTATAAGTTTAATTTTTGATACACAATCAGTATTCATTGAGTAAAAAAAAAAAATTGACGTTAATAATTTTTATAATATATTTAACGTTATAGTTTTTAGACAACTTGATCCCTAATAAATTTACTACTGCCTAAACTTAGGTATTTTTAAGATATATGTACTGTTTAGAGGTTAGTACTTTATATAATATGTACAACATGTATGTCCACACATGAAATTCAGATACTTATCATATTATGTAATATAGGTATATCATTTTTAATTAATACATTTTTTTGAAACTTTTAAAATATAACACGTAACCTAAACTGTAATATACTGAAAAAACTATTACACGCTACACTAAATAATGGTATAAATAATCTTAACATATTATGACATAATATTATAATAATTATTAATTGTCAAATTATAAAAAAAAAAAAAAAAAACATTTACAGGGTGGAGTAAAATCTTTTACTAAATATTACGGTAAGCTTGACGTAACAAAATATTTTTAAAATTAGATACTTATTACATGTCATATTTTTAAACAAATGATTATTAATCAATCTATAACTACATTAAATATTATATTTCTCGTATATTGTGAGTGAGTATTAAATTAATCAATTTATAGGGAAGTTACAGCGGCCATAGTTTATTTTATACATTCCTTAAAATAAATAGATACACGTACACTCACTCAAATATACAAATGTAAGATCTTTCTCAATAACACCTGTAGGTAGATAGTATATTTTTGTTTTAAATAATAAAAACTCACTAATCAAGAACAAATAGTCTCAAGTCTGTGTAATTTGATTATAAATAATAAAAAAAAAAACGAGTAAAAAATGGTTTTTATATTTGTATCGTAACGTTACCTGATTTTGAATTTGTAGCAAAACCGTTAACAAACGTCTGACACTTTCACACAATTGTTCTGAATGTAGACTTCAATAAGACTTAACTATATTCATAATATCAAACAGGAAATATATTTATTTATAATACCCTAACATCATAAAACGCATAAAGGTCAAAAGTTAAATGCATATTGATATACGTAGATAGTTATTTTTACCTATCGAGAGCACAAGTAATATTTAAAAAAAAAAAAAATTACAATATTATAATTTATAATAACTCAACAAATCCCATCATTGTAAACATAAAGTAAACACTAATTATCATAAGGATTTATTTTTAATTTTAATCATACTACTCTAGTACATTATGCTGAGAAAGGCTGTATATATATATATATATATATATATAAATATTAATATAAATATAAATATTGATGAGTACTAAGAAAATACATTTTTTTTGTCAATAATCTATCAATTAATTTTTTTGTATAACAATGACCTAATTCAATGTTTTTAGTTAAATAAAAAGTAAATAATGCTATTCAAATTAGATTGTACAATAAAATTACAAAATGATTCATTGTTAATTATTATAGTCATCAGGTAGTAAATTATTAAACTCCTACTTAATAAAAAGTTTTCAAACAGATACATAGAAAATAAAGGTTTTAATATATTATGTTATAAAAAACAATAAGATATAAGATTCACAATGTTTTTTGAAAATTAAATACAATACTTAGTTGTAATACAGGTATTATACATATTTCAATAGAAAAATGGTAACATCGGTTTCGAATTATTTAATTTTCTTAATTGATCGTGATGTATTTGTGTAGTAACCGTATTGAACTCAAATCGCTTATTAAAATACTTACATCTCACTTATAATTTAAGTACTTCTACGTTTTAATCAATCGTCAATTTTTAATGGCAAAAAATATAAACACTAGTTGTTTGTAATTTAGCTACAGTGAATGTATTTCTTAAAATTTTAAAATAATACTTGTAAAAAATAGTTTCTAAGGTTTTTAAATAACTAACGATTTATAATGTGAAAATGTTTCATATGATATGTACCAGGTATTTTTTTATTAAAAAAAATATTTATTTCAAAAACTATTAACGTTTTTTAGAAGAAAAAAAAAATTTGGAGAAAATTAAATTTTTTATTTTTTATTGTTACCAAATTTTAAGTTTTTACTTTTATCAATGACAATAAAATTCTGGGTTGATTTGGAATGTGTATGATTGTATAGATAGTCTTTAACTTTTGATCTGTATAAAACCGCCTAAAAGTTTAAGATCGAAGATTTTTAATGCTCTAAAACATAATAACAGCTACAAAAAAAAAAAAAAAAAAAAAATGGGAAAGGAATTAGGTAACTACTTAGCTGATTTGATATGGAATATTTTTCATCATTGTGAAAGTAATTGTATTAATGTATTTGTTTAATTCAAATATAATGATAGATCATATCATATAAATAACTATTCTAAACGGAAGTCATTCAGCCTATATTACTATCTATAAGTACTTATATATTTTTATGATACACTTATATTACTATTATTGTAGTTTTCTTTAAAACAATTAGTAATACACACATATACAATAGAACGATTTAATTTTGAAAATGTGATTGTGTGTATAATATATAATAATATTTTTAAATATTTTAGCACAAAAAATATTTAACCCATAAGTAAAAAATAACTCAAATGGTTACTTGTCGTTTTAATATCAAATTTCTTTCAATTTGTTAGTTTAATGTCTATAAAATATTTTGTAAGTATAATATGTATATATATATATATTTATTGAATTTTTTGTTTATATTATCAACTACTTAAATCAATTTGTAAAAAAATGTTCCTATTTTATTTTAAAATTATTAAATTTTATTACTAATTTATTTATCTTGTTAACTAGTTTTATTTATTTATAAATTTATCTTTTTATGTATTTGTATTGGTAAACAATTACCCACACTTTTATATTTTATTGTTATTAATTATTATCGTAATTGTCTATTTTTATCACAAGTTATAAACTTACAGAATATAGGTAAATCAAAAATAGCATTCGTGAAATTAATTTATATTAATTTTTGATTGATTAAAAAAATAGGAAAATTAAAAAATAATATTTCTCTTTTTAATAGTTCATATTGTAATAAAAAAATCTAAAAATATTCAATAAAAATTATTTTATTTTAATTCAAAATATTATTTGAGGAAGCTTAAATCTAATAAACATATTATGAATATTACTATACGCAATGATATTTTAAAAATATGTTGATTTACCTCGAGATATTACCCATTTATGCCATGCACTTATTCATAATATTTTATGGTAAGGTGGTATTGACTAAAATATCAAAAGTTAATAATAACACCTAATATAATATGATATAAATATATAATATTATTTTAATAACTGAATACTAATGATTTGATAAATATAATGGTTTCATTAAAAATTAAATTAACATGCCGTAATACTACTAGTAAAATAAATAACTTCAGTAGCTATATTAAAAACTCTACCGTGAAATATACTTAGTAATATATGCTAATAGACTGTTTCTGCTTAGAATCATTTTTTGTATACAATGATATAATAATATTTAATTTAAATTTAAGACATCTATTACAGATTCACTTGTTTAATTTTTAAAAAAATATTTGAAAATATACTTTTTTAATATTATAATCACAAACAAAAGGTTATTTTACCTAAATTATATTATAAAAGAGAAAATGTATCTATAATTGATTGTATATTATAAGTATAACGTCCATGTGATATCTTTTAGTAATAAATGTATCAGAAATATACCTGTTCGGGTCGTACGGTGAATGCTCCCCTTTTTTGCATTCGAACGTAAGACAAATTGATTGTTTTATTTTAATGACTTAAACAACAATTTGTGTTACACTAAATAAATTTTATTTATTAGATTACAATTTTGAATATTTATTTTTTTTTATTTTTTTCGTGGTCACATTTATCGCATCTTGGATTGGCGATTGACAACGCATCGGCCACAGTTGCCAGTAGACTGACTCAAATAATTAAGGGCTATTATATCGATAGAGCTCGAAATGACCAATTCGTATTTTATCTAAATTTCGACCGATTTCTATCAGTCGCCAAGATCAAATAATACTACCTATATTAAATATATAATATACTCTTAGTGTGTAACTGGTACACTCTATCTATTTGTACATAAGTCAATATTGTTTCTAAGCCAATCAATAATTCTGTTTGATGTATAAGATAATCCTTTTATTCATTCCACTTACAGTAAACATGTGTGTATATATATATATATATATATATATATATATGTATATACTAAAATTAATTCTAAAAAAAAAATTTATTTTATGATTTAAAAATTGAGAAACATTCTTTCATGGTAGAAGTAGAAATTTTCATATTTTTCATTTAATGATAATTCTACTCCAGCTGGATATAATTGTACTACGTTCTTTGTTATAGCTTCAATCGTTTTCTTGTCCTCCAACATACTCTTATAATCTGGCTTAGGTACAATGTATTTATATGGCAAATTCATACAATACTGCAATATAATTAATGTACAATTTAAGTGTTGATTAATAACTGCAAAATAATCAATTAAACTTACATCATTTAAATTGGTCCAATTGAATTCAAAATTTCTTTCATATCTAAAAATTAACACTTTTGTATGCAATTTATTTGGTAGAGGCTTAAACTCTAATGATGTTCGTAATAAAAACCAAATAAGGTTTAAAGCTCTGCGTGTATTTTCTTCGAATATTTTATGATGATAAGACATATTTATCAGTTGCAATTCATTATCACTCATTTGATCTGTAGATTTAGAAAACTAGATAAAATAATAATAATTATAAATTAATGACTTTTAAAATAAATAAATAATAGTTGATATTAAAGAGTAGCGATAGAGAAAAAATTAAAATTAAAAATGATTTATTCTTTATAAATTTCTAATTAATTATACGAAAACATCACTAATTTTATTATTAAATAAAAAATAATAATGAATTAACACTTGTTAATCCTTTTATCCTTTGTTTTACCTCGGTGAAGAATGAACTATACATTTTATTTAATTTGTTGGAAAAATTATCATTTGACAGGAATTGTTTAGCCCATCCAATCAAAAACTCTGGATCAACTTCTAATAATGTTACGGTAACTAGTATACCTTGCGATTCCAATATTTGAGCCATTTGTAAGGCAATAATTCCACCAAAAGATTCACCAATAATGGATACGTAACTTTGATCACTAATGCTTTTAAGTTTCTAAAGGTTGGATAAAACATAAATCAGTTTAAAAAAAAACATGTAGATTTGCTTGAGCATTATAAATATACATTCACTAAAGTTTCAGCTAAATTATCAATTGATGAAATATTTTCTGGATATTGAGCTTCAAAAACAGGATAAAAAAATTGTTTATAAAATGATTCAATGAATTTCGGTTTCAATCCTGGTATAACGAACACAGGTAGCACAGATTTCAACTGTGATAATCTCGGACTTCTTGTATTCACTTCGATAAATCCGGCTTCATTTGTTATTTTATTATTAAGAAGATGTAACTCGTTAACAGTTTCAGGGAAAAAGTTTTTAATCACATCGTTCATTTGTTGTATTTGTGACCCTAAAATTAATTAATGAAATTTAAATTTTATATTTTTAAAAATAGTCAAAGTGCCTTCATTGGAAGGTTTCTTTATTTTGTTATTCTAGCCATGAAAAATCTTACATCACTTACACTTATTGTTCTAAATGTAACAAATTGTGGAAATAAATATTTTAAGTTAAAAAAAAAAAAATTATATTTTTAAAAATTAAAAATCCTTTTCATAATATTTGTGACAATATTAATACACTACGAATATAATTTACTATGAAATATAAAAACTGTACCAACATTATAAAATGAAAACTCTTATAGATAAAAAAAATAATTTGATAAAATTATTAGTTAAGTATTCTACATATTATTTAGTAATAACTCAAATAAAATCATTAAAGTAAAATATATGTATGAATTATTGTATTGTTAAACTAATTTTTCATTCTGCTTTAAAAATAATAATTAAAATAAAATAATTTATATTATTTAATAAAAAAATTACATTTTGATTTATTGTTTTCCTCAGTGCATATAAATGAAGAAGACTCTGAAGTGTTTGAATTTTGAAGTAGAAAATCTAGAGAAGGTAATAGTGTTCCTGTATTTTTTGATTCTAAGGACTGCCCATCCCAAGATATATTTAATGCATTGAAACCTTTTGATTTAAGTTCAGCACAAATATGTTCTGCCTTACTTAGTATACATATAAACGGAGTAGCAGTTATTTTATTCTTATGTTCTTCAAAACAATATCGTAAATTATTAATTTTTTTATCGTCAGACTAAATAATGATGTAAAAAAAAAAAAAAAAAAATCAATTAGCAAAAATAAAACAAAATTATATATAAAAAAGAAAAAAAAAGATTAAAATACCTGATTAATTATGAATAATGCACCCAATACGTTAGATGATGTTAAACAATTTAACCAGTTAAGCGATCCCTCTTTTGATTTTAAATGCGAATCTGATTCAATTTGTATGGATACGTTTCGTGAGATGAGTTTATCAAATCTATCCAGAAAAATATAACCGTAAAAATATTATACAATTATTTTTAAAAAGGAGTATTCATAAAAGTATTTACGAACCTTCTACAAATAGTAGATGACATTAGACATCTTTTGACTACGACAACAATTTTTTGAGCACCTCGGTCGACCAACCATTCAGCAAGCTCTAACCAATCTCCTCTATTACCTGTAATATTAAATTGTAATATTTTTCAAATTAAACATATATATTGATAAATCAATTCACACACATATATATATATATATATTATGTTTATTTAAAAATGAATATAAATAATGTAATAAGTAGAAAACTATTTACCAAATATTAGGTAACTTTTATCTGGATGACATTCATACGTGTTACATCCAAGTTTTCCCCTTAACTTAGAACTATCTTTATTATTGATTTCATCATTTATCGATAATATTATTTTTTCAGAAGTAATTGATGCAGCGTTAATTCTATAATGAACACAAATTAATATAAATATTACATAATTCTTAGGATCGTGTAATTATTTACCTCATCATGTCAAACATATTACAATCACTCAATGACGTAGTTAATACACGACTGCGGAAAGGCTTGATCACGCCTCTATTCAATCCATCCATGAATATTTGTTTTATAATTTGTTTGTTTTCTACACTTTCGTTTAACAAATTGTTTGGACTTACAGCGAAAAACGATGTGTTTTGCAAGAATATTCGCATTCCTTTTAAATCGTGAAAATTGTTTTTTACAAATCATATAATTCGTATAATAAAGCTAATAAGTTAAATATAATGTTTCTTTACCTATGTATCTTTGATTTTTCATATCTGATTTTGAGAAATTAAAGAAACTTCCATGACTAGCTAATGCACGAAAAGCAGCTTCAAATGATTCACCACTCAAAAAGTTCAATATGAAATCTATTCCTCTGGATTTGGTTATCATTTTTAATTGAATATCAAATTTGTTATTGGTGTTTATAAGTATTCTTGACCGTAATAGCTATAATTTAAATTTTATTTCATGATTTCTGTTTATCGTCACTATCATTAATAGTTTAATACCTCTGGGAAGATACCAGATAACTGTTCTACTTGTTGTTCTGAGTCTACTACAGCATAAGTCTCACATTTCATACCTAAACTTATTGCGATTGCAGCTTGGCCTATTGGATGTAACCCCGAAGTTACTAAAATAGAATTATCCTTTTGAAGTTTGCGTAAGATGTTAAAAATATAATAACTCTGAAACGATGGACATTTAATTATTTTATTTTTTTGTTATTAATTTAAAGTTAATCACCATGGTGTATGCCAAAGGAACAGTGGTTGCTTCTTCTAATGACCACGTCGGTGGTATTGGCCATGATAATATTGGGTCATAAATCATTTGAAAAGATTTTTTTTCTAGTGATGTTATTCCCATAGTTGTCTCGTTATTATTATACCCTGAGTATTCCAAAAGTCCGAATTCATTCTAATTAAAATAAATAAAATATTATATATTTAAATACATCGCTTATATTATTAAACAATTACTTCGGTGTTTTCTTCAACAACTAAATCTTTAAAATTCAACCCAAGATATTTTACTGTTAATTTGTTTTCACTGAAATTATGTAATATAGTATACAAAAATAAATTTAAAATTAGAAAATGTATTAACACATTTTACTTACGTATTTGCAATGAAATTTTTAAAAACTATATTTTTGTTGACCTTAATATCATACTTTAAATCTTGAAGAGCGATTCTTTTATAATAACCCCAACCGCCATTTTTATAAATATTTACCATAAAATCTTTCAATAGTTGGTTTGTATAAAATGTGTGATTGGAATCAAAGTCTGGTGCGTTCGAATCCAATATAAAGAAGAATCTAACAACAATAAACGTATACATTTATATATCTAATTTTTTTGATGTCAAAGTTCTGTGTTGTGTGCTCACCTTAATTTCTTTGATTTATACTTTTGTAAGATTTTATTTACATAAGCATCAATGTCTTCCAACGGCTCTGATTTTGAAATTATGTAAATTCTGTCGTTTGTTGTATTATGTGTTTCTAATGCCCTCCAAATGCTCAAGTCATAACTATCATTGATTGGTTCAATAAATATGTTATTTTTTTCTAATTTTACTATCTAAAATAAATAATGAAGTTAGTTTTGTTCTTGATAAAGAATTGTAGTTTTACCTTTTTCATAAATGTTAAACAGCTATTATTTTCAAATTCTTGTTGCATGACGATTTTCCATTCTTTAAGTTCTTGAAGTTTTTTTAATGAACATACAACAATGACACTATTTTTTTTATTTGCTAAAGCTCTTACTGTATCATGCAAATAATTCACATTAGTGACGGTGATAAACATTCCAGATTCATCCAAATCTGATACATTCCGAATGTTGTCCCAGTTTATTGTTATAGTCTAATAGTTAAATTTAATTTTATGTATTATGGTAATTTATCATGTATTTTTTATTTTAAAGTATTTAAAATACACTTACATTTATAGATAATTGATTTTCAATAATTTGATTAATTTCATTTGTACATATTTTAGCTACTGGATCGTTGTAGTGATATGGAGTACTAAGAATAATTGTTCCACTTGTATCGACATTTAATTTATTAGGCTCCATTATTATATCCATAGAATCTCGAATAAAGTCTCTAATATCCTGGAAATGAAATATTACATTTTTTTTGATCAATTATATTGAGATAATTAATTTTTATTATGATTAATTAAGGTAACAAAGTCATTTTATAAAATTTCCTTTTTATTATTTTCTATTATATTTACAAGACAAATAATTATATTTATTTTTAATTATTTTTGCGAAGTGGAAAAGATGAATAAGTGGGATTGCGATAATATATTTTTATTTTTATAATGATATATTTTTGTTGTTTAAATTTTTTTTCCTTGAATAACATACTGTGAAGGGGATCTGTGTGAACAATACTACTCATTCGCTTAATAATAAACCAATTGAGTAATTAGTTTTGACTATAGTTATTGGTAGATATGCAAAATTATGGTTTTATATTAACTTATTTTTTAAACTATACTGGATAAAATTAAGTTGTAACAAAAGATTTTTTAAACAGTTAAATTATTAAGATAGTTAAAAAATTAACTGACTAGTTAAAAATTAAATTTTTCAACTATTTTACGCCAACTGTTGTGTACACTAATAATACTACGATTTTTATGTATATTAAACGGTAATTAATTGATTTTATAGTTAAATATTTACATACTTTGCAATTTAAAAAGTTGAATTTAGTAAATGATTTTTCTTGTAATTTAACTTCTAAAGACTTAAGTTTGGGTAATGGTATGGATTCGCTTTTAATATCTAATATTTTAATTCCATCACAAGTAACTTCATTTGTTAGTTTGTTGTAATTTACGCTTATATCTGTGAACAAAATTTATATATTAATCATATCTCGAATCTTAGAATAATATAAACATTTTTAATATACCTTTTTCTGAACGATTTTCAAATAATGTAGGATTTATACACAATTCTCTTATATAAACAGGAATTTTTATAGGGCCTGTCCCTAAATGTTCTAAAAATGGAAACTTAAATAACCCTTCCAAAAAATAAATCCAATCGTTTCTCCATTTTATGGAACATTGAATGTTATTTTTAAAAATTTCAAAATTTGTTATGTTTTTGAAGTCTTCTCCTAAATTTAATCCATTATTTTTTAAAATAGAATATATTTCATTTTCCGATATATAGCCTTGAAAGTCATCTAATGTATTGTTTAACCGTATTGATTTTTCTTCCATATCAGCAATGACTGTATCATTTAAAAATTTTATTTCACCTTTAAAAATGATCTCATTGTCGATATTGCATTCAAAAATACCAGATCCCAATTGAATCATTATTAAACATTCAGAGGAATCTAAAAAACAAAAAATTAGAATTTTATATTAATTTTATACATGTAATAAAATTAATATAGATACTTGCCAGTTAGATGCATTTTTACATTATTTTTAAACCAAAGATTTTTAAATTTAACTGTATTTTCGAACAAATTAACATTGCTTATTTGAATAAACGTATTCCAAACTTCAAACTAAAGATTATAATATGTTAAATAGATATTAAAAATAAATTGATAATTAATATTTTTTTTTCTTACTAATATAAACGAAAATGGAATTATATGCTGACCATGGATTTGATATTTGATTAAATGTGTGTTATCATTAAGTAATAATACAATTTTTTTTTCACCAGTTTGCTTATCCATCTAAAACCAAATATTATACAAATTATTGATTGAAAACTTTTGATTTTAAATTAATTAATTTCTCTATAGAATGAATATTGTCAAAAATATAACAACTGTATTATCCACTAATTTAGTAGGTACACAATCCAAAATGTTTAAATGCGAATATTTAGTAATTAATGAATGTAATAAACAAAAACCAAGTTTATTCGAGTACCACAATAACATGTTAATAAAATAAGAAATATAATAAAATAGAATTGTATAAAAGCTTATAAATATTGTGCTGATTAGTTTGAACAAAGTTATATTTACAATGTTATTGAGTTCTTTAGTCCAGTTTTCAGAATGATCCCAAAATGGTAAACTATAAATTGAAGGTGTTCCACGACTTACAGGAAATGTTATTTTTGGATATAGTTCTTTTATTTTTGGATTTAATCCAATAGAATACATTCTAAAATATATAAATACAAACATAACATAATAATATTAATATAAAATTTATTTTTTACAAAGTATAAGTTGCACAATATAGTTACGAAAGTTAAGGATGACTCACTTTCCAATAGAAGTAAGTAAGAATCTAATTGAATTTCCGTACATTCTCTTTGTTAGAGGTATATTGGTTACTGATTCGGGTAATGCTTCTTTTAATATTGATTGTAGGAGACCGTGAGGAGCAATTTCAATTACGATAGCATCACTGGGTATATGTTTCAGAACGTCTTCGAATAATACACTACTCAATAGATTGTTAGTATGATATTCTGGCGAAGAATATTTTGCAAGGTCAGATTCCCATTTTGTTTCCGGTAACGAACTGCTAATCCATTTTGAAGACCTTTTTTTTGGTACTTTAATAACCTAAAAAAATGATTTTATTTGCATGCAGTTGAAATTAAAATAATATTAATTTTATTTAACTAACGTCTTTTAAATATTTAAGCAGAGTTGGTCCAGCGGATTGAATATATCTACTGTGAAATGCAATGTTAGCAACGTTGACGGCTTTTGCAAAGATATTTTTGGATTTTAGTTCTGACACGAATTCATTGATACTATCAACTGGACCTGAAATTGTGCAACTAGTCGCACTATTATGACAAGCGACGTCGATGTCATGTGGGAGTTGATCTTTAATTTGGTCATATCCAAGTCCTAGACAAAAGGTTTGAAAAAATAATAATATTAAAAATATTTTGGTGGTTTGTTTTAGATATTACCGATGGCGGCCATCATTCCAGGAATGAGTTCTGTTTCTATAGAAGCTCTACCTCGGGCATAAGCAGATAATATCATTTCTTCAGTCGTAAAACAACCATCTGCGTAAGCACATCCCAATTCTCCAACAGAATGGCCTATAATTCCATCAGGTATAATGTCTAATGCTTTCAGAACTTCTACTAATCCGATCTAAAAAAAAAATATGAATATAATAAACAATATTTATTGCACAAATTAAGCCATTATTTTATTGATTTAAACCTGAATCGCAGCAATTCCAACAAAAGAATTAAGAATATTATCAAATATTTTTGAATCTTGTGTGGTTAAAATGTACTTGATGTCGACTCCTAGTGGTTTTAGTACACTATCACATTTATTTATAGAATCAGCAAAAAGTGGAAGTTTCATAAGATCTTTGCCCATTCCATGCCATTGTGATCCCATACCGGAGAATACAAACCATATCGGGCGTTTCTTCATATCAACATTCTATAAATATTATTTTGATGTCATATTTTTTATAACGAAATATTAATAACATTTTATTGCACGTTATATAATTGAGTTACAATAATTATATTAAGTAAATATGAATTACCAAAACTTCATCTATCCGTGATTCATCTAGTACAGGGAAAATAGAAAAACTTCTGAAGAAATGAGCATTGATATTTCTAGTAAATACATCATTGATCAATGTTATATATTCCGGATCATTTCCATGGCACTTGATCTAATAATTGTATTCAGTAAATATATATTTATACTTAAAATACAATTTTACGCTGCATAACATTATTATGAATAATTTAAATAACATTTAACTCAAATGTTTTATTACTTTTTTTTAAAGTGGCTCTAGTATTTTCTTCATTCCGTCCAGATGCTAGTATTAGTATTGGTATAAAATCATTACTGTTGATATGTTTGGATATCTGTTTTTCTTTATTATTTTTTTTTAGAATTACATGACTAAATGCATTTAACATTCCAAATGAACTGATTCCGATTATATCTCCATTAAAAGGAGTTTTTTCTGTGATAATCTACAAGAAAATTATATTTTATAATTTGTAATTATAGATAAATATATGATATAACCAATTTACCGGTAGTAAATAAAAATATTTTATATGGACAGTTATTTTATAGTTACTTTTGTTATATTAAAAAAGTATAGTAACATGAAAAGTATCATACTTGAATTTTTCCGTTTTTTAACGCTGCTACATTATTATTTGGTTCTGTGTAATTTATGTTAGGTGGTATGTATCCACTTTCTAACGTAATAATGGCTTTTACAATTGACATAAAGAGACTAGACGCTTCACAATGACCTACATTACTCTTCACGGAACCCACTTTTAAAGGTGTCTTTCTATTTTCAGTGCAAAAAACTTCTTCCATTATATTTAATTCCATAGCATCTTCACACTGTAAAATTAACACATAATTCAAATATTAATATTCATTTTTGTTTAATATCACCTTAATTCCAGATCCGTGAGCTTCTATGAAATCAACTGTAGCAGGATCAATGTTAGCTTCTTTATAAGAATCTAACAGCAACGATTTAAAGTGTTTTCCATCGTGATTGAGTAGGTGTCCAGAATGATTACCAAAATGCATAGATTTTACATTCAACAATGTCCCGTATGAACGTTTGGCTTCGGAAGCTCTTTGAAGATAAAAAACAATACAAGCTTCTGATCTGTTATATCCATCAGCTAAATAAAATATTTTTATGATTTACAAAGGAAAATATAATGTATGTAGTTAATAATAAGCTTATAAAATAAAATGGTAAATGAAAAAACATTGCCGCACATTAATTATCACTGTAATAGATTTGAATTCAATGAATATTTCATTGTACGTGAAAAACGATTATGAGTTAAATTGGTTAATTTTATTAGTCTGTATCACTTGGTATATTTCATACCTAGTATGTTTTTTGATATTTCTATTAATGCAATTTATTTTACTATTAATATTAAAATTGATTATATTATAATCTATGGTATTACAGTATAATGAATATTTGTGGAAAATAGTGTAATATTTTATTATTTTCGTATTATTACTATATTTAGTACACAATAGTTATTAACTTTTAAGTTAACACTATCCTACTATAAAACAATGTCGAAAGGGTCATAGTATTATTAGGTAATATTTTAGAATGAATTTACATATTTTAAAAACTTAAATGCGTTAAGTATGATTCATAAAAATACGTAAACATTTGAATTCACGTGATTAATGTTTTGAATTTAAACAAAATAACTAACATTGATTTTTAAATTGAATAAATATTGTTTAACTAAGTTGTACTTGAAAAGCTTATAAAAAAAAAAAAAAATGTATGTTTATAATATATGATAACAACATAAAAGGATAATTTATTAAGAAACGTTATGTTTAATTTTTGAGTTTTCATGACTAGCAAATTTTCTTTATTGATGATTAATAAATAAAGAATGCTCGTGAATATTAATAGCGCAAAGAAATTTAAAAAAATGAATGTTCATTTGTCCCTATTCGTCGTTAATGGTAGAGATAAAAGTTTGTTAATATTTTCCTATTATAAAAATCTAAAAGTTTCATGTGATTCTGAAAATATTTATTGCGATAAAAAATTGATTTACTGTGTCAAACATTTTACCCAGTTATTACAAGCTATCAATTAATGTGAGTCCTTTCATTCGCATTTTAAAGAATATTTTTATAAAGCAAATTCAACGATATTTAAGTGGCTAAATATTGTGAAATAAGTTTAAACCGATATTTATTATAAAATAAGAAGCATATATCTTACAATAAAATAAATAAATAAATCTACCGATCAATCGCGTTGTAGTAATCAAAAATGCAATTAGTAAACTTCAAGACGAAAAAATTTCCAAGCAATACAAAAAGTAAAAGTCCAATGCTTCTTTTCTTTTAACAAATATTCAATGTTGCAGAAATGTCATTTAATTATAAAAAAAAATATAGTTACTTAATTGTTAATAACTCAATTAAATTTTTTATTCGTCATAAATACTTAAGATATAATATAATATTGTATTTTTATTCATAATTTCTTATTGGTAAAAAATGGAATTTGTGGAATTTGGAAAGTGGAGGAAAATAGACAATGAAGGAAAATAGTATATTATTTTGAAGGAAAATGGATACGGCCATTTGGTCATCTAGCTTGTTTGGGTGTAATATCAATTGGTTTACTAATAAATGAAATAAACTTTTTGCAATCTGATAATGATTTTGAAAGCAAAAGTAAACAAAAAAAGTCAAAGAAAACCTAACATAACCGTGTACAAGTGACTTAGAACTCATTGAAAAAAATCGAATAATATTATTATTAAAATGTATAAAAAAAAATTGGTAAAGGTTAATTATTTATTAAAGCAATTATGTTAAAGGAAATAATACTTAAAATACACAAATTTAATTAAAATTAAATTGAATGTTTTTTTTTTTATATTAATTTTAAATATAATTCACCTGATTTTTCTAAATATGTAATATTACTGTATAATTATATTGTATTGCCTGCTATCTTTAGGAAACAATAACATGACTATTGTATTAAATTAAAAAAATGATAATATTTCTTTTTTTTTTTGGTAATTGCCATTTCTTAATTGTCAACATTTCCAATAATATAAATAAATTTGTGAACATTTTAAATATTTATGGCTATTTGTTTTTTAATCATACTAAAAAACAAAATCGGTTTTTTCGAATACTCATCAAATAAATCGCAAGATGATTAATATCTTTACAGATGAAATCATCAGTGTATAAAAAAATTGTCTCATTTTCAATTAAATAAAAAAAAAAAAAAAAACACTTAGATGACACAATATAATCTAATTAAAACTATGTTAGTATAAAATTAGAATAACTAAAAATATGACATATTGTTATTATTTTGACTTCATTATTTTTAAATATTATATATTTACCGTCAGCACTAAATGGTTTAGTTTGAGCATTTTTGTTTAATCTATTCAAACCTTGATGAAGAAATTGTATTTCAGGTTGCTCTACCAAATTAGCAACTCCAACTAATGCAGAGGATATCAAACCACATTCAAGCATTTCTTTGGCTTTTATCAAACTATTGGAGCCACATATCCATCCTCCGTCATGAGCAAAACTCGGTCCTAGATGTTATTGATTATACATTATTTAAACAATTATAAAAATGTTTTGTTTATTATTATTTATTTAAAATGTTTTATACCTGTCAAATTGAGAATGAAAGAAAGTCGATTTGCTTGCATTGTTCTACTATGACCCAACATTGAAAATGATGTACTTTTAAGACAAGCCAGGATAGCCATTTCCGCTTCACTTATGTAAGATCCCATAAATACCCCTGTATTTGTTCCATACAAGTCTGATGGACTTAAACCAGCATCGATAATCGCTTCGATTGATCTTTCTAAGCTTAATTTTGTCAGATCGTCCATGACTTGGCAAAGTTTTGGATGGACGCTGAAAAATGTGGAATCGAATTTTTCAATATTTTTAATTTTTCCAGTTCCATTTATTGCACCTAAATAATCTATATATAAAAAAAAAAAATACAATTTTTTGATTAAATTAATTTCAATATTCTAGTAAAAAAATAATAAATACTTGGTTTCCATCTCCTTGAATCGATTGTTATTCCGTTCATTTTGTTAAATAGCAAATCGCTCAACTCGGTTACATTATTGCTTTCTGGAAACAATCCTCCAATGCCTGATATCACAATTTCTTCTTTGTGATCTGCCATTATATTTATTTATTTGTTCCTGTTTAACATATAAAAACAATTTTAAAATTAAAATACACAATTATAATGCATGCTTAATTATGTATTATATAAAATATGATCTCTGAATTATATTCTATTGCATAACTAAAGACCGGATTTAATTAATTTTTCAATACATTTTTTTGCAGTTAAGATAAATTAAATCTGATTAAATAGGTATATAACCGATATATACTTTAAATATTTAGCATTTAATTTTATAGAAAAATTTTTTGTATTTTTCATGTTTTACAATTTTTTAGAATTGATTGTCTGTTTAAATGAACAAATTATTTAATTCAGCTAATATTTCATATAATAAAATATACTATTAGCAATTTATTATGCAAATTGTACGTATTTTTTGGTGTAATTATATAATTTTAATATGTGATTTTGGTGTGTTTTCAATGCAATTAAATCCGGCCATAATTTATAAAACATGTTAAAAAAATATTTACCAATACACACACACACACACACACACACATAATATATATATGATAATAATAAAATTATAAAAAAATATTTTAATAAAAATTGGAAAAAGAAAATTATAATATTTGATTCTACAAAAATATTTTGGCACAATTGCTTGTGATTTCGTTAGAGTATGTTTTTAACGAATTTATTATCCTTTTATTATCAATATTAATACATATAGATTTTATTTATAAACTGATCTAAATATTTTTGAAGTTTACTTGTATTAAAAAAAATATAACTCAATTGTAAATTTTATATCAAAAATAAAAAGTTTTTATGAATAATCTGAACAAATAATGTATTTTTTTATATACATATTATAACATTGCTTAATTGGTTGCAATATTATTTTGTTTTAAAATGAAGTTTAACATTTATAATTATTATGGTAATAATTATCAATTGTGTCAAATTCTAATTTTTTAATGAGTTTGCGAATTTTTTATTTTATGGCCTTTTAAAATTTAAAATTATGAAAAATTAATAATACTTGTACAAATAGGAATATCGTTATGGTATATTCCATAACCATAAAATTCTTCTTTATTATTTGCATGATATGTTAAATACAGCTTATAAATAAACTAATATTAATATTACAATTAAACAATAGTATACTATAAATTTGTTACAATTCGTTTCAAATTAAGTTAAAAATTATAATTTCGGGAAAAGCCAAAAAAAATAAGTATTATATTTGATTAAGTATTTAAATTAATATGGTCAATTTTAAAACCATTTACTTCAAATTATGTATGATATCTCAAAGAAATATAGATAATAATTTTATTCAGAAAATATATTTTATTGTTTTTTTTTTTTTTTAATGTTTACGCTACATATTATACAATTCTATAATCTTCCAATCAGGGCTGTTAGGTCACTGCAGACACCAACATATTTAGGGGTACAAAATTCAAAAATATATAGATTAATATTTATTTTGTTATAAATTAATTTAAAAACAAATGTCCAATATTTCATGATAAAGGAAAAGGATCAAATCTATAATGCTACACTAAATAATAAATACTCAATAAACTATCTAATATTGGCGGAATACAATATACAATTTTAAAGAATATCGTATTTATTCATATTGTATTATATTGTCTCATTAATATTAGGTATATAATTATTATAATTTTTTGAAGATATTCATAAAATTAATTATAATTGCTATAAAATAATGAGAATACAATAAAATATATGTAATAATACATTTTTTACATTTTTTTTTTATGATTAAGCAGTGTATGATAAAATTATATTTTATAAAATAGGACAAAACACAAAACATTTATTATTATAATTTAGTAAGTTCGCCGATCAACTAAATCAAATATTTGATTTATATTAATAAATGAAAGAAATTTTAGTGGCAAATTTGTTTTTCTAATATAAAAATATCAATTAATTTGACTTGCATTGAAAACTTAAAAGTAGTTATATAGATAATTTCAAAGTAGAATCCGTTTAGGAAATCATTTGATATCAAAATACTTCAAAAATGCATTTGAAAAATATTCTTTAATTTCAAAACTATATTTAAAATATTTATTTGCATGCCATATTCTATTGCAAGCGAAAGAGAATTTTTTTTATTAAAAAGAGTCAACAATACATAATTATGTTCAATAATCATTAGTCAACGGGATAATATTAGCTCTACCAATACTATAAAAGTACTGAATATAAAATTACCAAGAATATAGATTTAAACAAGTCTACTGATTACGTTCTTAAAAACTTAAGGTAAAAAAAAAAAAGTTGTATACGTTGATATCAAATATTTTTAGTTAGTATTTTACATAACTTATTTAATCAAATTATGTATTTAATTTTTTTTATTTATATTAATTTTTTCTAGTGTTATTGTTTTTAAATAATATAAAACAGGTGATTCAAAAAATATAAATTGTTTGTTTGGTAAAACCAAAAAATTTTTTCCCCATAGGATTTATTAATTTTGTATAATAAAAAATTATTTATTGATAATACATAATTATTATATAAAAAAAATTGGATTTCGTATATAAACTTATAATAGTAACCGGCCTTGCTACAGGATTAAATGTAAATAATATTTTTATTTTCCTAGAAATTATATCAAATGTCACATTGAATAGTGTCACCAAATGATAAATTGTCTTAGAATGGCAATGGCAGTTAGAGCCGTGTATTTACTCATTCTACTCTTTATTAAACTGCCTTATATTAAATCTGAACAGATGTTAACAAAGTATTAGGGTTTTCTCAATTAAATATAAAATACAAGGATACAATTATATCCAATCACAATAATTATAGTTTCATTGTATGTAATCAGTGGTAGGTACTTAAAAACTAATAATACATAAAATAAAAAATGTAGTTTTTTATGAGTCAACTATATTTAATATTTATGAATTTATGTGTTAAAAACTAATTAGTAGATTATAATACTACGTCAAATATGACTGAATTTATTGATAAAAAATGTATAAGAATCTATCGAAAACTGTGGAACTGTATAAGGGTTATCTATTTAAAGATTTTTTTATTATAAAGTAAATATTTATTAATCATAGTTGATTCTGCGTCACTTTTCTTGCGGAAAAATAAATAATGTCAATGGGTTTACCTTGTCTTAAACTCTGTTAAATATAAACTATACGTATTATCATAATACAGGTCTATATTAACTGTTTTATTTTATGAAATCAATGGGAATCCGTACAAACAAACAAATATTCGTTTTTATAAGTCAACAAATCTCTGAGTGAAATCTTTTTTAAAATGATTTCAAGTCTATAAGTCTTTAGATATTAAATTTCAAAACAACGAGTGTGATATACTTAGCTATGAATCGCTTATACACACTATGGTTATATAAAAAAATAAAAAAATACAAATACAAAACAATATCACAACTTTAACTTAAAAAATGAAATACAATATACAATATAAATAATAAAGATGAAATACAAATAAACTAAATTATACGCCAAAAAATAAAGTATAGAATATGATTTGATCAATATATAATGTAAATAAATAAATACTGTCATAAGGAAAAATACGACCAAAATTCTGTGAATAAAAATAAATATATATTGAGTATTGTTATTTTTTTTATCGTTAAAAATTATTAAACATTTGAAATAAAAATCACAACAAATATCAGACCAGTACGACATTAAGGTTTTATTCAAATAAGAATGTGTACTATAATATTGAGAAAGCCTAATCATCTATGGTCTTTAAAAAATATTGCTCTAGTGCTGTGACCAAGCACAATATTTTGTAAATCGTTACATACACAAGATATAAATTAAAATAGTTATCAATTTTGAATGGAACTGTAAATCACTTTTCCGTCAATACTTATAAAATTCAGGGAAAAAAAATAGAAATATATTAAATTTAATGTTTTCTGTCACAATGGAAATAATAATATGTCAAATCATTACCTGAGTATAGATTTGTAGTGGATCTGTTGTTATCCTTCTTCAACAACTCAACTGATATCACACTGAATAATGAATCCAAGACTATCGTTGTATTTATTTAAACGAAAAACGTTTTAATTATTGTAATAAATAAACAAACCATTTATTAATAATCTCATTAAATTATTTTCATTAAAACCCATGTACAAAGGTTAACATGCAAATGATTTACTCTACTTAGTGTGTGCATATGCTGTATTGTTCTAGTGACTTACAATCACATAACTCCAACACAATGCAATATTTTTAAAAAGTAAAAACAGTATATTGGCTATTGATATTATGTCAAAAGTTTGCTAATTTATTATTCATAATGTTTTCAATTTATTTTTGCACAATGCTATTAAGCAGTTATCAAAATAATTTTTTGATAAAGATTAATTTTTGTGCAGACCAGTAAATTTATTTATTTGAGAACTCTTTTAAGTTTGAATAATCTTACTCTTTAATAACATACTTGAATTTTATTCGAGACATCTATAAAGTAATAATCTACTATTGCAGAATTAGTAAAATTAAAAATATTTAATTACATTTAGACATCTACATATATATTGAAGCTTTACAGATGATGAACTCCATAACCTCAATAGAGATTTTAAAATTAAACACAGGCATTCAAATAAGTTGTAATATTAAAACAAATTAAGAAAGGCTTAAACTATGTGTAAAACTTCTCATTACAAAACAAATACTAAAATTATTAGTTTTTTAAAAAAAAACGTACCGTATATAATTAAACATAAAATTTAAATATATTTATTTTTAAATTGTATTGCTTATTATTTACATTTCTATAAATTAATATTTACAAGATCTTAACAATTCATTCGACCAAACTTTTGAATTATTATATTACAAACTGATATGCTGATTATTTAGTATTATATAAACATTTATATTCAATGTCAAATTTCCTAGATCCAGTCATAGTGTCGTTAAAGAAAAAATATATAATGTCTAGTAAATGCCAATAAAAGTATTTAGAACAAATATCAAGTCTCTATAAATATTCATGTTTTAATTTATTATATAAAAAAAACAAAATCTAATCAAAAACTTATATTTTACGTGATTTAACTATTTCTAATACTCATAAAGGTAATAATGACGTCCGACAAAGAAAAATACATAGATCATTGTAAAATTCGTTTATTCATCGCTCTACTCAATAACTAAAATTATCTTTACGAACAAATTTTGTATCGATATTGAATGTTAGTTGAGTATCGTATAAACATTTCTGATAATACTTGATACATTATCTCGTAATATACAAATATAAAATGCAATGTAATAAGTAATAACTAATAATTTTTTATTTTTATTACCCTTCATTAATTAATATTTTTATTAATTTATAAAGAAAAAGTAGGTAAAAATGATCTTGAAAAAAATACTTTTTATTATTATTTAAATAGAAATGAATTATAAATTAAAAATAAATATGTAAAATACTTCTCAAGAAGTATTTTAAGAATATAGTCGGTTATTTTTTTTTTAATTATTACTGATTATAAGATGATTTTTTCGTATTTATAAAAAGTAATAACCTATAGTTATTAGATTATATCTTATACATAAGTTTTAATACCAAGTATTAAGCTAAATGTATGAAAAATGGTATTTATTGTTTAAATCAATTTTACTTAAATTAGAATTATTATTAAATAAAATAAAATACTTTAAGTAGAATTTGTACAATCATAATTGAAATATACTTTAAATAGTGGTGTATAGCTACAAATTTTAGTGGTGCCTTCATAAATAATAATGTACGTTTCAAATGTTCATTTGGCATTAATATTTTAATAGTTGATGATGAAAAAATGCTGAGTCATATTTATCAAAAGTTATTTGTAATATTTAAATAAAAAATGAATCTTTTTTCTCATTTTTATATAAATATTTTATTAAACATTCAGAAAAATAGCTAGAAAATGTAATCAATTTAAAAACAATAATAAATTAAAGCCAACAGAAGAGGACAATATTAGAATGAAGAAAATTCTTCTATAGATGGAAAACATGAACACCCTTTTGAAAAGAGTTTCCTTCATAGTTTTTTTTTTAGAAAAAAATAATTTAATTGATTTTAAAGATTTGATATGTATTTACATTTATTGAAAAACGATCTAATAATTGGAACAGTGATACCACTTCCAATGAGACAACGATTCAATTAACACCTTAAGAATTACCAACAATAATGCTGAGAAAGAGATGTAAAATCAATGAAAAAATAATATTTATTTAAAAACTAATATTTATACTATTTAAATACTTAAAAATATTATAATATCATACAGCTTTTAATTAAATAATTGGGCATACCTAAAATATTAGACTTATTTTATAATGTTATATTTCTGTTAAAACCAAACACATTCCATTAACCTAATTTTAGTATTAGTGATGGATAAAAGCAATTGTTCAAAAAACATTTACAGAAGGTATACTTGTTATAATTTCACTTTTTAATTTAACTTACTAATTATAATTAACATATCGTCCTTGCTCTTATTACATATTCTAATTGATCATTGGTCTACATTTTCATACATATTATTTAATATTCATCTTGTATTTAATGGACATCGATTAGACAATTTAGTGTTTATATTTTTAATAGTTACTTGGCTACCTCTCAAGTAATTGGGTTAAAAAGCTATATCATGTAATAATGTATTGACAATTTATTCTAGTTATGATGGTTTTCTACGTCTTATAAATATTCTATTGCAAGACAATTGCAATGAGACGTGTGTAAAGTGTACACTTATATAAATATGACCTTATTGTATCGATTTGTAACTTTTTCGATATTTATTGTTCATTGTTTTATTAATATACAATTACGCAATTGATTATCCTTGAAAAACACTATAAATATATGTTATGCAGTTTAATACTAAAACACATAATCAATCGATTGGTGTATTAATTGTGGGACATCAAGCATTTATTTTCGGTGATAAAGTACTATATAAAATATTTTTTAACAATTTAAGATATAATTAGATGTTTGAGAAGAAAAGTTTTGGGATGATACCTAATTCTACAAAAAAATTAGAGAGTTTTAATTCACGTATTAGCTAAAAAAAAATTTGAAATCAATGATTTTAGTTATTAGCAAGTGTAAACTCCCTCATGCGGCGACACTGTCTTCATCACGGTAGATGTTACCGCTTGGTAGAGTGCTAGTTATGAGAAAAGTAGTATTCCGACGGCCTCGATCAGTGAGGAGTCGGTTTGTTATAATTTTTATATATTTATACATGTGATCGTATGCTATTTCCTATAGTCGTGTTTTCTCCGAAATAAAGTCGTTTTCTTAACACTAAGTAAAAGTGGTTGTTGTTTGTATTAAGCTAAGACCAAGATAGTTAACACAAAGTAAAGCATAATGTAAACATTTATTTTTAATAGCAGTTTAAATATACAATAGAATATCCTTAAAAATAAACGTTTACGATGTTTTCACTCGGATTCATTGTTCGTCGTATTCATTATATAATAATTTACAATTGAATCTAAATTTTAATACATCCATTACAGTGATACTTAATAGTGAGATGCGCTCGACACTTACTGTTAGTGATAAAGTTAAATGGTTGTTACTTATTAGTTATTAACTATACTTATCAGCTTTTTTTTTAATTTTTATTCTTAAATTTTATATTATTAATGTTTTAATATTTTATAAGATTGTAAATAATTTACGAAATTTCAGTTGCTCTCAATTTATTTGGAAAATTGTATTAAAAAAACAACATTATTGTTATTATTACTTATAGGTAGTGAATCGTCATAATGGTATGGAAACGTGTATTAAGTAAAATGTAGACGAATAATATATTATGTTTATCTGGGGAAATAAAATAAAATAACAATTAAAATTAATAAATCGTATAGACTTTAAAATATGAAATGCTTTATTTCGATAATAAATAAACAATATTAAATAGTATATGCGTTTCTATCAAATTCGTTGATAAATAAACACTCATTTTTTTGAAAATGAAATATTATAATAATTTGTTAACATGATAATTGAATATTGGCGTTAAAATAGTGCTGACTGTATTTTTCGTTTAAAGACAACACAGAGGTGTGTGGATAGTCAAACGCTACATTTTCATTTATCGTTTTGATAACATTTGCGTCTTTCAATAAATTCTGAATATTTTTTCCCGTGGTAATGTGAATAACAGGTTGGTTGTTGCAAAACTAATGAAAAAAACAAAAACAAAGATTACAAATATGCAATTATAGCTTGTAAAGTTAACTGTACGATAAAAATGGTCATATTGAAGTAACTCACTTCGTTTATGGTGTCCTGACTCATGTCGGATAGCTCGTTTGATATGAATACTTGGGGTATTAATAATAACTTATTGGGTAGTGGTTTTAGTTCAATTAATGTATTGAGTTGCGTTTGTAACATATTTAATGAGTTGTACACGTTATGAGGTTCCAAGACCTTACTGGACTGCAGAAACTGGTTAATGTTCGTGTTCCATTCATGTTGAGATGACATTTTTTTGGCCATCTGTAACTCGTCAAGATAAAAAAAAAAAAAACCAAAGATAAATATAAAATATTTGAAAATTGTATCAAATAAATTGGGTTGATTGTCAATCAAGTTTGTACCTCGCAATCAATAGACAAATATCTTGAAAGCAAAAACATGTTAATATTATTGTCGTTTAAAGTGAGATTTTTGGAGATCCAACTGAGAAGAGTGCTTGGTACTCCATTTAGCAGTGACAACGATACCAAAATGCCTTCAGCTTCCAATATTTGAGCCATGACTAGAGCGACTGTACCACCCCAAGACTCTCCAATCAGAGTGACTGCACGGTGTTCGGTTATTTGTTTGAGTTTCTAAAACATACATCATACCATAATCATAACAAGGTAAAGTAATAAACCCAAGTCCAAATATCTCAACAACAAAAATTCTTTTGTACAATGTATATATCACTAATATAAACAATATTATAAAAAGATAAAACTGATATAAAAAAATATATATATATATATCTAAATAAATAACTACCTAAATCCTATAACGCTAACATTTAGTTTAAATATACTCGTATTACAAAATATCAATATTAACATTAAGAATTTATTATATGACTAGCTGACCCGGCCACGCATTGCTGTGGCTAAAGTTTTTGTTATATTACATTAAGAGGAACACTAAGAGAACACATAAATCCTCGATCAAGACCAATGCTTCATTGTACATCTCTGGTGTATAATCTCTAATTTGGCTTTGATTTATGTGTCTAATTCGGTGCAAGATGTCTTCTGTCATACAATTTTTATATTTTTCCCACAAAGTTTGTGCTTGCGAGGGATAACATGTCGTCAAAGTAATTGCAAACAACTGACGAATGTTATTCGGTGTTGATGTCAACGCAGCATCAGCAAGCGCTAAGTCCCAATGGTTATCGTCTTTTAGCAATTGCAGTTCACGACATGCATCCTGGTATGTATTGAATACTCGACCATTAACTGTTCGTAGAAATTCAAAAGACGTTGGTCCGGGAACATTCACCAATAACAAACGTAAATAGAAGCACTCACGTTGCTTTGGATGTACCGTGTAAAGTCTCCCCAATTTCTTAGCTTTGAATATGCCTGTAATGGAAGGATGTGGTTTTCCTTGTTTCCGTGGCTCCCATTTTTTACTGGATTTGTTCCATGTGAAATAACGTGGAACATCACCATACACCAATGTCTTCGCGAATTGGCCAAAAACATCAGGTTTTTGACACAATGTAAAAAATTCAGTTAGAGTCGTTTTCGGAGCTTCGAACGCTCTTTGGAGAACATTTTCTTCAGTGAAGTATACACGTTGACCGTTTTCAAGATGTATTGCCAGATGTTGGACAGCAGGATCTCTTTCGTGGATGGGAAAGCTGAGAATATGCCAAATAGCTTCATTGCTGCTAATGTATCTGCCCATTTGGTATCGTGCTATTTCGTCATTTTTATTTATGTTTTGTACTTCAAATATGGCCAAATCACTGCCTTTGTTTACATATTTACAAATATACTTAATTGATTTAACAGAACTGCAAAACTCAACATTGATATGAGCTTTGTAAATTTTTGAAAGTAGTGGTGAGTATGGTACTACCCACTGATTATCAAACTCAACTTGATTTGGAAAGTTCGGCAGTCGCATTGTAAATGTGTGGCCACCATTCTCAGTACTTCTGCGGCGATACATTGGATAACCATCAATATCCGTGTTCGTGTCATTCGTATGCGGCTTTGGGAAGTTTTTTTTACATTTTCCATTTTCCATGCACGGTGACGTCATGTTGAAAGCACCGCATGGCCCATGGATCATGTGTTTGGTGACAATATCAAATAATTCTTGATCAATTAATGGGTCTGGAATTTCGGCTGAAATTATTTGATCGATTTCTTCAGGACGGATTCTATCTTTAAGCCAAACCAAATTGTGGGCATGAGGCAAACCTTGCTTTTGCCACTCTATCGTATACAGCCAACAACGTGTGATACCAAAAATTTCATATTTAACAATAAAATCAATTAAGGATTTCAATTTTTGTTTAAACACACGTGTAGTTAAATCATGACGATGAATGGCTTGTTGTACTGGCAATAGTAAAGTTTGTATCTCTTCTCAATTCGGATTACATGTGAATGTAATAAATAAATCCGGTCGGCCGTAATGACGTACGTAAGTCATCGCATCTTGTATGTATTCCTGCATGTTCCGTGGACTGCCGATGTAGCTTGAAGGTAAAATGAAAGCATTACCGATGTCATTGGTAAATTTCCATCGATGTTTCCAGCAACAGCATCTCGTAAGTTAATATATTCTTCCGATCGTAGTTTTGCCTGGTTAAATCGAAGGAATCGCAAGCGTTCGCTTTCAACCTTAGCATACATATCTTAGTTAATATCTGGTGCATATTCAAAGGCAAGCCGAACGAATGATGCACGTGTTAATGAGCGGCTGATCCGTTGCCTTTGTCGATCTCTTTCTCGTACTGTAGCTATGTTTCGTTCTCGTGCCGCTCTTGTTCTCGTAATATTCTGTTGCAGACGTTCGTCACGCTGTTCTTGAGATTCTCGTGCACGACTTTCTGCAGTCCTGATTCTTTGAGCTGCATTTCTTGTTTCGATTTGTTCTGGTAATTGCTGAGCTCTTTCAACACATTTGCGTCGTGACCCTTTGCTGCTCGCATTGTTGAGGTTAGATTTTTTCGGTATATATATATATATTTTTTTTTTCGATTTTTATCGATATTAATCGATTTCAAGCCCTGCTATTATCGATTTTTGTATTATTATTTATATTTTATTTTTATCTGCTAGAGGGTGCCACCGGTGTAACTCGGTTTTTGTCTCTAAATCTCTAACTCACAGGAGTTAGGTCCATACCCTATATCCTATCTTTTAAGTTGGACCAAATTACACGCGGTGTAAAAAATTTCATCAGAATCGATTAAGTGGTTTAGGAGTCCATTGAGGACAAACATTGTGACATGAGATTTATATATATTAAGATATATTATATAATGTATATATTATGTAACTACCCTAAGTAATTTATATTTAAACGATAAATATTCTCTATAAATACAACTCAAAATGGGCATTTAATACTAAACTATACATAGTATATATTTCATGAGTGATATTATAATATATACAAACCAATATACCAAAGGTGTATACTGTATATCTAAACAATGTAAATTTTTAGGGGTTCTACCTCGAATGATATATCATTTTTCCTAGTGCTAAATCAATTATTTTAAGTTAAGTCGAATAGCCTAGAACATCATCACATTTGTATTTCATAGATCCAGATTGAGTTAGTGATAGCTAATATAATATATTATATTAGACGCTTATTTTTCAAGTCTAGTTTGATTAAATACTTTTTAACTAGCAATTTAGGCATTTTTCTTCGATTTATATTTTTTTCCGGTAGACATAATATAATATAATATTTAATGTACAATATTAGATTCTTTTTCAGGGTAAATTAAAACAAGGTCATTTCCTCTTCCCGGGATTAAAAATTTAAGGTTAGTATCTTAGTAATTTGATCAGACTATTGTAGAACCTCACTTTTACGAGAGCACTGGCCACGCTTTTAATCGATTCGAATTTAGATGGGTATCGGGCCTCGAATGTCGGGTAGCCCAGATTTTTGTACAGGTTTATCATACAGTTGGGTTGGAAACCTGGCATAACGAATATTGGGTATGTTCCTTTAGCTTCGGCATACAATATGCTTTTAGTAGCCACTTCCACAAAGTTTGGATCACCAACGGTGATGTACTTCGAGTTACGTCCCAGCTCTTCGACGGTGCTTGGTAAAAACATGTTGTTTTGGTCATACAGCTGAACTTTGGAACCTTAAATCGAAAAATATGTAAGTAAATTCATATGCATATCTATATAATGATCATCTATAATATATATATCTCACCGTGCGTATTATCATACTCAAATATTATGATGAGAAAACTTTAAATGACATATCGTAAATTTAATATACAAGATTAAGCTAATTGACTCGTTTATTGGTGGTTTTAAGTTAACTTTACTGTCCTGAGACAAACTTAGTAAAGTCAGTATTAAAATTCCATAGTTTTCTGTGTTGATTTTTTTTTTTTTGAAAACATTCGTGTTTATTTGTATTTTAACATGTCTAATCTTTTATTTGTTTATAATTATTTGAATCACGGTCCGTTCTATAATAAATCAAATAAATAAATAAACGATCATACTTGTGAATTTATCAGCCACGTGTTCAGAGCACACGACTACGGCGTTGGTAAGTGCGTTGGTATTCAGTAATACATTTTCCAGTATTGGTATGATTTTGCTGAGCTTAGGTTTGTCACCGTTCTGGGCCCACGACAAGCACAACGCGTTGACGCCGATTGCTTTTAATTGTTCGCACGTGTTTGCCCCACCGCAGAATAAGCACACGAATAGCGTTTTCTGAATGTTTTTTGTGACGATTTGACCCATCGCCATTTGCATGTTTTCGATCATTTTTTCCTCCGCCTTGATAATATAAACGTTTTAATAATATATTATTAAATTCACGTATTCTAGAGGAAATAATCAGTGACGGGTATGGTAGGTGCATTTGAATCCCACGCAAAAAATAAATAAATATAAAATATCCAAATTGCAATAATATGCTACTCCTTAAAATTATTTGTCGGAAACGTATGCTATGAACCTTGTAGGCTACGAGTATATTATGTATTATACATTAAATTTTTACTTATCACTATTTTATTTGTTTTGAATACTATTGATAGATTTTAAATTAAATCAAAAATAGTAAGTTGCTTTTATCAGTCTCGAGTTTGCATAATTGAAATGGTAAATTTTATTTTATTCTACTATAACTATTTTCAATACAAGTAATTTTTTTTCAATTTAGTCATATTACCTACTATAAAATATTATAAGTAACATTTTTTTTTTACTTTAAAAAAAAAAATTATATAACAGTTGGTTGAACAATTAAGAAATTATTAAATAAAAACTTCTATTTATTTTGATTTATTTGTTCATTTTTTGGAAAAAATAAACCTACATATAGGTATGTTAATATAAAATATTATAAGGTGTAACATAGAATTAAGATAGACCTTTTAAGAAATAGCACGCAAATCGGAAAATTTTGTTTTACTTAAATTCTAATGAAGATGTCTTACACCATTCACGAAGAATACTGCAGCTAATGGATATGTTTCAATCGAACTTTTCAATAAATCGTAAGTCGATTGTTCAGTGTTCAACAACGATTGTGATACCAATTGCACGGTGATTCCCTTATAACGATCAAGTAAGATGTTGAACTTCTGTGAAATTTTTGGCGTCAATGAATATTTTTCCAAACCCACGACTACTTTTAATGCACCTCTTTGTACTAACCATTCCACCAGATATAACCAATCGTTAGCTTCGTTTCCTAAACATAATTGGTACTTAGATATACAATTGTTATACCTATAATGTAACGAATTTAGTTTTACCGATAACAAAATACACTTGATCCGGACAACACTGAAATTGGTGTATCACGTTTCCGGTGTTGTTGGCTTTCTCCGTAGATATTACGGCTCGTTTAAACTCGTTTTCTCGAGTCAATTTCCTACAGCACGTTATAAGACGATTAAAAACTCACGAGTTGTATCATAAATTCAATAATATTATTAATAATAATAGTTTTCTCCTCACTCGAGGGTCTCTAGAGCTTGAGTTCCCGTACACACACCGGTAAGTACATATCGATCAAACGGTTTAATTGTGCCGTTCTGTAAGCCGTGCTCAATCAATTTTTGAATGGTTTGTTTTGTTTCTTTACATTCTGAAATTACTCTGTCCATGCTCACAGAAAAGAATGATATGTCCTTTAAAAATTTCAACAAACCTTTGAAAACATAGAAATATAATATTATAGTTAAATTTAATGTCCATAAAAACATTTAAATACTATTATATTATATTGCTGTACCCATTTTATATTTCTTTTTCATATCGCTTTTGGTGAGTTGGAAAAATTTCCCGTGATCCGCAATTACTCGTATGGTAGCGTGAAAATCTTCTCCGTCCAGACAGTTAATAATCACGTTCATTTTATTGTTCGCCATGAGGAATTTAATTTCAAAATTTTCTTTGTCGTAAATTATAACATTTGAATGTGGAAGCTATAATTTGCACGCATAATAATTTGTCAAACACTCAAAACTGTGTACAATTTTAACCCTGCAATGCTCTATAACATGTATGTACGTACCGATGGGAATCTCTGTTTTAACAGTTCCATTTGTTTGGAATCCGATACTGTGACAAACACTTGACATTTTTTTTCTAGGCAAACGTCTATAGCTGCCCGGCCTACAGCAGTTAATCCAGAATGTACCAAAACTGAATCTTCTTTAGTTATCTTACTGATTTCGAACAATATATAATACGCCTGTAATGGATCGAAATATAATATATAAACAATTAAATGAGTTCAAACAGAAAAATAATATTAAGAGTAATTTATTGTAATAATAATTGAATTAGTAACAAACGTAATGTTTACCATTGAATATGGCACTGGGATGGTTGATGCTTCTTCGAGAGATATGTGTTTAGGAACTGTCCAAGATAAAATAGGATCAACCGTGATATCAGAAATCATCGGTACAAATGGTGCAATTCCCATTACCAAAGATCCGTTGGACGCCACACCGGAATACTCAATAGGTCCTAGTTCGTCGTACTCAATATTGTTGTTTTTCGTATCGATACTTGTGTCTTGGGGATTCAGACCGATATACTTTACAGAAATGTTTTTTAATCTGCAATCAGAATAAAATATTATATTGGCATTATAAAAATTAATGATAGTGTTAAGTATATAAGTTAATATAATAACAATAATCAATCAAATAAAATTTCTCATTAAATTAATCTTATATGAATATTATTCAACATAGTTTATATAATCAAATTTAATATAACGAGACACAATAGAGATTGCTGTAGACTTTGATTTTTTCAGAATCAGTAAAAATTCATTAAAAATAACATAATAGTTTCAAATAATTATATAAAAAAAAAAAATTATTAACACATTATTCAAATATATCTACTTTAATCGAAGTATTTAAATAATTATTACACAATTTTAATAAATAAATGGTAAGTTCTTTTTAGTTTTTTTTTATATAGCAGACAGTTTAAAGTTTTAGATATTGGTGTTTAAATGTGATTAAAAAGAAGTATTATTCTATTAGTTGTATAATTAAGTAGTTAAAATAATAATAGACATGATATATACTTTTTATATTAACAATTTTCATTGAAAATATAATATATATACACTGTATGTTTGCAATCAATAAAGATTTATGTATAAAACAATTATATTTTATATTATGCAATTCAAAAACTTACGATATGTTAGATAAGTTAGTGAGAAGTGTTTTTCTTATTGATGTTTTAGTGTTAATAACATTTGTGAATTTGAATTCCTTATATGTAACCCATCGGCTATTTTGGTAGACGTTCACTAATAAATCTTTGGCGAGTTGTTTAGAATAAAATGGATTACTTGTACTAAATCCAGGAGCAGAATTGTCCAACACGAAGAAAAACCTAAAATAACCGATATTTCTGTAAATATTTCACTTAATATATATAAGTACAATTTACCATTTCCTTACCGAATATTTTTGACGTTTTTCGTTTTTTTCACCAGCGATAATATTCCATCTACCGGTTGAATCTTAGACACTAAGTAAATGGTTTTATCTAAAGATTTCAAATTGGTTAATATAGTTTGGAATTGATCATAACTGTTCATATTTTCTAAAGTCAATCTGTGTACAATAAAATCATTATCGATTTTTAAAGCCTGTAAAAATAATTCTTTTCAATATTGACAGTATTTTCTTTTTCTATTTATCATATATTTTTATTATTTGAACATTGTAGAGGTGCAGATATTTTTATTATAAAACATTTTGCGAATGTTACCTTTTTTATTAAAGACAAATAGTAATCTCCGAATTTCTGTTGCAGCACTACCGTAAAATCACTACTGTCAGATATTGGACTATTTGAAAATATGATCAAATGAACACGATTTTGATTTTTCATCAAAATCATAGCATGCGATAATTTATCATGTCGCGTTAATACGATAAACTGCGAATTGTCTAATCTATTATTGAGTTGTTCCATGCTGACATCGTTTTCCATTATCATCAAATCGGAAATCTAAAAATCAATATTTAATTATTTAACAGTAACCAAAACCAATGTATTTATTAAAATTGTACTGAATTGTAGTCACTGTACATGGGTTTTTAAAATGTGATCGGAATAATTGCGCATCTCGACATCTGGACCATCGTATATAGGATACATAAACACATTTTCAAAATTGTTACTCTGTCTGAATTCAAGCACTATGTCCATACACGTGTCAATAAAATCGATCGATGTCTACAAATAAATTTGATCATTATCATATAAATATTTGGATATTCACCCTCAAGATTATAAACTGTCATATTTTACATAATTAATTAAGTATTATACCTAATAAAATGTTTGATTTATAAAGACGAAAAACCTTCTAGTTCAATTTAAATATATCATATCTTATATTATATTATATCTTATCGATATCATTAGATTATATTTATTATACTTAAAATTGCTAATGCTTTTTGAAATGATACAGTCATTGTAAAATAATAAAATAACTGATTCAGTGATAATAAAACGACTATTATTTCCAACTGAAAAAAAAAAAACTATAACCAGTGGAAATAAATATATTTTTTCGATATCTATAAGTTTTTATTGAATAATTTATTTTTAGTTTTAATGATAGATGTTTCTTTAATTGTAATAAATTTCTTATTTTATCTCCTAAAATTAAATTAAAGTTCTATCCTGTATAATTACACATGACATGGTAATAACTCACTTTCATATTGGGGTTGGATAGATCGATCAAACCCTGTTCTCTAAGTTGGAACTTTGTTTTTACCAACGGATCCAATGGTAATACTTCGAAACAAGGTAGAGAAATCTTGATGCCTTCACACGTCACTTCGTTGGTAAATATATTGTACTGTGCGGCAAAATCTGCAATAACATTTAAAAATAACTATAAAATATACATAAATTAATTTAATGTAAAATCGTTTAAACATTTTTCTTATAGCAATTAAAAATACGAATATATAGTTGAATAATATTTTTTTTATAGACATTTCAAACTCAGATTTAGACAAAATTGAAAATTTTTGGATACTTAAACAAAAAATAACAGTTTTAGTTATTTTGTTGTAATTTAAAAAGTATTTTACGTAAAAATTCGAAACTTTTTACTACCTACTAAGTATATTTTTTTTTTTCTAAATGCAATGAAATATTCAAAATATTTAGATAATTTTTTACTTTTACACCACAAATCTATTCACACTATTCTATAGTACGTCAATATTAATTTCTAAGTAAATAACAGCTAATATTATTATATAATATTGCGACTATGTTTTAGAAAAATGTGTTTAATCTACATTGTTACTATTTATTTTAGAATATATTTTAGTACATTATAAAATCAATGGTATCACTAATACACAAATAAATTATAAATTTCAATATAAATTTAGATATTATAAAATATCCTTAGAAATATATAGATTGTTAACCAATTATTTCTGAATTCAAATTTAAAACATCAGCTATTATACCTACTCTATGAATAAATATACACGATATTTACTATTCATAATAGCTACTTTACTAATTTTTATTTTTATACTTTTATGAAAAATATTAATATTCTAAAAAATACTTCTTTCAAATATAAAGCTTATTAGAGGATACTAGTGAGCAAGAAATTAACAAGAACTCAACATTATCTTAATATGACATTTAAACACAATATTATCGTTCTGTTGTATTTTAAATGTTTATTTAATATAAACCGTTACTACTTCTACTAATATTTTTAATACATAAGATAATGTTAGAGATTATAATATTATGAAGATTTATTTACCATGCACTATACATATAAAATAATAATAGTTCTTACCAATTTAACTATAATATTTAGAATGTACCTACACGGCTATACGCCTTTAATAACTAAACCTTGAAATAGTCGTTGTAAATTTACCTATTGGTTTTGAACTTTGTACCAACGCGGATGAATCGATACTTATTTCTTGAATCGAAACCGGAACAACGAACTCCCCGTGTTTCTCTACATGATGCAATGTAACCAGCTGCAGAATAGCGTCCAGATAGTGTATCCAATTATTGTCCCATGATACATCTGCTTCCAATCCTGCAGGATGAATTTTAAATAAATCATCATATCGTGTTTAGAGAGCCAATTATAAAAGTGAACTAATATCCATGTATGTAGGGTTAATAGTTCAGAAATTAAATATAAGCTTGGTACCAGTATTTAACAGAATTAAAAATTACTTAAAACTTCTTCTTTTTTTTTTTTTTTTGTAATAATGTAAACGAATCTAAAACTTAAGAATTTAAATAAAAATATTAAAAGAAACAATAACCGTTAGAGAATAAAAACCGAAGTCATTGAAATTAACATCGGTTTCAAACTTTGGTAGTTTATTGGTACTTAGTAATACATATTAAAATAATATTATGTTTATTTAGCACATACTATCTTCGTATATGTCTGCGTGCCGAATCATCTTAAAAACGTCACCAACACTGTAGCCAAACTGTTCGAAGTTTGAGTAGACCTCGTCGTGACTCAATGATACTATACAAGAATTGCTGTCGCTTCCGTTGTTTTTTCCATGCAGCACTGTTGCGTTTTTGTTGAACTTCAGATGATCGAATATAAATATGTATCCGGATAACACAATTGTATCATTTAAGCACACTTCAAAGCGCCCAGTTCCACTTTGTATTGACGTAAACAAATCATTGGATTCTAAAACAAAACCAGAAAACTAAAAAAAATTACTCACGTTAGGTATTGTATTTGCGATTTAGGAACAAATTTTAATCAAATATACACTCTAAATACAAAGCGGATGTGTGAAATCGATTTATCATTGTTTCAACTTTGTTTCTTTTCCAAGTCTATTTACTTCACTGAACATAATATCTTACTTACGTATTTTGTTTATCACGACGTGTTGATGATAATGAACATCTTGAAAGACAACGGGAAAGTTAACGTTGGATTCATTTCGTAATTTATTGAACGATTCCCAGATGTAAAACTAAATAAAACGGATACGGCGTAAATGATAATTTCGTCACACAGAGCACAGTCTAAGAGTAAACTTAATATATTTTAGTTTGTAGGGCCTAAAGAGTATAAGTGCTCTTTACTATTATTTGTAGTTATTTTATATTTATATATATACCAATAGTGCTGAGAGTGGAAGAACATGGCGGCCGTGTATTTCATATTCTTCAATTGAACTGTTTTTAACAGGCGATAGCGAAAAATACCTTTCACCTTTATTTTTATTTTCCTGTAATTTTTATAATTTAGATATTAAATTTGGTATATTTTTTGTATAAATTTATATTTAAAATATATTATTTTTATTGAATATTATAAGACATACCAATGATCTCATGTTGATGTTTGTCCATATTTCTTCGTGATTCCATGAACACAACGTATGCAATGGTGGAGTGCCACTAGATACTGGATAACTTACAGGATTATACAACTTTTCAATGTTTGGATTTAATCCATTACAATACATTCTAAAAAAAAAAAATATGTATATTTTTTAATCTTAATTTCTTAACCATTAATTTGTTTGGGTAGATCTTTAAAAAAAAAAAACGGGAATTTTGACATAAAAGAACTTTAATTCTCATTTCCAATAATTTTTAATTATAAAATAAATAAAGATATCACTAATTCATTAATTTTAAACAATTTTGTAAGTATAAAATATTTGATAAATATTTTGTAGTGATAACTTAACTGAAAATATAGTCCTGCTATAAAAAAACTCGTCAATACTATATTATTATCTTTTAAATCAATAACGTAATCGACTGTTTAAAACAGGGGTCGGCAACTTATGAGCCGTGTGCGACTCATATAGAAATTTTATGCTGCCCACAATTACAATTTATAATTGGTATAAAAAATATGGAATATAGCATTATTTTAATTGATAACCTAACTTTGTTAATATATACCACGTTAAATTAATATAGGAACCAAAAAATAATGGAACTTAAATAAATTAAGTTAAACTTTGTTTAAAATTTAAAATGTAAATAAAATAAGATGTACGGTCCGTTAAAATTTTTTTTATTAATTTTTGGCCTTTGACATCAAAAAGATTGCTGACCTCTGGCTTAAAGTATCTGAAGAAATAAGTAAATTGAGTTATAGAGGTTTTTAATGTTTACTTACTTGCCGATAGCTGTTAACAAATATCTAACAGAATCTCCAAATACTCTTTGAGTCAACGGGATGTGGACCAAATCACTGAATGATCTTTTAAGTATGGCCTGGAGAAGACCATGTGGTGCAATCTCAATAACAATAGCATTGCTTGGTATATGTGTACACGTTTCCTCAAATAACACAGGACTCAATAGGTTGTTAGTATGATATTCTGCTGAACAGTAACGAGCCAAATCCGTATCCCACTTTGACTCTGGTACAGAAGTACTGAGCCATCGCGATGATCTCGGTTTTGGATTAGGCACAATCTGAAAACCCGTATAAAACCATATCAATAAAGATCTGAAAAGCGTCGCTTTCTGTGATACACATTTTTTGGCTAAAAACTCGCGTTTACTTTAGTTAAGTATTCGAGTAGTTTCGGAGCCCCCGGTTTTATGTATCGACTGTGGAACGAAATATTCGAAACGTTAACTGACTTCGCAAAAATGTTTTCTGATTGGAGCTTTTTAACGAACTCCATTACGCTTGCGGTAGGTCCGGATATTGTGCAGTTCTCGTTTGAGTTGTGACATGCCACATCTATATCAGATGGCAACCTGTTCTTGATGGACTGATAACCAAGACCTACAGCTGCCATCATGCCGTCTATAAATGTTGTGTCCAAGGAGGCCCGACCCCGGGCATACGCAGCCATTATCATCTCTTCGGCGGTGAAACACCCGTCGGCGTAAGCGCAACCCAGCTCACCGACCGAATGTCCGATCATTCCATCCGGTTCAATGTCCAACGCCTTCAGAATATCTACCAAACCAATCTATAATAAACACCAATAAGCGCCGAGTATAGTGATAATTAGTAAGTATTATTAATTTATTATTGTGCTAACACACAATGTTTAAAATATAATTTAACTATTGCAGAATAAAAATCGTTATACTTGATAAATATTGGTTTTTACTATGTATTTAGGTTTTTGGAACATTTTTTTACTGTTTATATACCTGAATTGCAGATATGCCGACGAACGAGTTCAATATGTTATCAAACAACTTCGGATCCAAGCTTGTCATAATATTCACTATATCGATGCCCAAAGGCCGCAGAATAGCGTCACACTTTTCAATCGCCTGGGCAAAAATTGGTATTCGTAACAGTTGTGCACCCATACCTAACCATTGTGACCCCATACCGGAGAATACGAACCATACTTGAGGTTTTTCATTCGTAATCGACTAACAAACACATATTGACATAAATATTAAGTAGCTACAAGAAAAGAAGGGATTTTAAGTTCGAGTTTACTTACAAAAACGTCTTTTTCTCTCCACGGACCCAGTGTGGGAATTATGAAGAAACTTCGGGAAAAATGAGCACTGATGTTTTTAGAGAACACATTATGCAGCAATGATGCGTATTCTTCATCAACATTATAACTTTCAATCTATAAATAAAAATAAAAATGTTCACGTGGCACTAGTATAACATTACCTTAAGTTTAAATATCTAATTAAATCATACTATTTTTATTGTTTTTCTGACTCCGACATCATTATGCCCAGAAACAAGAATTAATCTCGGTAAATCATCATCAAACATTTCATCTTTTGCGTATATTTTCTTCTTTTGTTTATTATACTTTTTCATAATAATATGACCATAATTTCCTGTTCTACCAAAAATATTTAAACCTACGAAATCACCATTTAACGGAGTCTTTTCTGTGACAACCTAAAATAATAAATACAATATTAAAATTGAATGTATTCTAAAAAATAAGCATGTGAAATAATAAAATATTGTTTAATAAATATAATTTATTATTTTTTTATCGCTCAAATTGATAATCTTATTGAAATCCGTTTAAAGTTTTAATGACATATTAACAAATTTTAGTGTAATTATGTATGCCATCCATTAATAAAAGCATATTCAATTAAATTGAACTACCTGTAATTTTCCAGATGTAATAGCATCTGATTTATTGCTTGGTGCGGTATAATTTATATTGGGTGGTATAAAACCGGTGTCCATTGCGATGATTGATTTAATTATCGAAACAAGACCAGCGGAAGCATCAGTATGGCCTAAATTGCTTTTCACTGACCCGATCTTTAAAGGTTCTTTTCGATGGGGAGGACAAAATATATCTTTAATTATATCTAACTCCATTGCATCTACATCCTAAAATGAATATAAAATTATATTGAATTATGGGTGTATATATTTTTTTATGCATATATTTTTTTAAATAAGGAATAATTGATTTAAAATACCTTTATTGCAGATCCATCAGCTTCAATATATGCAACTTTAACGGGATCTACTCCTGCTTCTTCGTATGCATCCTTTATCATTTTCTTATAATGTTCAGTAGAATAATTGGTAAATACTCCTCTAAGGTTTCCATACTGTTCCATTTTCACATTAACTATCGTGCCATATGAACGTTTTGCGTCCAACGAATTTTGTAATAAAATGGCCACACATGATTCGGATCTATTGAAACCATCCGCTAAGAAAAAAAAGAAAGTAAAAATAAATTTCTATTAAGCCAAGCCATAACATCAAAGTACTGATTCTATCACAACCGTTAGTATATATGAATATATTATACTCACCATCTTCGCTAAACGATCGCGTCTCTAACCCATTATTTAGAACTCCTAAACCTTTCATCTGAAGTGATAAATTTGGTCTTTGCACTAGATTGCAACTTCCGATTATCGCGGTTCTGATATGGCCATTTTCGATCATATGTTTAGCCATTACTATCGCGTCCACGCCACCGGTAAATGATGATAATATCGTAAAACTAGGGCCTATATTATATAAAATAATATACCGTTTAAATCACTATTAGTCTAAATATATTCCCATTACCCACACTGGACGTCTTATGCTTTCCAAACATAGTTTACCAGTTGAATAAAACAATATTTAAATATAGTCATTCGCTAATCCACATAAATGGTTCATATATAATTGAAAGAAAATACTCACCGTTCAAATTTAAAACGTATGAAAGCCTGTTGGCTTGCATGGCTTTATTGTGGCCAAGTATAGCAAATCCTGATTTTGAATTGTCAAGTATGGCAAGTGTATCGGTTTCGCTAGTTGAAGAGCATGTGAATACTGCCGTGTTTGTGTTATGTAAATCTCCCGGATTTAAACCTGAAAAATTTAGTTATTTTTAATAAAAACAAAACAATATATCCAGCAAAATTAAATAGACTATGACCATGATTTAACAATATACCATTAAAGTTGTAATTTTTCTATCAGTTAGATATTATATCAAAAGCACCGATAACATTGAGACATAAGAAGTAGATATCGTGATGTTTTGTTTTTATACAAGCATTGTTATTGCATTATTGAATATATTATATAAAAAACATATTCTGATTTGATATTCTTTTGAATTATATATTTGATATTTATAAATAGCTATAAAAACAACTTATAGGAAACCTTGTTTTACAATATGCACATTATTTTATAGTTTAAAATTAATATAATTTCCTATTTTAATAGCTATTTATGGCTTGAAATAAATAAATAAATATAAATCATAAAAACAAATACAATTCAAATACTTATCTTATTTATATTTACAAAATAATATTATATTTGTATATATTTATATATGATTTGTTTATATTATTAAGCTAACCTGCGTCGATAATAGCTTCCACGGATCTCTCCAAATTCAACTTAATTACAGTCTCAGAACATTCAACTAATTTTCCATGCATGTTGAAGAAAACGTTGTCAAATCGATCAAGAGACTTTACTTTGCCTACTCCAGATTTTATCCCATACTGATCTGAAAACAAAAACAAAAAATTTCAAAATATTCTGTGAAATAATATTATTCTATTTAGACAATTATTAATTTAGTATCTTTTATACTTATTAAAATGTATTAAATATACTTTAGTAGTAAATATTCATAGCGTTTATAGATTAAACAAATTTTTAAGTCATAAAAATACTAAAGAAAAGGACTATTTTACTGTTGTTATTTGTAAACACCTATATAAATGTATGAAGGTATACAAGAATTTTATAAATAATATTATATATTACTAAAAGCATATATTTGTAAAAATAAGATTTTATTACTGGGTTTCATTAATAATATCTAAAAAATTAAGGATGTTATATATTGAGATAATGATCTCTTAAACATGATTTGTCTATTAAATTTTATTTTATCATTAAAATAATCAATTTTAACCCAACATATTTTATATTATGTTTATTTATTAGTAATTTTACATAGATAAAAACTATGAAATATACTGTATCAATCAAAGGTACCGGTATAACTACTAAATAATATCTTAATTTTTCAAATTTTGCTGAAAATATAGAACTTTTTAAAAATTAATAAACGGATTATAAATTAAAAATAAGATATATGAACTAAACCTGTTTTCTAAATTATTTAGTATAACTCTTTTATATGTGATACAAGTTGATACACGTTATAATAATTTTATATTACATATTTTTATAGTGGAATTTTTAATAGTATCAACAATAACTTAACACTAATAATTCTCATTTGGAACATACCGCCTCACTATTGCACTATTACAACCAACTAGTAAATAAGTACACTTATCTATTCTGCTTATTATTTTAGAGTTGGTGGTACAGTCGTCACTCGTTAATTCGAACCTCGATAATTCGAAAAACTCCATAAATCGAACTAAACGCTAAGTCCCCTGGAGAAAACCTCTATAATTAGAAGAAAATACATGTATTCCGATCCACTCGATAATTCAAAATGTCTGTCGGTGGGACACGCTCTAAAATTCGAATTTTTATTCCATAAACATCTATAATTCAAATTTCTTTAAACGCAATTATATGTAAGCTTATATGTAAATACAATGTACATACATATGAAGATTACGTAAATTTATTTGACGTACTCTTAATGAAACTAATAACGTCGGTGGTTTAATATTATCAAAGTTGATAAACGTTATCGAACCTTACCTACCTAATCTAAACTTTTGTCAGGATTACGTCAATTTTTTGAATAATCTGAAATGAACGAAAAAATATGCGATACAATTTTCAATGCTATTATATAGTAAGTTAGACAACGCTATAAACCAAATTGTGGCCAGAAATTTATCATAAAAAAAATAACAGATTTCTTTAATATGTATGTATATGTCAAAATAAATTTAATATGAACATACATACAATCTTTATTCGAATTACTTTTTTTCCTTTGATTATTCGAACACTCAGTAAATTGAAAACATATATAAGTCAAATTTTTAACTTGGTCCCCTGAATTTCAAATTATCGAGTGACTACTGTATTTGATTTATTTTTTCCCCATTTATTTACTATCAAAATCGATGATGACAAAATAATAATACGGAATTCTTTGTAACTATGGTCAAAACTATTAAATCTGGTATACCGATATTTAAAATACCAAAAATACTGGTTAGTTGTAATAAATCAAGACTGATGTTTACAGATAAACCAAAATTACAACAGGGCTAGTAATAAATATCTCAATAGATAATAATATCTAAATATTTGTAAGTTATAGAATTATAATATTATTTTTGATGATAAATATTCATTTTAATATTATTAAGTAATTTTATACTAAATATTAGGTAAAAATCTATCTTTTAACACCTGATATTTATACTGGGTAAAATATCAAACGTTAATAGAAATGTTATTATTTTAAATCTAAATGTTTGTATTTGATTTTTGAGCGCAAAAAAAAAATGTAAAATATTATATTGTAATTAAGGATATGTCCGACGGAGGTACCGATAGCTTTATAATTATATCTCTTAAGTTAATGATTTAATGATGGAACGTAACTAATTGTTGCACCGATTAATTCAAATATTTTTTCTAAATTATAAATTTAAAAAATAATGAAATTTATATACATATAGGTTATTAAGTTATATGTACATTATACATATAGGATACTAAATCAATTAATTTTTGTCCATACTACAAAAAATTATCATTTGATAATTGTTTCTTTTTTTTATATTTTGTAAAGTGGAGAAATATTTAAAAAAGAATATGGTAATATTGGTCACTTAAGCGAAAAATCAAATACTTGTAAAAAATTATATTAAGTTGACAACAATATACACGCTATATATTTATAATTAGTTTGAATATAAAAATATATTTTGTATATATTTTAGAATTTAGATTATAATACACTAAAATTAAATTTAAAATGCTATAAAAGTTTAACCTTATAATGATATTGAAATGTTTGATTTTTTTAAAGTAAAATGTGAGAATAATTTTTAATGCATTTTTAATTAGGAGAAATATCATACGATAATTACGTCGTGTTGAATTTGTGATTTTGATATCATTATTTACTAACTCAAAGTATTGGTGAAATCCTAAATATAATAACTTTGTAGAACTATTAATAACCGAAGTCTAGTATTACTCTTGACTGGTTATTTTCCCTATAGTTTATTACAATATTTATCTACAATTTATCAAAAATTATAAAATAACAGTAATAAAAACAAGACGAGAAAAATTCTACATTTTAAATACAAAGTTATAAAGCCCTGCATTAACCAATACTAGTTATACAACTCATAAAAGCAACATAAATATTCATCACAACATTTATCTTACCTAATGGCCAACGTCTCGAGTCTAACGTAATTCCGTTTTTTTTACTGAAAAGCAGATCTTTCAATTCTTCCACATTGTCACTTTCGGGAAATATTCCGGCTATACCCGAAATGACGACTTCCGCCTTCTTTGTTTCCGCCATAACGAAGGTAGAAGTGGCTTAACGTTATTTAATGTTTGTTTAATGGAATATCGAATTTAGATTTCAAACGGATTTCACTACAATCAACAGTCATTGGCTTAATCTGTTGAAAATCTAACCACAATGTAACGAGTACAGCAAAATAATGATGACAGGAGTGTTACCGATAGTCCTTTGGTTTTTATGATAATCGATGATAATTTTATTCACGGCTGTATAATGTACACTAAAAGTGTAATCAATATTCACTGTGTAATAATAAATTAATTTTCGTCGGGGAAAAAATGTATGATTTAGTCATCGAGTACTTCCGTTATTGAAGAATGTCTTGTACACTTTACCTGTACGGCAATATTAGCACAAACGCACAGTCTTAAAACACTATTCACCCATACATACCAGTGCATACGTCCAATGAAGTTTTTAACATGTGACAATGTTTTTTTATATGCATATATAATATTTATATACATACATAATGTACTGGGTAAATCTCTTGCCAAAAAACACTAATTAAATTTCAGAAAATATTTTTATTTTTTAGATATTTTCAAGTCAAAAATACAAACAATACAACAAAACAATTAAAATATATTTTATAAGTACATCATTATGTAACCTTTTCAAAAAAAAATTCCCTCGAACTATTAATTTATAAGCCACAAACACGCGTAAAAACATTTTTTTTTTCTAATCTAACCTTTGAATATTTTATTTCACATACATAAATTAAAATTACTCTTCTACGAAATAACGAAAATATACTATGCAAATTTCATCAAATATGCTGTTATCCTTAATATACAAATTTATAGGCACCATAAATATTTTTCTATGCATTCTCCACTAACCTAACCTGTTGAAATTTCTTACTTCTATCAAAATACAAACACTAAAAATACATATATGTTTAAAAAATCATACACATCCGGCAATTTTGTTATAAGTATTTAAAACGTAGACAAGTGAATGGAATAGAGTGGCAGATGGGTACCGTGTTTTTCCATAATTCCACTGCTTCACTTATCAAACCTTTACTCGCACAAACCCAGATTAAGACCTCCAAATAACTAGGAACCAATAATTGATTGTAGACCCCTATCAACAGACAAAAAATATATTTTCTATTTATACTTTATAAATTTATAATATTGACTATATTTGTATACGCATAAGGCATAGCTCTATAGTTACTCACTATATTATAATATAACGATTGATTAAATATTCATAATATGTAAAATGATTTAATAATATTACAATGTTTAAACTTAAATTATAATACTAAAACGATAGCTTTTTTAACTAAAAATAAATGTATCCATTTAATGTTATTAATATTTATATTTGTTCAAATTTTAACATTTAAATTGCCTTGATTATTATTATTTTTTTATTTATATAATATAATAATATGATAAACGCACTATATTATATTATAATAAAAAGTAAATATTTTTTTAGTCTTAGTTTAGTGGCATTGTACAGTAATATTTTATTTAAGTATTGACATATTAATAAATTTAAGAAAAGATAGTCAAATTCATAACATTAATAACAAAAAATATGAAGTAAAAAAAAAAAAATGGACTATTAAAATGTACTTGAGTGAATTATAACCAAAGAGGTTATCAGTTCAGCCATTGGTTTTGAGTATATTTCGTAAATGATTGGATCATTATCTATAATGGATATTGTGTTGAGTTAAAATTCAATTCAATGATATTATTGTATACCTACGAAAAACAATTTCAAATGGAGATAGTCTATTTATTTTTATTTTTTATTTTTTTTTTCTCAATTGCTTTTAAAGATATTGAGAAATTACATATTTTGACTCACCAAAGTTCTTAAGCTAAATGACATTTACTACCGGAAACCACCCTCGAAGAAAACGATTAGAGCATTTATTTTACTATAAAAAGTATCCCCAGACATAAAAAAATTTAAAAAAAAACATACATATATTTAAAAACAATACATTTATCGCTAAACTTAGAATTAAGAATCATTTTCCAAAAAATGTTAATAGTTTTTAAAATAATGGATGTTTTCAGTAAAAGAATCTTCCTGCATATAATTGAACACGATTTTATTGTATTGTCTGACATTTTACAGTCATATTAAAAAAAAAAAAAATACAAATATATTATAATTCAAAAATAATTTGTTCCTAGTACAATATTGTTTGCTAGTTGTTTCACGAATGGTACATTCATATGACAACATTGTAATTAAATAATATCATTACAATGTCTAATAAATATAGGCATACAGTATCATTGATGGTATTATATATTATGCTCTGTTATTATGATATTTGATATACACCTCTGAAAGTACGTAAAAACATGATACGAGGTATTTACACGTATATCGAATTTTAAGGTTCAAGGCTAAAGATGTGTAATGAAATTATACAATAACACACCTTGAGTTAGATGCTAGTTGTACCGTACGACTGATGAGTAACCGTCATCATCACGCTAATACTTGTATATATATAGCCATTAAGGTATTAGTTTATTATTTTTAACATAACCACATAGACATATTAATAATTAAAATAAACCCACCAAATAAAAATATTGAATTTAATTCTGAGAATTTTTAAGGTGTTTAAAAACATACATAGTTGTTAATATCATTATAGATATCAATAATAATAATATAACATCACATTTTATTTTATTTGTTCTACTCTACTGTCTGAACAAACGTAATTACTTATGTTGAAATATTAATTGTAGGGTTTTATACAAGCAATACGTAAAATATGTTATATTCTAAATTAATTTAGATTTTGTAAGTACATTTGAAACGTGGTTTAATTTTTCCCAGATTGATCAGAACGTATCTAGACGGTAATCAAAAACATGAGTTGTACTTTTTAAATATAATAAATTTGACATATTATATTTACAATATTGCTGAAATACATAATCAACAATTTTAACTACACTTAAAGTTTTATAATACTTGTTTATTAATCGACATTAAATGTAAAATTATTACTTTTATAGCAATGTTATAATACATTTTAACTGTGGGAAACTAAAATATTACAAAAAAAAAAAAAAACAATCGATATAAAATAATTTTTTTGAACATTAACTTTCGAGCGCAAGGTTAGGTCAATGCTCTACAAGGGTAATAACTAATACCAACGCAATATTTCACGCAAAAAAAAAAAAATACATTCGCTTAGGATTTCTTTAAAATCATATCTTGGGTTGTATAATATAACATGAGGCACACAGCCTAATCTTTTTTCTCTCGCCAATAATGTGTAATTAATATTTTAATAAATTCTTTAAAAATAATTTCATGTAGACTGTAATTTAATTATATTTGCAATGTTAGGCGTTAAATATTGCTTCATATTATGTAAAATATTTAAAGAACGCGCATGTGGTAATCGAGTAAGACAAAACCGTAGGTCATTGATCGTAAACAAATAGATATACACACATAATTTAAATACAATTTATAAAGGTTAAAATTTATAATTCAGTGTCATTGGATTCAGTGGAAAAAAATATTAAACGACCACTGGCGTGGTAATAGTTGTAACGTCTAATATCACGCGACAATATGATGGAAAGGTGATGACTGACTTATTTCCGTTATCAAAAAATAAAAGTTATATAATATGTATTATACACTAAACAATCGTCATTAAAAAAAAAAAAAAAGTTACGGACAATTCGTAGAGACATTAATCTGAAACAATATATTATATTAAAAATGTTTATATTGGTTTGGGACGGACCGTATGAAACTGTTGTTAATCTATATCCATATAATTAAATGTACGTTTGTATGGAGCTTATAGACTTGAAAACTACTGAGTTAGTTGGTACCGAATTTTGTACGCGTAATCCTTAAAACTCGGATTGTGACCTTGCTTTGTTCTTCGATTTTTTTTTTTTTTTGGTTGTTTAGAGTGGCTTACACTTGTATTTAGTATTAGCTTACGAAAATCGGCTAATTTTTTCATTGCTATTGGTCACAGAAATAAAAATAGCTCACTGACCATCGTTGCTATGGTACTTTTTTGAGATTAAGGAAAATAATATTTTAGTAATTAATTTTTATTTTTATTCAAATATATAACAAACATCAATATTCGTATGTTTAAAACTTATAGAATCAAAAATTACTTAACTAATTATAACAAAAGACTCAGTGATTATTCTTAGAATTATCTAGAAAGATTAAGAAATAGTTTTAATCTGTAAGTTTAAATATTATTATATTATGCTGTTTAAATTTTGTTATTTATGTTACTTGATAAATCACAGTTTAAAAAAAAAAAAAAGTATAAATAATACGATTTTATCAAATTAAAAAACAAATGTTCATTAGGTATAATTATTGTATTTTTATTTTTTTTTATTATATTTATTCAACAACAAATATATATTTTTGAATAAAACTGTATAAATTTACACCTTTTATTTTTTAAATTATAACTAGTTAGTAATTTATTTAAAAAAAAATTACTTGGTTGGACTGATTCAAATTTTTAACAGGAGCTGATTTTACCCACAAACAAATGTCGTATACTAGGTACGTATAGTTTGTAGGTGGGTATCAATGCTTAGAAATTATTAATATTTATTTTTTTTTTTAAATAAAAATAAATGTTGCATTCTGGTGGTAAGACTTGTAGACTATATCTTGGTATCGTATAGTGGTAACAATCACCACTTACTTATAATAATATTTATCATGTATATGTATTTCATGAATAATAAAATTGAATATAATATTCATGTTATAATGACAATTATAAACGAACAACCACATTGTTAATTTTTTTAAATCATTATTTACCATATAATACAACGGATATTTTGTCGAGTTTCTAGTAGGTAACTAAAAAGAAGAAGTTGTTTAACTATAATATTATTTTATTTTGAACTGCATGTCTACACATAACTATATAATGCATATTCCAATGATTTCTCGTATAATACAATACAAGTATATAGATTATAATAAGATGGCAAATTATGCAAAAAAATATCCCTATTATTATTAAAATTATACTATTAATTATTACTATACATATTATTCATATATCGTATATATTTTATACCATAGTAAAAGAAATCTTTTATAATGAATGAAATAGTTTCATGAACAAATCCTATAATCATTAATCAATTTTTTTTTTTAAATTCACTAAAAGTAAGTAAATTTACAATAAAATATAGTTTATAATATTAATTAATGTCACAGTTTAAATCGTATAAAATATTAAAGCGATGTCATCTACTAATTTCTATAGTCCCTATTAGTCTATGTATGTTATAAACTATAGTTTACGAAGTCCTGTAGTAAATACTTAACAATGATTTTTAATACACTGGCTCAGACAATAATTGTCAGCTAGATTCACCTAAGTAATAAATTAATAAGATTCATACACAACCTCGACACGTCTGGTTAAATGATAATCTTAATTATGTTACGAATAAACTTAAATTATGCATGTGTTGACATCGACCACGACAAATATATGATATTTACTAATTCCCTTTATACATGTGTATCGCAATATCAAAACAAGATGAAAATAGTCTAAGTTGAAGTACAAAAACTTTTCATTAATGGTTATGAATATGTAAGTATGATAATTAATTGTAATATATAATAAATTATAATATATAGAAAATTGTATTACACATCCTATTGAGATAAGCGATAATGTGATCCGTGAGACACACACATGCATTATAGTCACAATATCAATCGACTTATTTTTTTATATTTTTCATTATGTTTCATTTAAGTCATTAGGTATTTACTTGTACAATTTAAACTATATAGTTTTACCATGTATTAAATTATATTATATTAATTTATACATTACGATTACAGCATAGCCATTAAGTAAATTAATATTTGTAATTTCTAGACGATAATATGGATGATATTAACACTACATAGTTTACCTGCAATTATGGTTAGACACGGGTGATGACATACAAAGTGAAAAATAATAAATATGATTAGGTAACTTCACATTGCCAAAAATAGTTCAATTATTATTTACTATACGTAAACAATATGGTCGATTTATTTATTCGTATGACATAACAATGATCGATAGCCCTAGATTAAAATATTACCTATTAGAACTAGGAATCACATTAAATTTTCGTTATAGTTGACTTAAATAAACATTGTTTAAGCAATATATCATATGAAATATTAAATTTGATTAAATATATATATATATATAAAATCTAGTCATGAAACTATCTCAAGAGTTAATCCTAAATTAAATTTTGCGTCGACTGTACATAAACCTAGGACTTATTATTTCTGCACCTTTGTGTATTTTCATTTATCTTAATTTGCTAGCGGTTCATTGTACTTATCCGTTTTTATCTTTTCTTTTGGCACGATATCTTGTGCCCTAATAAAAAGAGAACTCAATGTTGATCGAATAGGACAGCTATTTGTTGACGAGTTCAATTTTAGTAGGTATCTAAACTTTACTGAATGTATGATAAAGACCAATTATTTGGATTGAATCAAATAAAGTGATTTTTTTTTTTAAGGCACAACAATATTCACATAGTCTTAACCTTTTGATTACTTGAATTATAACAATTATAATATTATAATTATAAAATCTTTTATTTATTATTATTATTGTGTTTTACTACATTTTTAAACATGCTCAAATCATCACAGATAATTTGCTCAAGTTATTAATTTTTTTCTGTTTCTTAATTTTAGAAAACACAATAATACAATATTATACAATAGATACTAAATTAAAATAATATTTATATTAATAACTATAAATAATGTTTAACCCTGATGCCTAAAATGAATTTCGTGTATAATATTTAACATGAAATTAATTAAATACAATTCATGTTTACATAATATAAAAAAATACAAATCAATTAAGTCACATAATAATTGAAAACATTTCTCATGTAGTAATAAAACTTTCGTATTTTTGAAAGGTTTAAATCATTTATTCAAAAACATTAAAATATTAGGTACAATGTAAAATCAAAATGTTTAAAAATAAAACAACATAATAGCATGATAAAAATAGAATATATTTTTTTTTTAGTTTTAAAAACAAAATAAACTATGAAAAAATATTATAAATAAATTGAATTAAATATTTGCACTTTTTTGTTTTACTTATTAGCAATTTATTGGGAAATATATAAATAAAAAATATTTTTTTATAATAATAAAAAAATACACTGATTTTTTTATTTATATATTAACTCAATGCAAAAATAAGTTAATCCATTTACTTTATATTAATACCAATAGCATTAAGTTCAGCACGTTTGTACAAATTTGTGATTGGAATTTCGTTGGCATCTGGATGATAATGTAATATATTATTATTTATAATTTGAGATAATTTTTTTTCTGATAGCATGTTTTCGTAGTCTTTTTCATCAAAGAAAATTATTTCGGGCATAATAACGCAAAACTAAAAAATAAAAAAAATATGATTTTGAAAAATGATCTAATCAACCTATACTGATAAAATATGCAAGACATCATGATTTGTATTATTTATATTTACAATTTATAAAATAGAGATCAAAATTTATCGTTTTTTTTTTTTTTTATACGTTAAGTTGTAAATTTGAGAAAAAATTTTATAAAGTTTAAACTTTAAAGGTTGTTTATAACAAAGTCGAGTTTGGTTGCTTTAAAACTACATATTATGTACATTACTTACATCTTCTAGTTTATAAACTTTTGATTTTTCAACATTCATAGCCCTATAAATCACCATGATTTTTGCGATTATTCTATTTGTAAGTGGCCTTAAATCAAGTAAAGCGTTCAATCTAGAGCGTATTGCGTTCAATGCCTTTAAAGTTTTATCAGTAGCCAATACGTTGTTTGATAATAACACTTTAGGCAATTCTGTATTCCAACCGTTTTTTGTTGATATTTCTCTGGCCATCTAAAAATGTCCGATAAATAAATATAATATGATATAATAAAAGTTTTTGGTAACAAAAATAAATGTTTATTACCATACTGCTGATTTGGAAATAATTCAATAATAATTTAGCGTTAATATTTCCGTATTGTAGCAAACTCTTTGTCCATTCTTGGATTATATTTGGTATACCTTCCAACAGTGTCAGACTCACTGCAATATTATCTGCTTCCAATAACTGTGCCATTAACATACAAACTGCACCACCCCAAGATACACCGATTAGAGAAACATTACCGCATTTAGTAATCGATTTAAGTTTCTATAAATAATTAGTAATTTATTATTTCATAAATAAATAATCTAATAAGGTTTCAAATATAAAACATTGGTAAAAATAATATTATCATGATATTAACCTGTACTAATATTCTTGCTACGTGCTCTATGGATTCTATAGTTTCAGGCAATCTCGCTTCGAATGCTGGATATATTAAATGTTCATACAATTTTTTCATTCTTTTTGGCAGGAATCCAGTAACAACAAACACAGGTAAACTCACCGATTTATTAAATCGGGGACTCTTAGTAGAAACTTCTATAAATTCAATTTCTTCCGTAACTGTATCTCCAAATGTGATTAATTCATCAATAGATTTAGGCAATTCCGCAATCATTTTTAAATAATATTCTCGACTTGCTATAAAAACGCAAATATTTTGTATAATTAATAAGTTTTTTTTTAGGTTAATTGACAAGTATCGATAATAATTAAAGTTCGGAATAATTATCTAAATAAAAATGTGCTGTTTTGAACAAAAACTATTGCATTTGTAAGTACTCAAGACTCATTAACTCTTAAATATTCAAAAATTAAAAATACTTTTTTTTTATCTAAAAATTATTTAAAAATTACTTTTCTTATAATTTTTGTACTTTTTTATTAATTTATTTTTATTCCGAACTATTAATTTTTCACTATAAACAATGCAATTTATAGACAACAGTTATTACCAATCAATGTTTTGTCATATTCAGTGCATATTATCGTTGATGTAGACATTTTATCTATGTTTATTAATAATTTATCTAATAATGGTACTAGATTAGAAAAATTAGGTTTCGCAGAAATTAAACTCCATGAAAGACAAATGGTATTTGGACAAACGCCGTTAGCTCTTAATTCTGTACAAGTATTTTCTCCACCACTCATAATACAAACAAATAAAGGTTTCAGGTTTTGTAAAGATTGATCGTTTTCAAGTAAATATTGAATGTTACGTATCTTGTCTTCTTCGTCGCTCTATTTTAATAATAATAAAAATATGATAAATAAACAGCTACAAACAATTTTGTGTATTAAAAAGCATAATAATATACTGAAATTAAGTATAGAAAGGAGTATAAATAATTAATATCTTATAGTAAAAAAATTATGTGAACGTATAGAAAGATAGAGTATTTAAATTTTAATATATCATTAGTTGAATCCGATTAAAAATGGTATTACATGTATTTGTAACAACAGTAATTAATATATCAGTAAACTGCGAAATATATCTTTAAGATCTGAATGTATAGTCACTATAAAAACTAAATATGAGTTTAAAAAAATAAGTATTTTAAAATAAAAAACAATTTGTTTTATCAGATATTATTTTTTATATTATTATAGATACAAATGACAACAATATAATTTATATACTCGTATTCTTAATAAAATATATATATATATATATTTAAAAAACAACAATTTCAACTACCATATTGATTAAAATCAATATATAAACATAATTTTAAGTTTCAATTTTATACGAAGAAACATTAATAAAAAAATATAATAGAATTACCATTGTAGCGAAAAAAACCCCTCCGAGAGGATACATTGCTGTTGTTTCATTTAATAACAAAATTAAATCTTCTTTTGAGTTCAAATTTGAATCTGATACTATTTGCACCAAAACGTTTTTATATCGTGATAAAAGTAAATTAAACCTGCATAATTATATTTATCAAGTTAGTAAGCAATACCTTAATTATTTTTCAAACAACAATAATGAAAATGAGTTTAAAAATACCTTCTTGATGCAGTAGTAGACATAGAGTATTTTTTTAATACTACAACGATCTTTCGGGCTCCTCTTATTACTATCCATTCAGCAATATCAATCCAAGTACTATATTTACTTCCTATATAACCAAATAGTTGGATATTTTAGACTAACAATCAAATTATTTACTATCTATATTAAATTGGTAATGATATCTTACCAAAAATTAAATACACCCGGTCAGAATAACATTGATATTTTTCAAATTCTGATCCTTTTAAAGACTTTCCTAATATATTTTCTTCTTCTATAGCTAAGACTACTCGATTATATTCTACTTTTTGAAGTGATAAGCTAGTTTTTAAACACAAAATATAAAAACGATAAATATTTTTTTTTTCATACAATGTAATTTAGATAAATAATATACTGTAATGATTTTATGGCTTGTTCTGTTGTACAAGGACCAGTTAAAACGTTTCTATCAAACGGTTTGACAATACCAAGATCTATTCCTTTTTGTACTTCACCATGAATTTTTAGTTTTATTTCACTAGTTTCTGCCAACATTCTATCTGGACTAACACCATAAAATGTAGTATTTTTTAAAAAAAAAAATAGCCCTAAAACATTAAAACAATATTTAGATAAGTAAGTTGGCCACATGTCAGCAGAAATAATATTACCAAATTTGTCTTTATTCTTCATGTCAGTTTTAGTTAATTGAAAAAATTTTCCACGTTCTGCTATTATTCGAGCCGATTCATGAAAATATTGGCCGTGAAGACAATTTAAAATTACAGATACACCTTTTCCATTGGTAGCTTTTTTAAGTTTTACTTCAATATTATCATAACTAAAGATTCTGGATTCTGATAACTTCAAATCATAATGGATGTTATTAAATTATATATTTAAATATTTTTATTTAAAATAATATTTTATGCATATTTATTAATAGTGAAATTTCTTACCATAGTGAATTTATTCTTAAGTAGCATACTCTGTTCTTTATTTTCAACTGTGACATAAACAGAGAATCCTAACGATAAGGCTACAGCTATAGCTGCTTGCCCAAAAGCATTGAATCCGGCATTTACTAATATTGATTTATCAAACATATTATCACTTGGTAATTTTAAAATAGTCAATATATAATATGCCTATAAAATAATATAGTAATTTAAAATCATACAAAAATTGAGTTAATCAATAACAATAAAATAGTGTAATACCAGATTTAAATTATCAACAATTAAAATAATAACAAAATATCAATAATTATTTATTTATGTTTGTTAAATACTAGTTTTATTTAGAAATATTACCATCGAATAAGAAAGCGGAATAGTAGCTGCGTCTTCTAACGTCAGGTTCGATGGAATTGTCCATGTTAATTGTGGATCCGATGAAATTTTATTGAATGTATTTTTTCTAAATGGAGCAATTCCCATTACTCTTTTACCATTGTCTGTTATACCAGAATATTCTAAATGACCAAGTTCGTTCTAATAAATAAAAATATGGTTAAAGTAGGTATAATATTAGGTAAGTTATAAAGTCAGATAACATTCAGTTTTTAGATTTAAAAATATTATATTTTCATTTATAGAATTTAAAATCCATAATTTATGTATATATGTCTTTAACATGTAATAATACCTATCAAATAACACAATTTATTTTTACTTATCAGTTATTAGATAGATATAATGTAATAAATAATAATTTTATTAAATAGATAATTACACATTCTTATTTATTTGTCTCTCCAACCATTGTAATAAACTTAAAAAAAAAGATAGGCAAGTGGATACCGCTCTACTGTACATTAGGTGTCCAGTGGGTTACTATTATAGGTAAGTATGCTTTAATTAAATTCAATGACATATCGTTGTATACGAAAAACAATTATGAGGAATTATGAGGGAAATGGTCTATCAGCCTAGATCACCAAGTGATATTATTAAAAAGTAATTTATTTTACATTTATTACCATAGTAGATTAATCTAACTTTTTTTCGAAAATATTACTTTTATTATATTATTAGTATTAAATTATCATAATTTTATCATATTTAATTACACCACAATTTATCAACTTAAATAACTAATAATTTAACAAAATATTTCTATAAATATTGTAAACAGAAAAAATATTTTTTTAGTATAAATAGATTATGTCATAAAATAAATCAATAATGTTAATGCGTTTATTAAAATATTGATAATAATAATTTATAACACGTGTGAAAATTTAAAATTTCCACAAATAATGTTTTTAAATCATAATAAATTAATTAACATTGATTTTTATCATTTAAATAAGTAATTTTTTCCAAATTGGAACTTTAAATGTCTATTAAAAATAATTACCTTTTTATGTTTTATAAATTTTATAGTTTCAGCATAAGCTGTTTACAAAGAATCTTGTATTATATTTTTAAAATTTGATATAAAAAGAAAAGTTTTTATGTACTTTAACCTTCAAATGTAAGTGTATACTGTATATACAGTGTGATCACGATTTATGGTAACACTAAATATCTCAGGTGCATGACCTTGTATTGAACTGGGGTTTTCGGGAGGTGATAGGGAGCACTTAAATACATATTTTCAGACCAGTTTCAAATTTTTAGCTTACTCGGTACGCGCATGCGCAATACAACTTACTTTTTTTTAAATGGCAGCCCCAGTTTTTTCTGCAGATTCAGGTAGAGTATTTTTTTTTAAGCATTTTTTGTATCAACAGTTTTTTTCTATTTTCAAAATTGACCATGTTAGAGTAAGTCAAAATTTAGATTTATGCATAATTCGTATTTAATGTATGGTGTGGATTAGTTGGTGGAAAGCTAATAGGACCGTTCTTTTATGATGGTACACTTAATGGCAAACGATACCTTAATTTTTTAACCAATGAACTACCAAGACTGTTGGATGATGTTTCATTAGACACACGAGAACGTATGTTTTTCCAGCAAGATGGAGCACCAGCCCACAATGCAATTATTGTTAGACGACATTTAGATCAAATATTTCCGAATCGCTGGATTGGAACTTTTGGCGTCATTCCTTGGCCTGCACGATCCCCAGATTTAACACCATTGGATTTCTTTTTATGGGGTTATTTGAAGACTGTGGTTTATGCAGATCCACCTGTCAATCTTCAGGACTTAAAAAACAAAATACAAGCAGCATGTGATATTTTAAGTGAAGAACAAATCAAGGCGGCAACTTCGACTGAATTTTTGAGGCGACTTGAATCATGTTTAGAACATAATGGTGAAAATTTTGAACAATTCATAAGATAAATGTATTTAATACATTTTATTTTTTATTTAATATTAATATTAGGTACTATTAAATTGTAATCGTATTATAAGAGTTTACTAAACATATTGTAAAAATAAATTATTATTTGTAAACAGATAAAGTAAATTAAACATTTATTTGGCACTTATTTTATTATTTCCAGTGGTTATAAATAAAAAATTCATTAAATACGAATTATGCATAAATCTAAATTTTGACTTACTCTAACATGGTCAATTTTGAAAATAGAAAAAAACTGTTGATACAAAAAATGCTTAAAAAAAAATACTCTACCTGAATCTGCAGAAAAAACTGGGGCTGCCATTTAAAAAAAAGTAAGTTGTATTGCGCATGCGCGTACCGAGTGAGCTAAAAATTTGAAACTGGTCTGAAAATATGTATTTAAGTGCTCCCTATCACCTCCCGAAAACCCCAGTTCAATACAAGGTCATGCACCTGAGATATTTAGTGTTACCATAAATCGTGATCACACTGTATATAACGTGCCTATGAATTTTAAATATTTTTTTATAGATATAAGAACAGCTTATATAAAATGTTAACCTTGTATTCAATTTTAAGAATTTAGACCTAACTAATATTTTTTTTTGACATTTAAAGAAAAGTAACTAAAAAAAATATTGATTTATACTCAAAATATTTGATGCAATAAAAATTATAATATAAACAATAAAAATTTCGTAAAACTTTTAAAAATATATAGGGTTATTTTTTTTAAAATTAAAAAAAAAAAAAAAAATTATATTTAAAATTTTTAATAGCTAATTCTACAAGTTCATTATAGTTAGACACTTATAATACTTTTATTGTTACTTACATCCATCATACTATTATTTACAGATATATCATGGAAATTAATTCCTAGGTACTTGACTTTCAGGTCATCTAACCTGAAATATAAAAAATACATTTTTTTTTAATTTATATAATATGAAATATTCAAAACTATATGTATTTCAGATAAAAACATAATATGAAAAATATTAATCGAATTTATGTGTGATACGTGTATAATATTTTTAACTTTATATCCTTAATCCCACAGTGGCAGCCATAATATGATACACATGTGTATCATACGGTTCCCGTTGTTTCAAATTAATTAGTGCATTCACTAATTATTGGCGACAATAAGTAAACAATAGTAGCGCATTAGAGTTATTTTATATTTTACAATCATTTTTCTACTATTAATACAAGCTTTTAAACTATGTTAAACCTAGTAACATACTTTATATAAGTTTGTATACAATATTTTGTTTTCAACAACATTGCTGTCTTCGTGTAATCACAGCATAATTACGTAACAGTTTCTTACAAGGCCATCGCCTGGTGATTTCGATAAAAATAATCACTCGTTGCAGATAATCATGTCTATATAGAGAAACAATAACAGCTCAAATGCTTATCAGAAACTCGGCAAAAACAAGCAGACCACTCAGTATAAATACACACGCAAATGATTATACTAACGTCAATGAAACCAAAAACAATAATTCAAATTACAGTTGTATTGTGGTTACAACTTACTAATAAAATATCTCTCTCTTCTTCTTCACAAACATCAACGTCAAGCAATCAGGTTCATTCAAAATCATAAAATAATAAAAAAAAAAAAACCAAACTGTTAAAATCAAAAAATCGATACGAAGTTCTTTATCAAATTAACCAGTCTGTCCCAAACATGTCACTGAACCAACCTTTAGAACAAAATAACGATAGCTCTTACAATGTTAAACAACTTAATTTAGTATTATATAACTTGCGCGTTCACATAATCCTAATAACTGAAACACATTTCACCAAATATTCCAAATTCTCAACATTTTTATATCTGAGAACAAATTTTTAAAAGCAAATTATTCAAACAAGGTTAGATTCTCAATTACACCTTCCAATAACATTTCTTAACAATAATAAACACATTAATATTAGTGACAAATTGCTCATCTATAAATCACTAATCAAATTAGTCTTAATGGATGGTATAAAGCTATGGCCTATGGGGTAATGTAAAAAAAAATATAGATTCTTTATTTTAAATAAAGGAAAAAAAACTTGACAAATCTATCTTTTATTATTATTTTAAGAACTATCATTGTATTTAAATTAAGTTCGACTATTATTTAAAATTATTGACTTTGTTGTTATTTAACAATTATATACAAATATAATACAATATATAATTTAAATGATTTATAATAACTAATAAAATTATTGTCTAATTAATCTAATTATTGTAATATTATTTTGAATAACTTTACAAATATCAAAATTTATAAAATAATTATAAAAGAACTTTTATATTTTTTGTACGCCGATATACGATTTTTTTGTATACTATCAATACTTATTCACACTCTTAATCCAATTAATATTTTACAACATTCTTATTCCGACTAAATAAAAAAAGTTATTATTCTTGCTAGCTAACTAGGCAAACGTTGTATTTCCTGAAAATAACTACTTTTTTTTCTTTACGTTTATAAATTTATAATTACTAAATTCATACGATAAGATTCATATTAATTGATTAAACATGTATATTTAATTGTATGCTTACGTGATATCATTGAGGTAAGTCATAGTCGGAGTATCTGCAGACACGTTAAAACTGGAATAATTTTCAACAAAATTTCGAACAACAGTTCCCCATTTTTTATCTTTATAAATGTTTACAAACAATTGTTTGCATAACTGTTCAAAGTAAAATTGATGATCAATATTGAAATCAGGACATGAATTGTCCAATAAGAAAACAAATCTAAAAAATATAATTTTTTAATAGTATTTTTTTTACATCTCATTTACCTACTTATTTTAATTAATTATTAGATACCTACCTTATCTTATTCGACTTATTTCTATACAACACTTCTTCCACAAATTTTGTTAATGCTCCATATGATGCGACCTTCGTAAAAATGTAAAGATAACTTTTTGTTTTTTTACATTCTGCTAGAGAAAGTTTAATATTCTCATAGTTATTATTTTTAAGATCTGTAATACTTTCTAATTTTAAACTAATTATTTTTATTTCTTCAATCTAAAACAACAACAAAATTCAATTATTTTGAGATTCTACAATAATAATGAATCCAAAAAACCTTTTTAATTAAAACCAAATAGTGTCCATTAAATTGTTGTTGCATAATAACACTCCATTCTTTGGTACTAAACATTGGTTTTTCCGATATCACCAAGAAATGAACTCTTTTAACGTTTTTTGAAAGTAAAATAACGTTCTCCATTTGATCATATGATACTATTATTATATTATGATCATCGTTAATGAATTTTTCTAAATTAGTTTTATCTAAACTTATAATTGTGTGCTACATAATGGAAAAATTTAAAAAAAAAGTTGTTAACATTTTAATAACAAAAATGAAAACATTATTAACTAACTTGAATTCCTATTTGAATATCAAGCATTTGCTTCATTATTATGGCGAACTGATATATTTTTTTATCATTATTACTGTAATAAACTTTGAATTTATTCATGTTGGGATTCGATTGAAATTTCTTACATCCAAATATAACTTGCAAACAGTTATTGATAAAATGCATTTCATTCTAAAGAAAAAATATACATACATACTATACATACCTAAAATAATAATAAAATGTATGAGTGTTAGGTCAATATTATACCTCACAATTTGGATTATCTAATTGCATAAGATATTCTTCTTCTAATCGCAATTCAATTGAATTTACTGTAGTTATTGAAAATGGTTTAGTTTCTGGATGCAAAATATAAATTCCATCGCCGTTTATTTCATTAGTATTAAGATTATAATAAATAGAAATATCTAAAATATGAATAAAATATATTTTAATAACCTAAGTGTAAGTGTATTTATTATATTATTTTTCAATCAAAAAAAATGTACCTTAACTTGAACTTTTGGGAAAAAATATAAACATATTATTACAGGAATTTTAATTAAAAAAAAATACAAATACAAATACCTACATAATCGTATTTATACTCATATTGGATTCATACCTTTTCCAATAGAATCTTCGAATTTAGATGGATCAATATACATTTTACGAATAGTTGATACATCTGCTGGACTGTCATAAGTTTCCATACTTTTATGAACAAGAAATGTGAAAACTCCATTAAAAAATCTCATCCAATCACCATCCCACTTTACATTTCCTCGATATTCTTAGAAAATAAATATAAATATACATTAATTCATTAGATAACACAATTTTTTACTTTAACGTGTTTAGAATTTTATAAATTATATTGTAAGGAATTATAGTTTTACCATAACTTTCTATTTATACAGTTATAGTCGAACTATTAAATCACCATATTATATCAAAAACAAAAAACAGTTTATTGTTTAGCAATTTAAAATGTTATTTAATATTTTGAATACAATTTACTTTACCTTCAAAATATAAATCTATATTAGCCACAGTCTTAAATTGTTCACCGAGTTCGTATCCATTATATTCTAACAATTTGTATAAATCATACTTAGAAATTGAACTATGTGGTACATCAGAAACTGTATCTGGGTATTTCATCTTATGTTTTATTGGAGTCATATCAATAATATCTGGTCGAAATATTTTTCCTGAAACTATGACTTCATTTTCCAAGCATATTTCAAAGTGACCAGTTCCACATTGAATAAATGTATATAATTCTAATTTATCTAAATGTAAATAAAATATTGAACTAAAGTCATTCACGAATAAAATAAACTTTATAAAAAATAGTAATAAAACATGTAATTTCATAATAAGAAAAATCTAAATAATATTTTATTTATGATAGTCATTATTTTATATGTTTAATTATTACATAAATACAATTTTTTTTTTCATCGTTATTTGTTTATACGTTTTTAAAGTCGTATTAAAATTTTCTAAAATAATAACCAAAAATAACGATCAGATAAAGATTTTTTATTGACGTGAACGTGTTCCTTAATAAACAAAATAAAAATATAGATGTGCAGAATTCAATTGTTTTCAATTTGCAAGTAAACCTAAGTAAAACCTATAAAATATGACGTGTTCATTTTTCATAAAAAAAATTATTTTAGTTTTAGTGCTAATTTAAAAGAAATAATCATAAAATTATTTTTTACTTGAAAAATAAGTAAATATTACTTTTTTTTACGTAATTTAATATAAAAAATATTAATTAAATTAATTTAATACCAAATTATAAATAAAATTAATATAATTTATAAGTTTCAATAAATATGTCCAATGTACTAACCATTTATTTTAATTTCAATATTTCTCGAAAAATTTAGGTCCTCAAATGCAATCATCTGATCAAAATGTGGTTCATTTTGTATTGTTATGTATGATTTCCACATATAAAACTAGACATTTAAAATATATTATTATTTATCATTTAATCAAAGTTAAACATCGTGAGACTCACTAGAATAATTGAGCTAGGTAAAATATGTCGCCCTTTGATTTTGTAATCGAATAAAATATGTTCATTATTTAATTGTATTGTAAATATTCTCTCTCCTGAACCTTTTTTAACCTGAAAAAGTAATGAAAATAATTAACAATAAGTAAATATTTTAAAAATATTAAATGATTTGAACTGACGACATTCGATAAATAAAAAAATTAATGCAATAATATTTTTATCAAATATTATGTAAAAAATCTTCACAAATAATTTTTCCAAAATTTTGTATTGATGAAGAAGGGATCTAAAATACCTAGTTTCTATGAATATATTTAAAAATAATGTTCAGGTGATTCGTAACGAATGATATAAAAATAAATTTTATTTTACATGATATAAGAATAGTTGGTAAATATTTTGTTGTATTTTTTTATTTATTTATTATTATCTTAAGCTATCTAGTTTTGTACTTAATTAACACTCATTCATATTTAATGTTTAATTTTATAATTAAGCGTTGATGGTCATTCTCAATTCTCATATTTTATGAATTAATTATTTCTTTTTAATTATAAATTAAAGTATTTAGAATGTATTTCATGATTTTGAAATATCTAAATTTGTATTTTTATTTAAGATTGCAATCGCAATCACATTTGTAATTTATTTATTATAAAATACATATAATACAAACATTTTAGTTTCAAATTTTGTACTTACTGCCTTCACCATGCATTTTGATAGCCAGTCTTCTTTGTGGTCCCAAGGAAATAAAGAGTGTAAAGCTTGAGTTTCTCGGCTAACTGGATAATTTATTGGTGGATAGAATGATTCAATGTTAGGAGTCATACCATTATTATACATCCTAGTAATTTTATAGAGCACATGTTTATAGTATTTTTATCACAAACAGTTATATATAAACTAATGAACTATTAACTTACTTTCCAAAAGCGGCTAATAAGAATTTTACTGAATCTTTTGTACTTTTATGTGTAAGCGGTATATTTGTCACTTTTTCTGATAATGATCGTTTAAGTATGGTTTGTAAAAGCCCATGTGGGGCAATTTCAATAACAATTGCATCCTCGGGTATATGTCGGGAAGCTTCTTCAAATAAAACTTGACCCAGAAGATTGTTCGTATGATACTCGGGTGAACTGTATTTTGCTACTTCGTTTTCCCATTCAGACTCAGGTGCGGAGCTACTCACCCATTTTGATGATCTAGGCTTTGGATTTGGAATAACCTATGGACAAAAATAATTGATAGCAATAGGTTATTTAATGAATATTGATTGATTGATCAAGACTTTAAATACTTCAAATCAAAATTACTTCTTTCAAATACTTAAGTAAAGTCGGTGCAGCTGGTTTTATATATCGGCTGTGGTATGCAATATTAGAAACATTGACTTGCTTAGCAAATACTCCTTCTGATTTCAATTGTTCAACAAAATTCGTAACGCTAACCGTTGGTCCAGACAAAGTACTGCTGTTAGACGAATTGTGACAAGCAACTTCAATATCATGTGGCAGTCTATCTTTAATGTCATTGTACCCTAATCCTATTGCAGCCATCGATCCTTCGATGAGTTCAGTCTCTATAGAAGCTCGACCCCTTGCATATGCAGCAAGTATCATTTGTTCTATAGTGAAACAACCGTCAGCATAAGCACATCCCAATTCTCCGACTGAATGACCAATAATACCATCAGGGATAACGTCAATACTCTTCAACACGTCTGTTAAACCTATCTATTTAAAACATTAATTAAAGAATCATTTTTAATATGCAAACATTTAGGTTGTATTTAAATAAACCTGTATCGCAGCTATACCAACGAATGAGTTAAGTATATTATCGAAAATTTTAGGGTCTTCATTTGTTAATATATCAATAAGGTCAACACCCTTCGGCTTTAATATAGCTTCGCATTTGCGAATTGATTCGGCAAATATAGGAATTTTTAAGAGTTGTTTTCCCATACCATTCCACTGTGATCCCATCCCGGAAAATACAAACCAAATAGGTCGTTTTATCAACGCTGGAAGGTACTATAAATAATAGTTAAAACAAATAAATCAAAATAATAACAATAATTTAGAAGTTACCTACCGATATTTCTTCTTGTGATCCTTCATTTAAGTCTGGGACTATAGTGAAACTTCGGTAGTAATGGGCGTTCAAAGATTTATAAAAAACGCTTTGTAAAAGAGCTACCGACTCTTCATCTATTTTACTATTTTTTATACGGTCTAAAAACTGTATAACATCTTCTTCATTCCGAGCTGATACAAATATAATTCGTGGTAAATCGTCTTCAAACATTTCTCCTTTTTCATAAATTTTTACTTTGCTTTTCTTATTTCGTTTTAAAACTAAATGGCTAAAAGAATTACATAAACCAAATGAACTAACGCCAACTATATCTCCTTTCAATGGAGTTTTTTCAGTGACTACCTAAAAAAATTATTTGATATTAAAATATACAGAAGCACAAATTATATTTTTCACATACTTCTAATCTACCAGACAAAAGAGCGGGGCAATCTTGGTTTGGTTTTGAATAGTTAATATTTGGAGGTATATATCCAGATTCTAAAATAATAAGCGCTTTTGCTAACGACACTAAACTCGAAGAAGCTTCACAATGACCGATATTACTCTTTATGGAACCAACTTTTAATGGTTCTATTCTATTTGGAGTACAAAATACTTCACTTAGAACATTCAGTTCCATTGCATCTATTTTCTATTAAAACAATATATTATGTTAATTATATACGCAATATACATAATTTAACTATAATATTAATTTGTATTTTTGTAAAATATTTAATGTATTTATTAAAATAAAATAAATTTAAACAAACCTTGACACCTAACCCTTCACCTTCTATATATGCAACTTTTGCAGGATCTAAATTAGCTTCTTTATAGGCATTTAATATAACTTCTTTATAAAAGTGGTCAGAATAATGATAAAATAAATCATTTGTTTCTCCAAATATACCAGTTGCACTCAATAAAGATGCGTAACAACGTTTAGCTTCAGTTAATTTCTGCAACAGCACTACTACACATGACTCGGATCTGTTCATTCCATTTGCTATAGTAAATCATTTATTCATTTATTTTTCATTTAAAAAAATAAAAACAAACAAACAAATCAATAATTAATTGTAATATTTGAATATATTAATACTAATATTGCATAGGTGACATTTATTAATATAGTTATAAAAATATTATTAAATTTTTTGTCAATTTTAAAAAATAAGTTACATGCTTAAATAATTTATACACCAAAAGTTAGGACACATTCTTCTTATCAAAAAGTTAGTTTTCTGCCAATGATTTTTAATTCTTTTGAATTTAAAATAATATTTTAAGTTATATTTTGATTATGCAAATAAATAGCTATTTTTTATTTTTTTAAACTGATATTAATAACCATATGAATAATAATATTAAATAATACATTTTAACTTTAGATTTTATTAATTGTAGAATTTCTTAGTTAGTGGTTGATTTCACAATAATTTATATCGTACATTACTCTAAAATATATAATATTTGCATATAGAAATGGAAAGTACTTTAAAATGAATGTAAGAATAACAATTAATCATATTTTTTCTTGCAGTAATTAGTAATTGAATGCAATGTTGAGTTGAACCCTTTAGTCTACTAGCGAATATAATTTAAAAAGAATTTATAACAAAATAATGCGGCAGGTGATCAGTTTTAAGTACCTAGGATGAACATAGTAAAAATACAAATTTCTTGTTTACCCTTCTTGTAAACTAACACAAACTTTAATTTGTTGATCAGTATTTCTTTAAAATATTTATATAAGTTTAAAATTTAGATTTTGGCAAATATTTTAAATATTAAGGATTATAATTTCTTTTAATTTGATTTTTAACATTTATTCGATTAAAAATAATTGTATTTATTATTTTTATGGATAATTTAATATTATATATAAATATGTTTGGTACATATATGTGTAAAAATATATTATTAATGTAAGTATACCATCATCACTATATGATCTAGTTTCATTTGTATTTGTCAATCTCCCTAATCCTTCAACCTGAAGAGATATATTAGCATTTAAGCATAAACTACATGATCCGATTATTGCTGCATTTATCGTTCCATCTTCAATCATTCTTTTTGCTCTCATAAGAGCTTGTGATCCACCAATCCAAGTTGCATCAGTTGTATAACTAGGTCCTATTTGCAACAGTATCGTAAATTATGAACATTGATCTATTAATGTTTTAATAATTGTTGGTGTTTACCATTTAAATTAAGTGTATAAGACACCCGATTTGCTTGCATTGCTCTGTTATGACCTAATAGACCAAGTCCGTATTGCTTTGTATCAATAACTTCAAAAAACTCTGATTCACTAATACAAGAATTCATGAAAACAGCCGTATTTGTACCGGATAAATCAGCTGGATTTATTCCTGAAATACATAACAATTTTCATTACAATAAGCATATTCTATAACTCAATTAAAATAAACTGCCATATATACGATGGCTTTACCAGCATCAACTATTGCTTCTATAGATCTTTCCAAACTAAGCCTAGTCAAAACATCCATACTCTCGGCCATCTTGCTATGTATACCGAAAAATACGTTATCAAATTTTTCAGGAAATCGTATTTTACCAACTCCATATGGTGTTCCTAGTAGACCTAAAAACGCATCAACCATAAAAGATTTATTTTAATTTTGATTCTGGAAAATGATTTAATATATAATATAATTAAATTTGAATTTAAATTTAAAAAAAAAGTTTTATTTTCAATTGTAAATTACATATAGATAATTATTTGATTGTTAAAATTTCAATTATTTAGGCTGGGTGCATGAACAATAATTATTAAACAATTCAAACAATTAATGAATCAATATTAAACTAATGAACCCCTAAACGTGATTTAGTGGCCCATGGTTCATTAAATTTATTAATTTTTCATGTTACCTAACATAAATGACTTCTCCAAAGAAAAAACCTATGAGTACAACATAAAAGTCATAAGTACAGAATAATTGGTTTTAATCAAAAATGACCCTTTACATTATTGAATTTATAATACAATTTCAAATTAACTCATTTATACATTTATAACATAGTTTATAGCTTGTCAATTTAAAAAATTAATTTTTGTCATATGAGTTTAAATTACAGCGATTTTTTAAAGTTTAATGATAATATTATTGTATTTTATGCCATCTGTCACTAATAAGCTATATTATAATTCATAGACTTCTATCAAAATCGTTTTTCCGTCTATCTCAATAATTTATCACTGCTTCTACAATATTAAAACTATTAATACTTTACTATATTTTTCAATGAGTGAACTACACTTGATTATTAAATTAACCTGATTAGGTTTCATAACCAATAGCAATATCAGTTTTGTAATAATATACAATAACTCATGATTTTTTTTTTATAAATAATTTTCTTAGTAAACTTATAATTAAATAAAATATTATTTATATACGGTGTATGTTATACACAACACATATATATTATTATTTTTTTTTTTTATTAATAAAATATAAATACATATAGTTTATTAATAAGTACAAATTTGGATTTGTTTAAGTAGGTAATTATATTTGATGTACAATATGTTAATTCACCATACACATTTAAATTTTCCGTATGGTACCAAATTTAATTAATTGTATACAATTAATACGAGATGATTCGAATAAGTATTTTTTATAATAATTATTATTACTGTTACTCAAAAGGTATGTCTAACCGGGTGTCCATCGCCTGCTATCTGAAGTTACTGCATTCTTTTTTTCAAACAACACATTTTTCAATTCATCCAAATTGTCGGATTCCGGGAAACGGCCTCCAATACCAGATATTACGACTTCGACTTTTGGTTCCGTCATTTTCAAATCACAATTCAATTTTACTATTTGAAAAATTATAAATTCCTAACAACTGGAATTTAAATTTATAGTTTTTATAAATCTGATTAAAATTATTAATACATGGAGCAACGTATTTATTATGTTAAAACAATTATTTATTAATTTATATAGAACTATACGAAATGAATTACGATTTAGAGTTTACCTCGACACAAAGCAATGTCATAAAAAATATTGTTTTGAACCCATTCAATTTTTGGTTAATTAATTATTATTCAAAATTGTACAATAATTGGACATTGTATGCCGTGAAGAATCACAAAGGTTAAAATTTGCAATTCACATAAAACATTTCTGAGGTTTAACAACCGGAATAAATGTACGTTAATTGCCTTCAAATGTATTTTTAATCATAATCACATAACCAAATTATCAACAGTTAAAACTAAAATAATAAAAATTAATTTTATATTCGGAGCTAAGTTAAATAATTTATAGAAGTATGTATTATTAATTATTTACAATAGTATTTGCTTTAATATTCCGCAGTATTTTTTTTAAATACTAAGCACATAAATGCTTTATGTAGTCATATTTATAATTTTAAAATATTATCTATAAGTAGCCCTCTGGCGTATACCTAACTTTTACATGGGTCAGTGGTCAGATCTGTAGAATAAAATCTAACCTATATCACCTACATATGAAAAAATAGTATAACCCGTATATTTTTTTGTCGATACAAAATTCCCCCTCAAGAGTATAATATCCCCCTTCTCCGCCATATTTCAAAGTCTACGTCTTGCAATAACATAAATTACCTATAAGCTGTTAACTTTTAATTATAACAATTATTAACTATCAATACACTGAATTATTATGATGAATAATAAAATTTACAAGTATATTATATACTTAATACCTATACTATATTTCAAAATGTAATTTTATTTATGAAAAAAAAGTTTTATTAGTAACCCTGGCCATACAGGTTAGTTACAGTAATAATTTAAATACTAACATAACAGATAGGTAAGTACGAGTACTAATTAAGTTCTTAGCGAATTCCACACCAGTCATAATGGAGTATTATATATTATAGATATTTGTCTTTAAAAAATGAATACAAATCTTAATTGTATACTTCAATTTAATTTAAATTTAAAATGTTAACATTGGTTAATTGTATATACATATACTTTAAAGACTGAATTAAATGTATTCAGTATATTTAAAAGTATTTAATAATACTATTTTAATAAAAAAGACAATATGGTTGATTTTATTTATTTTCACGTTTCATTTTATACAACACAGTGGTGTTTGATATATAATGTACATCAACTACTACATCATATATTTATTTTATTTACATAACGCTATATTATATATTTACTGTTTGGATAGGTACATAATAAAAATACTATATTTTTCTTAATTTTAAACATTGTTTTATTTTAATTGTTTATTCAAATTTTATGGTAAGTACTTTATGCAATACATGATCAACGAATTAGTTAGAAGAGCTTAGTGACGACTCTTACACTGCTACACGTCTCCGTAAATTTAAGTTGCGTCTCGATAACAAACATAAGTGGCGGCCTATGTTTCCGACCTATTGTATACGTTAACTGTAGTCTCCGATGGAAAATGTTTATATCGATAAGAAAATTATATTTTCGTTTCAAATTAGAATATCCGGTAAATTTTACCATTATTGTTTTCAATTAAAAGAGACTGTCTACAGTTGTAGAGCGTACAACGAACACGTCGTATTAGTTCTCCGATAAACGTTATATACAAGTGCACGTTTAAATCAATAATTTTTTTTCGTTTAAAATGAACATAATGAGTAGTGAATAAAAATACAATGAAAAGTAAAAAAAGCGGCAAGTGGGTACTGCTCTGCTGTACATTAGGGGGTGGGGTGAACCTCACCCCCTAAAGGGGTGATTTTTCAGTCTAGAATATATTATATTTAAATATTGTCATACATTCTATTTTAAAACAAATATTTTATTTTTCAATAAGGACGCATTTGAAAAAGTCATGGTTAATTAATTAATTATTAATTTTTATGAATTAAACCTACAAAATAGTTTGCAAATATTCATGGTTTTGACGAAATTTTGTTAATATTTGAACTTCAAATGCTAATAAAAAAAAAATTGTGCCTATGTATTCTTAAAATGTTTTGATCACTATAAGAATAAATTATGAGGAACTTTGTATTAAATGTTCAAATATTTTAATTGGGCCAAAAAAATGTTATCGACACTTCAAAAAAAAAATTTTCAAAAAATTGAAAATTTCAGTTGTCTATAAATAGCTCAAAAAAAGTCATAATATTTTAAAAATTAAATCATGTAAAGAAAATGCCAATCTAAATAACTGGTAAAATTTTCAAGTATCTACGACTTATACTTTTTGAATATTAACAAATATTTAAAATCGTTTGAGGATAAATTGTTATCGTTACGCTATTTCGTAAAAATTTAAAATTCAAACGCACTTAAAATTTTTCCTATAATGATGCTTTGAGTTTTTACTATAGCTACTTGAAGGAAAACTTAGGGAAAACATAGTGTAGTATTTTAATCCTTAGTTATAAACACAAAAAATTTTATGATTTTTCAACTTCAAAATTACTTACAAATTTTCGCGTTTTCGATAGATTTCATAAATATTTGAACTATAAACGTTTATAAAAAAAAATTATGACTAACGATTTTTAATTTTTTTTTTTTTAGCTAAAATAAGAACAACTCATAAGGAACCTTGTATTAAATTTTCAACATTTTTTGGTAATCCAACACTTTTTTATCGACACTTCAAAAAAAAATTCTCATAAAAATCAATAATTTCAATGGTCTATAATAATAACTCAAAAAAGTCAAAATTTTTTGAAAATTAAACTGTACATTCATCGCTCCGTTCAGAATCTAAAATAAAACACTAATATTTATTAACGATCATAAATTTTGTTTTCATAAATTTTTAAAAATGTTTATTGAACGTTGAAATTATACCGTTAAAACGTAAAAGTGCTTAGAAAAATTGAATAATATTAATTCTGTAATTAAAAATTTTGATGAACATAGTCATACATCATTATCAGAAATTATTTTAACTAAATAAGAACTTAGTAATAATAATTTAAAGTGAATTTTAGTTGACAATATAGGGGTTACGATTAATTTCTACAGGTACGTCACCGGGAGTAACCAAATTGGTTGCCGTTAAAAAGATATTTATTAAAGATATTTTATTAGGTTGAGTTGAATTGGTTTTACGTTTGTGTACAAGTAATTTTTAATTTTTAATAATTGGTACAAAATATAAATTAGATAGTACTTATAAAATATAAATATACCCACACGGCTACACTCTATAGTCTATAGCAATTAGTAAATATTTTTTTAAAAAAAAATTCGCGGGCCAAGTTTTAAGTGTCATTTTTATACTTATACACTAAAAACTAAAGGCAAAGATACATACAAAATCCATTTATTTAAATGTGACTTAATATATTATGAAATTATTTTTATTATAATTACTATTACTTATTTTTATTTTAATATTTTGTACCTACACTTATAAGTGATGACTATAGTTGATTTCCAAATTAACAATTTAAAATTGTATATATTACATAATTTTTTTTTAAAACACACATTAACGCACATTTCTAACCAAGCCTACTTTTTAGTTGACAGTCCTAAGCCTGTAAAATTGAGAAGGAAAATGTGCGTAATTAAACGGGAATCAATTCGGCTCAACTTAATAAAATATCTTTTTGAACGGGAACCAATTTGGCTTACCTTAATAAAATACCTTTTTCTAACGGGAACCAATTCGGTATCAACCACGTCACCTGTTATTACCCTCTGAGAAGGGTAGAATACAATTGTGTACACTGCTTATTGACGGTACCTTTTTCATAACACGATTGCATACGTTATTTTTGTGCAACGTTGTCACATTGGCTGAAAGTCACGTATAAACGAAACTGGAAATATCAAATGGTTATTGTGATTATCGTGAAATAAAATTTCACAATACTTATGATCGCTGTAGATTTTATTAATTAACAGATGAACGTTCTGAGAGTAGTATAAAGTGTAGTATAATTGAGTAATTTAAGATGGAAAATTAAATTATTCAAATAATTACGTCGGAACGAGGGAAAGACTTAGCATCAGTTAGTACCTACGAACAAATATCGTTTTATAAGACAACGAAAAGACGGGCAAGTTAAATTGTTGTGCACACACAGAACATTTTATGCCAGTGTATTATCAGACAGTGGCCGTTAAAAAGTATAATCGATGTTGGATGAGCATAGTCATATTTTAAATACAATAGAGAAATCGAACATTAAATTTTACGGGAAAATTGTAAACGTAAAGCAGATGACTCAATTTAAATTAGACCATCAAAAATAATCAAATGAGCTGATTGTAACACATTTTTAAGTGCCACATTCAGATATAAAATCCATAAAAAAAGTCATGTATGATAAAAGACGGAAAAATTATCTTCCTCTCCCAGATTCATTAACCTGTGCTATACTTCAGTTGAGAAAATGGAAGAAAATGGTAATATTAAATTCAAAAATGAAAAATTTGTTCATGTACCAACGATTTTGGGGTACCTCAAATGTTTTTCAACGTGTTTTACCTGTATTAAACATTATAGGTAACAACAATAAAAAAGTCAGTTCCAGTTTTGAAATTCATATTTCAATTTAAAAAAATAAAAATGAAACAAAAAATAAAATTATTATTTATGCTAAGACATACATTTTAAAAGTTGATATTATGTTTATTTAGCTGATAATTGATAAGCTATAGTATATCACGTACCAATTTGTTATTCGGTATTCAAATAACCAGTTAATCATTATAATTAATAAGGTTCATCAATAACTTTTCAAAAAACATTAACGTTTAATTGTGTACATTTTTTAATTTAAGTAGATACTTTATATATTTATCAATATAGTTATTGATTAAGTATACTTATTATAATTATTACATAGGTATTATATTTCATTTTATATACTTATCTAAAATAATAATATATTCTGAGAATATTTTTTTAATGATTATTTAATCGTAAATTACTTAATAAGCATTCATAATTAAGTATAGAGTTAAAAACTACCCAGCTAGCAATAGCTATATATTATAGGTATATAATATAATGCCATCATATACTCGTATTTTCAATTTACATAAAAATATATTTAGATTCATCGCCTAATAATTATCATTCTAATAGTACATATACCTATGAACCTCGGGCATTCACAAAATGAGGTTTTCCATATTATATGATTTAAATCTTTTCATTCAATTATCCAAATATAAAACACAATATTATTATTATAAATTGGAATTTACAATACAAATAAAAATCACAATTTCAGCAAAAATATTCAATAATTGATGTTTTCATAAATTAATTAATACCTAACGAAATAATAATGCATAAAAGTGAAAATACAGAAATTAATTTATATTAGATGATTAGAGACTTTGTAAAACGATCAGTTTTTATTAAATTTTTATTAAATTCATAAAAATAATAAATTACGATTTTCGATGACATTATTATTAGTCCTTATTTTTTAAGTACTGAAAATTACATACCTGTACTAGTTCATTCGATTTTTTTCAAGCAGTTAAAATAATTGTAAATACGAAATTTTGAAATGTATTTATATAATCTAAGTATAATTTAATAAAATTAACTACTATTTAAATATTTTATTTATTTTTGTGTATATTATTTCAATATAACACAGTTTGTACAACTATAGATACTTTTATTCAAAATATTTTTTTGCCGTAAATTTTAATATATTCCTTATTAACACATGGAATTGAAAAATAAAAGGTACCTATTAATAAAAGTCTAAGAATGTACCTAGGATCTCTATATTCTTAAATTCGGTTCTGCCTTTACTTACCTAATATATTACTAACAAGTATCTAACTATTATTAATTTTTTATCAAATTTAAAATTTGGCTAAGCTTATATCCAGTGTAGCCTGTACATTTTGTTCAGTATTAAAGTAGTAAGTAGGCAATTTCAATATTTTTAGCCAATTTACAATTATAAATACAATAGGTATGTATGTACCTATAACTATCTACTATTTAATGTAGATCTATTTGATTATGAAGCAATACGAATGAAATACCTATGTACAAAATACAACAAACACTATTATTATTGCATACCTGTCTAAAAATTTGTTTTTTTATTCTTTCCATTAATCCGTGATAGAAATGATTACAAGAGATAGTAAATTAAAATGTTGAGAACCAATGACACAACCAATTTTTCAATATTCGTTAGTAACTTCTTTCTTATATCATAACACTATGATAGCGTGAATCGTGATAGCAGCGTTTAAAACGTTTAGGTATTTAGTATTTATGCTAGAACTAGTAAGTAAAAGCTGATTTTGTAAAATATTAAAATAAAAGAATTTATTAGTTATTAAATAATTCCTTCAATGTTTAACTATTTTGAGTTATTTAAATTTCTAATGGATATTGGTTTTCATTTTACCTAAGCGAACAATTGTATTACAAAGTATGCACATAAGTTATATTCTTATGATCAAGCATTGAACAACAGACAAATTATGCTTTTGACATTTAATCTACAACTTACATTGTTTTAACGTACAATCAATACTTCTGAGAAAACATTTAACTCAACTGACTACAGTGTATTTACAATCGTAGGTTAATATATTACTTTAAAGTTTTACTCGTCTTTATGGTGTTTTGATCTGTGTGATTTATGTAATTAATGTTCAAAATATGATAGTTTCAGGCTATGGCTGCTGAAAGGGAACGTCGTTCAAATGCTGGTAACAAATTAGCACGTTTATTAGACGAAGAAGAAGCAGATGATGAATTTTATAAGACTACTTACGGTGGTTTCAATGAAGATGAAGAAGACAATGATTTTCATTTTGTTGACGAAGAAGCACCAGATGAAGTTGATTCAGATTTCAGTATCGATGAAAATGATGAAGTGATATCAGACATTGAAGATGAAGAACTAACTCAAAAAAAAACTAATAGGTTGGTACATTACGATTACACATGGTTAAATATTTTAATATAAATATATTGATAAATTTTTAATTATAAATATTATATTTTCCTCAGTAAAAGTGTACTAATATTTAGTCTTAGTTTTTGAAAAGCATAAATTAAACACAAACACTTGTTAAAAAAAGTTTTTATTGTTATTCTCTTAATGTATAAAATTATCAAACACATCCATAATTTTAATATATATTTTACCTAAAATAAAATATAGTTTAAAAATGCTGTTCTTTTCATGAAATCAAATAAGTGATCTTTTTAATAAACATTCATTAGGTATCTAGTAATATAAATGAATATGAAGTTGTGAAATCATTGCTCATATTTATTACCATTAATTCTACATACATTTTAATAATAAACTTACTTTACTACTATGTATAATCAATGGTATTAGTTATCAATTATTTTTATTCTTATTGTTTTAAATGTTTTAACAATAGTATAAATATGTGCATAATATATTATGTGTACTGTATAGGTATGTACCTAAGTGTATATTAAATATATATATATTTAAATTGCACTTAAGTTAAGATAATGTATATGATCAAAAATGTGATTAAACTATTTAAATTTTAATTAAAAATACATATTTATTCTATGATATTAAAAAAAGAAATATTAAACAATATTTTGGATAAGAGCATATTTTAGTACAAAAAAAATATACTTATTTCACATATTTCTTTAAAACTTAAAAGTGTATTAAGCGACTATTTCAAGGTTTTTAATGTATCATTGCATAAATAGATTTGCTGAATGCTAATAAAGAAATGTATGATTATTCCTTTTGCTGGTTATGTAAATAATAACAGTATTAAATGTATAGTAGTAGTGATGAAGATTTGCATTTTCTTTCAAGTTGTACCTATTGTAAATTTATTGGTGATATTGGTATATAAAAATGTTAAGAATCATTGCACTAAAAACTTCCAATGTTTTATTTTGTTGTAACTATCTTATAATTTATCAAATTTATTTTAGATATCAAGAGCCTAAAGTGCCAAAACCTGTTGAACAAAAAGAAGCTCCAAAAAGAAAACGTTCTATCACAGAAAAAGTGGTAGCTGAAACGTCATATGAACGAAAATCAATACGACAATCAACAGCAGTTAAATCTCAAGAGACAATAGAACGTATTAAAGAGCGTGTCAGTAAAATCAAACGAAATAAACCAATGCCTCCAGAGGAAATGCCTTCGCAACAAGAATTGTTAGAAGAAGCAAAGCTTACTGAAGAAGAGAATTTAAAATCATTGGAAAAATTTGAAAAATTAGAATTGGCTAGAAAACAGACAAGAGCTAAACCCCGTGTCACATACTTGACCTCTGTAAAATTCCTTAGTAAAGCTTATCCATTATTAGCTGAAGATGATACTGTAAACATCGAAAGTGAAGAACAAAATGTGAAGTGTGAAAGTCGTGAGTTTATTGAGCGCACTACCATCACAGTGAATGAACCTCATGAATTTGAACGAATGTTCCCCAAGAAAGTAGCCAAACCAATCAAACCACATAGACAGTGTGTATTCACTGAAGATTATGCCAGATACAGAGATCCTTTAACTGGTCACCCTTATAAAAATCAAAAGATATTTTCAATATTAAGATCTGTATACTCAATGCATTTAGATGAAGCCTTTGCTAAGAAATAAGCTAAAAAAATTTAACTTAAAATTTTTCTTAAAATTATATTGACTTAGTAGGTATTAATCAATTGCTTTTTTACTTAAAAGATAACTTATTGATCATGTAAATTTAAAAATATTTTTTTTCATTGTAATGTTTTATGAATTATGGTTTGATATTTTTATATTTAAATTGAATTTAAAAATAGGTTATTTGTAATAAATAAAAAGTTAAAAGACATTTTATAGATATGGTTAGTATTAAATTTTGTCAAATATCTTGAAGTTGAATTTCATAGTTAGTATATTCAGTAGTCAACATTTTAGTTAGCACGACTAAATAGTGACCCATATGATCCTAATAGTAAATGTGTGGTAGAAATTATGGTAATAAATAATAATCTGAAAACATGATATGAGTTATACTTATACTGAGGAACACACATAGGTGTGCTTAAAATTTGTTTGGAGGATATGCAATTGATAAAATATGCTCCCCAAAAATATAAATATACTTATCAATGGTTTTAAATTAATAATAACTTCTAAGTACTTAATGGAAAATAATAGGTTTTTCCTTGACCTATAGAATAAGCAAGTGCTTATTGACTATTGTATACCATCTTTGATTGCATATGGGTACACACAATATTATATTATATTATATAATTCAACATACTAACCTAACACTAAGAATGTTTTAATCAAGTTATCACCAAAATTGACTTCATAACCACTCCCTTTTACAGTCCCAACTATAATTAGGTAGGGAAATTAACCATTAGGACTGATAACATAATATGATTGATTTATAATTTTATAATTTTACAATCATTCATAACATGTGTTTCATTTCAAATATTTGTAAATATGTTATATTATTTTAAAGTAACAATCAATTTACATCAAAAAATAGTGTTTCAATCACTTGTTCATAAAATAATAATAATAATAATAATAATTATTATTATTATTATAACTTTCAAGGAGATACTTAAAAAATAATAGTAATATTGTTAATTAAGTATTTATCTACCAATATACCTATTTATAAATTTAGGTTAACAATAGGTTATATTTAATTAAATATTACCAAAACTATACTTTAAATCTTAAACTAAATGAATATAATTTAACAAATTATTATAAATATTTAAATGGTGTTCAACATCAATTGCAAAATATTGTAATACTAATATATATTTATTTTTTATTTTTTTTGTACTTGAAATTAGAAATAAAAATTATTAATAAAATACATATTTTGTATAGAAACTTATCAACATAATAATATTGTATAAGCTGTTGTCTATAGGTCTAACATTGTATATGAAATGCATTTTTTGTATTTTAAATAAAAAAATAGATATGTGATTTAGAATAAGATGTAGTTTTAAATATCCAATTATTAAAATACTTTAGCAATGATTGAATCATTTTATTAAATTTAATTCATTTTATATTTAATTAAATCTTTTTGAGATTCCTCAGGAGAAACAAATAACCAATTAATTTAATTTCTTATAGTCTATGGAGGTATAAATATTGTAAAAACATATTTAAATTCTCCAAATCATGAGTTAACTATACATGAATATATATATATACATTTTAAATTATCTTAAATACTTTTTTTAATTGGTACAATTAACAACACATGGAGATACCTGGTTATTTCAACGTAATGACATTTTTTTTTCCATATTTCGACTTAACAATAATTATTTAAGGTCAAAATATAATCACAAGTAATACAAAATAGTGCAACTATATTTTTTAAAAACTGCCTATGTTTGACAGCACAGAATAGAGAAAAACATTATTTTGATTCATACTCCATTAGAGTAATAAATAAATAAATTATAATATAATATGAAAATACCAACCACCAGGTTATTGCACCGAACACTGTTATCAGACATCTTTACTTGTATGATATTAGCTTATCTAATGATCGGGTATACCCGGTTATTGCATTTAATTATTTAAATGTTGACAAAATTATTCTTTATCGGAAAATGCAAAAACATACATTTCAAAAAAAAGTGATGATACCTGGTTCTTGCACTGATTATGTGTTAAAAATTCAAAATATTTACAATTTAATACCTGATGCTAATAAATGTATTAAGTACTAGGTTTGTCGAACATGTTTATCAAAGTTAGGGTACCTATTAAAAAATAATTCATAATTAGGTACCTATATATTTATAGGTAATAAGTTTTAACTTTTAGGTTCGTATATGGACATCATTTATATTTTAATTTTTAACTTTAAAATAACTTACTATTCCACCTCAAACTGTTTTAAAACTTAAAGCAATTTAAACCTATCCATACCATTCTAAGGTATGTCGGTATAGATTTATAAAGTCTATGTTAATAGCAGATTTCTATTACCTAGTAAAATTATAAACATAGGCGGAACTACGGTCTGGTCAACTGGTCCTTAGCCCAAACGAATCTCTTCCCGTACCTACTTATGTTTACAGTACCTATAGGCTATAGATAGATGATGAATGGACATAATAGTGTCAGTAATAAACAATAATACATACCTAATAATAATATCACATATTAATATATTATACAAACAAATATATTTTAAAACAAGTAAAAATGGTTAAATGAAATATGATTTATTTCTTAGTAAAACAATCATCAATTATAATTTAACGGAAATTATTATCAGAAGTATCTAATATTTTAAACAATTGCAACACACTTACTCGATTATTAAAACCAAATGGCTATCGATATTTATATCTAATTCTATTCAATTAAGGAGTAATTGGTAAACTATTCCCACTACACGAACCGGTTTTTAAGGACCGGGTTGCTTAATTGATACAAATAAAGTTTTCTAAGTTAAATTGTACAGGTCCTAGAAATTTATGACCTGCGTTCATAAACTAACACAATAGATATGATATTATAGCAACATATTACAAGGTTTATTCATATGACTAAATATTAAAATAATCAAACAGTACACTATCACCTGAGTAACTCTTTTCTTGAGGGTAGTATTTTGAAGATCATAGATGTAGCGGAGTACGAATTGAAGCGATTGAATATATTATGATTTGCCTATAAGGTAGGTTATTGTATCTATAATAAATCATTAAAAATGTTACTTAAAAATATAGAGATGATTTGTCTGTCTTTATTTCACGAACAAAACTCGACTGATTAGCTATATCAATAATTTGTATATTCTCGTACTCTACGTTCCTGTGTTCTTCTGACCTAAGCAAAAATCGCAGAATGTGATATAAATGACGCGTCAGTAACATGTATATTATCGTTAGTCGTTACAGTTACTTCCCTCGCCATTTAAAATTTGCTCTCAGATTTACTTTGAAAACAAAAACAATTAAAAACTGAAATCAAAGGTACCTATGTTAGTAAACACGTGTTACACCTTAAGTAAAAATTTTATTTATTTAAAAAAATGTAATATAACATGAAATGCATAAATAATATTATAGTGTTTTATTTATATTTTGTTATCACTTTCATTCAACTTAATTAATGGTCCTCGATTATAACACTAAAGGCACTACGGGTATAAATGTTTGATGTTAAAATTAAGCTCCATTACCACTATGATACAGGAATGTCTTGGCAATTTATTCAATCATTTATTGAGAATTGAGATATACCATGGCGACAAACATCGACATCGATGAAGTAATCAATTTTTTTTTTTAATGGTTCCATATGATAGTCTTTTAGTTAAATTAATATTATTTGACCTTTTTAAAATATTTTTTTAAATTATATAATATTAAAATGTATCAATTAAATCACTTTAAAGAGGTATATTTCGTTTTTCAAATTTTATAAAATTTAAGTATAAAAAAATAAAAAGTTATACAAATATAACAACATGTAAGAAATATATTGAGTCAAAGCAATTTGAATTTCGACTTTTAACAGAGTAGATTATTGTATTGTAAGTACCTATTAAAATTTATATATTAATTTTTAAATAAAAATTATAGATACTAACACAAATCTACAAATGTGTATACAATTACATAAATGAGGTTTAGAAAAAAAAATTGATACCTATCAAGAATTTTTCACTTTCTCTTCTCCACAAATTATAACTACCTAAGTGTTTTAATTAATTGAGAAAAGTGGTCTAGCCTAATAAAAATCTCTAGTTCCTCCTATTATTATAAATATAATAGATTACTAAGGTAAATGGACCTACTATATTTCCTATATAAAAATTAAAGTATTATAAAATATTCTCAGAAATAGAAATAAACACATTGTCTTCGATCAAAATTATTTTTCGACTGTAATAGCCAGTAGGTATCTAATGATTTATAATTAAATTTAAATAAAACATTAAACTACTTAATACCAAGTATTTAGAAAGTCGGAACCCATTAATGGCATTAATCTATTGCAACATTCAAAGTTTAACGATTTTTTTTTTCAAAATTTTTTATTAAATCGTTATTTTTAATAGCAAGTTTTATCCACGATAATTATAAATTAGAACTTAGAATTGAAACTTGGGCAGTTATAATTTATATTGGATTACAACAACAAAGTATTTGTAATTTAGATTTTATTATCTTATATTAAAAAGGATTATATTTTTTATTCGGCTTGATATCTGGTTAAAGTTTTAATTTATACAGCTTTAATTGGTATAAGTAGGTAGGTAATAAAAGTATATGATTTTCTCAAGGCTATTAATTTAACATTGTTCATTAAGTGTCTAATTTTTATGTACATTTTCAAAATAACATGTTTATACATATAATAATTTACAAAATTATTATTATGGAATATTTTAATAATAAATAATAATATTAGTATAATACACACCTAAGTTCACCTATATGTAAATATTTTGTGATTAACACGGCGCGTGGCGCCACAAATAGACTATTTAATTGTACCAATAATCAGTGTCATAGTTACATTTTAATAATAATACATAATATATAGGGTACGGAAGCTACTATTGTATCCTGTAAACTTTAACTCCCCACCCCTCATAAGTAAAGCGCTACTGACATGTGTAAAATATTTTTAAAAAGTAAATAAAAATAATATTTTAAATACAAATTCGAAAAATATTTTTAACACTTTATTTAAAAATATATTTGCATATGATATGTTTCTGTTTCTGTTAATTCTAGGACCAAATTTAATTACTTGAGTCATAAACTATTTTCTCTCTTAAAGATATTATATTAGTTTCAAGTATTCAATATTCTAAACACAAATATCAGTTCAATATATCGACAATTCTTGAATCGTTTTCATGATTGTGCTTAGTTATAGTTTAAAATATATTGTTTTAGTATAATATTTTCTCGTACCTATTTATAAAAAATAAGAATATTTTCAATTAAAACTAAACATATTTTTAATAGTAAAATCACCGAAAACAAAATTAAGCTGTCGATTCAAAATATGTATAAATGAATTATTTTGTAATAACTATTTTAGGTAAATATTAGAATTAATAATAATCATATCAAAGTATTAAGGTTTATTTTTATAGGTAAGAATAAAGTATTTCTGAAAAAAAAAAAATTTAAAAATGTTTCGAATTATTGAAAACGTATTAAGAATATAATGTTATAGTAGGTATTCAAAGTAGGTATTTTATTCGAAATACTACCCATGTCTGCAGCTATGGTTAATAAAAATTTGTTAAACAGGATTGGGATATGAAAAAACACAGAACAAGACGTGTAGGTACATGAATAAAATATTTATGCATTTTCAACTAATTATTGATTACATTATAATAACAGTATTTGATTAAAAATATATATAATAATATAATATAACACAAGAGAAGAGTGGTCGTACAATTGTATTTCGTAAAAATAATTAAAATCGATATGACTCAATAACTGTACAGTATATATTATATTTGTAATATATATATATATATATGTGTGTGTGTCTAGAGCCAATAAAAGATCTGTTCAAATTTTTAAGTTTTAAAAATTTGGCAAATGTTTTTTTTAATGTAAATAATGATTTACGTTTTACGTCTGTTTGCACTACCAGTCTAGGTTCTTTGATTGATGATGATAATAATAATAAAAATAATAAAAATAATAATAATAATAATAATAATATTAATAATAATAATAATAATAATATATCCCGTGTACCTTCAATATACATAAAATACAATAATAAAAAAAAAATAATAATATTATAAGATACGAGAAGTATATAAATTTGTAAATGATTATACGTACAAAAATCTATCAAATAGCGAAATAATATAATAATGACAATAATAATAATATATGCGGTTGTAATTTCTTAGATAGATTGTATATAGGTACCTATAAAGCTATAAATACATAGAAGATATTCGATTGCATAGATACCAAAATAATAAGTGTTTAGAGAAATTTTAAGTTTTTAAATATTATTGATAATATTTATAATAACGTGGGAGACACATACAATGTTGATAAATATTCATAATACTGTTATTGATCGAATAATGACGATAATAATAACAAACACAAAATGAATGCTGATCTTAATATTAACATAGTGGTACCTATTATACAATATATTAAACTGTATAGTATAAAATAGTTATTCGATATTTACAGACTAAAATTAAAAACAAAAAACAAACGCGCACATTAGACATTGTTAAGTAGGTATAATACGTATAATGATATACACATAACGGCGAGAATAAATTGCCAATCATTGTTTTTAATAATTATCTGGTTAAACAGACTCGAAAACAGCACAAAATCGGGATTTTAATTTATTATATTTAAATTTTTGAAATGACTATAGACCCGTTGGGACGAGATATGACGACATGCGTAGCCCATAATTTGTTTATTATAGCGAACATTTATGCATACAGTATACTCAACTGTGATCACGACGATCAGATTGGGAAGACGACGAACAAGAAAACGACTTGGATCCGAAGTTTTTCGTATACTAATGACGGAATCGAGTTTGAAATCGGTAAACGTCGTATGTGTGATATATATTCACATTTAACACGCGCACACACACACACACACATACACACACACATAATATATAATAGTAATAATAATAATAATAATAATAATAGGTATAGGGTTTCCGTGTTTTACATGCATCAACTACAGGTATGATACAGTTGCGTAATGGGCATAACGATTTTGGCGATGTTACGATTAAAATGTTACGTAACAACAAATGATACATATTATTATTATCATTATAGGTATACAGATCAGAGTCATATTATACATTTATACGACTTTAGTGTTTGATATAATAATAATAATAAGTATGCTACCAATTCGATAACACTATGATATTATTATAATATAGGTACCTATAACTATATGTGTGTATGTATATGATATAATATGAAAATATAGATATATCATAATATATCTCAGGCGGTAATCATTTTTCGTGATATATTATTGAGTCCGTATCATACTTAATAGCTAGGTTATGTATTATATAATATTAAATGGTATATGCGCGCGTAAACGTTACCTTATAAACGTTATTTTACGCCGTAAATTGAAATGCCCGCCTACCTAAATATTATACGTATATCGTATTATCGTAATAAGTAATAACTAATAATGTTCGACACGGACGGAACGAAAGAATAATATAATATAAAATATAGTTCATATAATATTATAACACATTTTATAAAAGAAATAAAAATGTATATAAAAAAAAAAAATCGTCGGACCCTACGTGAAAATATAATAATTATTGTAGTATAAAATATTATGTACACCTTTGTAAAATTAAGTTTGAAATATCCGTCTACAATAATATTGAAGAAATAATTGTCTAAAACAACGTAGGTATCGTCATTGTTATTATTCACTAATGTACGAATAATATTAACGTATACGCGATCCGTGTATGACGAATTGATAAGTATTGTAACAGACATAATATTTCATTTTACATATTATTTACATGATATCTACCCATGTGTATATTATATATATGCCGAATAAATAGAATTGAAAAATAAAAATGTATCGTAATATCTCATAGGTACCTAATAGCATTGATTTTAGAATGATATAGAATTCGCTGTATACTAATTGAGCCCTTAAACTTGAACGGGAAAAAAATAATATATTAATCGAGTCCCGAGTACAAACGGGACATTAGCGGAAATTATGCCGCGCGTCAAAAACCGCTCCAGATGGATGTACCTATATATATTTATCATTTATATCATTTTTATGACTTTCGTCAGATAATAATATAGTAACGTATACTCTAAATCGGGAATTTTAGATTTTATTTCTATCATCGCTAGTATAATAACAGAATTATATTCTAAAATCAATGTTACATGCTAATAGTATCATTTACGATTGGTGGTGGTCTGACCTGGTTTTTGGTAAAAAAAAAAAAAAAAAAAAATCAAATTACAATCGCGAACCTTACACAGAATACACGTTGTGATTAATTCTTTAAATATTGCACATCATATAGGTACCTCACATTTTCAACAGCGGTAATATACACATAGATATATTGAGTTCGAACGCTATTAGATTAGTTGAGCAATGTTTGGCCTGCATATGTCGTATGTATATATACAGTGGTATTTTTTTCCTGGTATGTAAAAACGACTAATATTATAACAATTATATAATTAAAAGTATGTTATGATAAAATATATCAATGAAAATTGTTCACTTTAAATGATAGCGTAAATTGTGAAAAATGTTATAAAAATATTATGCTATAGGCATATATATTTTCTATGATTTATATTTCAGGGTAGCGACGAATAGTATAATAATATATATTATATGATTTTCGGCGCTGACCGGTCGTTGGTGTTGGTTTTACGTAGTTTGATTGTTGCAAACACGTTCGTCCTGAAATAAAAATGTTAATCATTAGATGCTTATATTAATAAAAAGTGCACATAATATACTATGTAATACGTCAACTAACTAGTTGATCATGCACGGCATTGCCTATGACAAATTAACTACCCGTGGGTTTACCACTTATTTATAAACTCAATTAAATGCTAATTACACTTCATATTTTTAACACTGTCATTTCGATTGTTATGTGTAAATATAAAATATAGGTCAAAAGTTATATTCGATCATAATAGTTATTTTATTTTCTGTAACCAATAACAATAAAATGTAAACAAAAAAATATTCTTTTTTCATGAGCTAATAAATCTTTGTGGCCTACCCTTCTTTAAAATATAAAATTTCAAAAATTTTGCGTACGATAATCTATGTACCAAATTACAGAATCACGAGTACGATAAATTTGGGAGTGGGTCGCTTATACACACACAAATAATACTTTTTATTAATAATACCTGGTATTAACCATTTAATAAATTTGTATCGTTTTATGACAAAATCGAAACCCAGAATCTACTTACAAATACAGTAGCATTGTTATAGCAGATTGAAAGTAGGTACATAATTATACGGCAGTTGGCCAAATTAAAACGCCCGCGGCTTCTTCTCTTTCGCCATTGTGCCATGCAAAGGTAAGAGGGGGGGGGGGGTAGTTGTACTCTTTACCAACATTTAATTCCTATACATTTACCTGTAAATAATCATCAGACGATTTATCAATATATTATTATATCCACTTCACATACCTTCACGACTCACGTCCTTTTTAAATGCGAGATCACTAATAATCACTTTTACTTTGGCCTATCCCTACTTGGCTTTCTTTAGAACACATTTAACTATCACGTGTTTACCTCCTTACCCGATTTCATTCCTTCTTAGAACGTGCCGGAAATCCTATTTTCCCAATACTTATCTTTATCTATAATATTAAGTTACTTTAATGTGCACATTATACAAATAATATAAGTTTAATAGTAAATAATAATATACTATATATATTGTAAATTATAAATTATTGTAATTTGATGACCGCAAGAGAAATAATTCAAGATGGGAAACAATAGAAAATGCAATATGTATTTTTTTTTATTTTTTTTTTCGAACCATTAACTTTTTTTTGCTGTGATGAAAAAGTTAAATTTAACAAAATTTAAAATACTATTCATGTTTAAAATATATTATATTCGAAATAATCTATGTATAATGTATATTATATTATATAATTAATAATTATGTACAATATTCATTGTACGTATAACGTATATATAACTAGAATTTTGAGTTGTCGTCAAGTTTTTTTTTTATCTTGTGTGTAGTTTTGGTTTTGTTAACTTATACTTGTACATATATAATGGATATACTTTATTTACATTTAAAGTTTAAACATAAAAAGCAAATACTTTCTAAGAATAACAAACGATCGTAGTATGTATTGTACGAAGTACGTATAGTAACCATTAAAATAAAATATTGATTTTTCATTTCAACAATACAAAACATCATACAAGACAACACGATGGCCGTAAAAAAATGTACCTACATTTAATAATTGCTTTAATAGGTTTTAAAGTTTAAAACATTGTGATGCAATTTTTCTTTGTTTTTACAGCACTGTTATTGTGTGGTTTTATTTGCGGACCACTTTGTCCCGTTCAAATATACCAAAACTAAACAAAACAAACTAACTCAAAATGGTATAATGCATCTTTTTATTATCAATAGAACAGCTTGTAGCTCGATGTCAGCTTAAAATAAAAAAATAGATAAAACAAAAAAAAAACATTGAATAAAACAGACCATTATGCGTACTGAATAAATATCGGGCACACATAATATTATCATTTTTATGATGTATAAATAATAAGTAAAGCTATATACTGCATTATTATAGTTACTTCCTACTACTCGTACTACTAGTACTAGATGTACTCATACAACTATAACTATTTACTACAAATAGAACACTACTGCTACTTTAACTATTATACCAAGACTCATAAAATGTTTGCTACGCTTGCTAGGACTTAATTGATAACAGTAATTGCGTTAAAGTTCGCTGTTTGATCGTAAGTCAGAATTTGTATCGGATAAAATAGGACCGTCTGGTCTTGCCACGTACAAATTTATAGATACCGGTGTAAAACTACATCATCTGCTTATAACGAGACGCACCTTAACCGAATTATAAAGACCATTTGTTTACCAACACTCCTCCGCCAACATCGACTCCGTCTATAAATCAACTGTACAAATGTATGATGTCGCGTGGTTATTTATATAACGAATGATAAATAGTGCAATAAATAATAGTAGGTATCTACTTAGTACTTGGTAATAATTTTATAGATTTGTCGAATTCTTAAAATATACGCATATTATAACAAAAATATAAATAAATATTCTCGTTATACAGCTTCCCTATATAAAATATTTATAAATTATTCAGATTGCGAAGTTTCATAAAAAATTTCAGTCAAGCTGATAACTTTTCTTAAAAAAAAAAGATTTTGAAATGGATAATTCCATAAATTTTAAAATTTTACTCTACATCAAATATTTGTTAAGACTAGTGGCGAAAAAACTTAAGTGGATAAGAATAATTCAATCGAAAAACAAGATATGTGGGATTCAATTTCAAGAACACAAAAGAATGAGCCTATAAGAGAAATAAAATAATAGTTTAACACAATAGAAAAAATAAATATATATTCAATCTTAAATTCCTAAAATATTACAACATTATTTGAAAAAATATGAAATTTTTCTAATATCATTCTAAATCATTTTAGATTTAAAGAGTATGTGATGATCCACTTAATGTGAGTCACGAGTACTTGACAGATTCGTCATTTATTGTGGGAAATCATTTGATAATTTCATGTTTAAATAAACACAATATCTAAAGTGAACCGAGTAAACATTGCTCGACTTTGATTATTTCTCGGTATTTCATCAAAACGAATGACAGTTGTAATAATAATATTATATCCGTTTCGGATGCACGTTAAACGTGAGAAAATAATTGCACAAGCCGTTAAATTTCCGTAAGTAGATTCGGACAATATTTACAAGTATTTAAACCGTATGTAATTGAACGTATAATTCCGCAAAAGATTATTCATTTTATTATTTTAATGTGATGTAGATATATTAGTATATTATCACGAACCGTAAAATTCTGGAATTTAAATTTATATCAATAATATTTTGCTCCAATATATGTGTTAGGTATATATTTTGTACCACTATTGCAGTGCGCAATGTTTCGGGAAATAAACTTAGTAGGCATAATAATAAAATTGTCGACTTCGCAGGTAATTAAAAATTATTATTGTGTTAAATATTAACACATGTGTTAAACACTAAACAAATATTACTATTGTAGCTTATCTTGTACAGCGTTGCCCGTAGATTAATATTTTCTTAAACTCCGTTAACTGTAATTTGCACAGATTTTTAACGCAGTTGTTTAGGTTGTTTGGGAAAAATATAGGATTATAATTATTGTTATACCCAATCATAATAAATATTTTATTCTCTACGACTGATAGAAACCATATTATATAAATTAAAAAATCGATAGTTTTTCTTTAGACAACTTTATTCATTATTTAATATGTTTGTATTGAAAATTAAAAATTTTCCAACGGATTTTTCTAAATGTGTTGATGAAAATTTTGTGAAAATAGATCGAAAACTGTGAATTTTTCAAAGTGTCAACCATTTTAGGACTTTAAGATATTTGATTTTATCTAGTAGATATATTTATTAATTATGGCTAATCCTGTATGACGTTGCTTGTGACAAATTAAGTAATGCCCGTGAGTTTAATCTGTCTTAAATACCGTTAAATTTTAACTATACCTACATGTTTTTAATACATTGATATGAGTGGTCTGACAAAATGTAGTTCTAAAAGTATATCTAATCATAATTAGGTACTGTTGAATTTTCCGCGACCTATGACAACTCTACATAAACAAAACAACAATCGTTTTTCGCGAGCCAACAAGTCATTGTATCTCCATAAAATATGAAATTTAAAAACTACATGCTCCGAGGCACACATCCTCGATTATGTGATTACCCACGTATCGATTACGCGCGCCCGCCAACAAGCGTTGTCTTTCATTATATTAAATAGATATATTATTATCATGTGGATGTGCACACACCGACGATAAGTCGCACGGTTTTTTTACCTTTGGCGCATCCTACTTCTTTCGCTTCTCTCCCCAGGAGTCGTACCATCCGTCGTTGTGTGCCGCGTTGATGTACTTGAACGTCTGCAGCTTGGAGCTCTCGAACCGGATGTCCGCGTCCGAGTCGTGTTGCGCGTATCCGTCGTCCGCGGTCGCGGTACGGACGGCTGGCGGCGGTGGCGGAGGTGGCGGCATCATCATCACCATGGCCGCGGGCTGGTGATGGTGCGCGGCCGACGGCGATTGACCGTTCGCGCCGCCGGCCGTCTGCTTGATCAATCGGGTTCTGGGCAATAGGCTGGCGGGCGCGGGCGCCGATCGGACGTTCTTCAAGTGGTCGTCGACCACGATGCACGACTCGGAGTCGTCGCCGCCGCCGAAACTCGACGAAGACGATCTCCTGCTCCGATGTTGCTGCTGTTGCTGCTTACGATTGTCGTACGTCATGCGCCGCACCGTCGACGACCCGCCGCCGTTCATTATCGTCTGGCTGTCGTCGTCGTCCCCGGCTAGGTCGATGTCCCGGCACGAGGCGGCCACCGTAAACTTCTTGTTGGCGACAGGCGTGCCCGCCGTCGATTTGTTGTTGTTGTTGCTGTTGTAGTTGTTGTGCTGCTGCTGTTGTTGCTGTTGCTGTTGCTGCTGCTGTTGCTGTTGCTGTTCTTCTGCGTCTGCGGCGTTCACGTCCACCAGCGACCTGTGCTTCCACATGGACATGCCGGCCAACAGCCCTTCGTCGCTCGCGCTGGACTTCTTAAATTTCCACATGGACTTTGTCCTCTTGATCTTCTTGCCCTGCGCCGTGAACCCGTCCAAGTCGTCGTCGTCGTACGCCGAATTCGCCTGCCTCGACGGTGACTGACCATCGCCGAACGACGACAGGTGACCGACGCTAGTGCTCTGCCGCATCGTCGAAGTGCCCGTATTCCGCCTTCCGGTATTCATCCCTCCACCGCCGCCGTTGTACGACGACTTCATCGTGCCCGTCGTCGTCGCCGTCATTGTCTGATTCTGATGATGACCTTGACGGTGGTAACCGCGGTCCTCTTCGGGCGATCTGTAAGCTGCTGCTGCTGCTGCTTGTTTAGAACGCGTCGTCGCGTCTTTCTTCGAATCTTTGACCATCGTTCTGGTTTAAACATCATACTCGGTTACTATAGGATGCGCTAATATACGCGTTAGCACCACCGACACCACAACCAACACAGTCATCACCATCACCGTATATCGCAGACACCATGAACAACCATTTAACATAACCATGGTTACTTATGTCTTATAGGTACCATGCAGTTACGCGTTTAGCTACGAGTCCAAGTCCTCGTATAAAATAGTATAACATTAGAAGCGCCTTCACCAATCGCGCAGGTTAATTTGTGTTATTGCTGTTATTACAATAATATACGTAATGTTATAAAATAGTATTGCCGATTGGTCGAAATTTGACCAGAAAAACAGTTTTAATTCTAAAATCAATACGCTCTAAAATATCGCATTTTTTGAGCACATACGAGCACATAGTTTGCAGATTCCTACCTATATCGGCGTTTGTGCTTCTCCGCTTTTTATTTATATGAAAGTTTTATATGGAAAAAAAAAAATATTGTAGTTTTCAGTCTTTAAACTACAAACATATGGACTTTGGCTTTTGATTTACATTCGAATAACAAACAATAATTTTCTTTAGTTATATAAATTAGTTAGGTTATTGCTTTTCATATTTTGTATTAACCAACTTTTAAAGAGATATTTTTTTTTAAATTCTGCTGTATTCCTTTATAAATATATATAAATATATATTTTGAGCAACTGCTCTACAATACCTTTCCAATAATTTATCCATTTTCTCCTACTATGTATATAAGTAAAATAATTAGTTCGATGAAAAAAAACTTGTGTATTAATATAAATTATAAATTGATTTATTTTTTGTTTATATCGTGATTAATACATTTTGATTTTTGAATTATGCTATTTGTGTTTTCATCACTATATTAATTTTGCTGTTTAAAGACGATTAAAAACAGGTACGGTTTGTTTTAGTTGTGTACTCGTGTTATTGTAATTTTCCTTATGGCATCGGTAATTTATATGAATTGATTTTACAGTTTATAAAATAGAAACGCCATTAGCTGGTAACGAACACGTGGGTATTATTTTCGTTTATAACTATCCAATAAAAGTTTATTGACAATCACTAATATTGATAAAACGTCATGGGGAATATATTAGCTCGAACAGAGTGTATATTGTTTTAATACATAAAGCGACATGTGGAAATGAGGTTATTGGTTCACGTCTACATAATCTGCACGAGAAAATTATTCTATACAGTTTTAATAAGCTTAATATACAAACGCCAACAGCTTGATTGTAATTGGATTTGGTTTAAATATTAATGTGTTAATTTTTGTTATTGTTTTAAATTAAAAATACTAAAGAAAAATAAAATACTAAGGAAATATAGTTGAAATATTATATTTTATTTATTTGTCAATTAGTTATACGTGTGTAAGCACCGCCAGATTAGGTATAACAATAAATATTTTAAATATAATATCATATTATTATTGTTAATCGGTTAAAAATGTATTCAATACAAGCTAAATCAAAGAAATTCTACAGATAAACCAATATTTAATGATTAAATAAAAAATTTTGATTTGTGTTTTATTTGATATACCAAGTATATTTTTTTAATTATCAAATGACATGATAAATAAATATTTTTAAATTATAATAAATGATACCAGTATTTGTTGTTAAAAATTACAATCACTATATATTTAAGTTTTATAATGCATAATACACATTACATATTTTTTCATCACCTTTAAGAGGTAGTATCAGTATTTTTATCTTCAAATTTGAAGATGAATTCTGGAAGTAAATCGTAATTTGGTGTATCAAAAGTAAAAATTTGAATAAAGTAGAATTTCCGGTATTTTTAAAAATATTGAGAAAAACAAACTAATACTAATTACGGGAAAATTAAAATAATTACTAAAAATCAGTTTTCATTGCAATTAATTAATAAATAACTGCAGATACTTAAAATTTTTACATAATATTTTTAATAATATTATATAAGTAATAATGTATTATCCAGTTATCAAAATATTTCAGATTTTCTATAAACGATATCAAATCATTTTCCATGGTCAAAAGCTAGGAAATGTAACTCAAGGTTCTTTGTAAGTTATTCGGACAGTATTTAAAAAAATATAAATATGTTAAGGTATAATATAATATTATATTATATGCAATATTGTTGTAAAAAAATCAACCAATCCACTGTCTTATTTATACAAAAAATGTAATTTATAATTATAATATAAATAACTTATAAAACATACCAAGAAATGAGATTATCAGAAGACTGTCCCCGCTCAAAATTGTTTTCTTAAAAAATTATTTTTTATTGAATTACAACTTAACACATTCATTACATTGACCTATTCAATGATGAGGTACGTTACTCTATTTGGTAGGTACATATTATATATGCAGCAGTAACTTTTTGGTTTTTTTTCTTAAGTTTATTTTATTGATTATCAACAATTTTGAGATATGTATTCTATCAAGTAGATTAGTTAATGTTTGAGTTTTGCTTAATTTTTAATCATTTTTTTTATAGAAGCTATTATAATTACATAATATTAGATTCGTACTTATTCATTCAATATAAATAAAATTAAAATAATATTATTTTTTATTGTTCGGTTTTCGTTAGATTTTTTCAATCTAAAATCATAAGTATAGTATACTGTATACTAGTTGTTGCATGCATGTGATAATGTTAAGCGATACACTAAAGCTATTGTGACAATAATTACGATAATTTAATTGATAGTTTTAATATTTTCTATTACCTTGAGTTTTCGTCGTCTGAATAGTCAATTTCGGGTGCCGGTGGTGGATCATTACTGAAGCCACTATCATTGCTACTGTGCAGGCTCGCGTTTCCATGTTGGTGGTGGACTCCACCGGTTCTCTTGTCAACTGCATTTGGTTTTCCGGGTGCTGGTGGTAATGTCTGTGGTGGTGGTGGGAAAAATGCGATCGGTGGAGGTATGTGCCCGCCATATTGTCGGGGCACTACGGGAGCTGGAACCGATGGAGGTGGAGGCCCGTGCTGATTGATCCCGTAACCATTTGATCTACTGTTTGCCCTGGACCGTGCCTACGTGAAAACAACGATATCGTCATGATAGTTATGAAGTATAGAATTATTTTATGATAATGAGTTACTTGGAAATGTGTATTTTTATAGTAAGTAACACCGTGGTCGATTAAGGAAATTTATTAGCCTGTCTTAAATGTGGTACAGTTTTAAAATAAATTTAGTGTAAAGTATAACTTTTAGCGCAAAGTTATAATTGAGTTCTAAGAGGTTGCCAAAATAAGTACAAGTATAAATATGTCGCTGAGTACATCAGTGTATAAGTATTCTTTAAGACTTTGGCAGTACGATAGAACTATGAAAAGTGAAATAAATTGTTTAGAAATGACCTTACCGGATATGGATTTCTGTGAGACAGAGAATCGCCAAATCTTGTAAGTGTTGTCGTTTGATAACGGTTTTGTTTGCCAATCGTTGCTGATTCACTTCTGTTATGGTTCGAGACGATAGACTGACCCATAGAGTCCTTTCGTCGATATGACGATGGCGAGTCACTGTATACACACACAAAATAAAATAATAGCAAAGTTAAATATTATATAACCATTAATATAGTCACAGAATGTTTTCATTTTAATTAAACACTCACGAAAAGACCGAGTCGTCCACTACGGGTTCGGTATATGTTAACGGGAACCAACCACTGCATTGAGTACGTAAATTTTCTCCAAATTGCCATCCTTTGTTTCGTTCTCCTAAAACGTACAGTGTGAAATTTTTAATTACCTACATAGCATGAATTTTTAAATATTACACTTACCTGATATAGCGATGGTGTCTCCTTCGTGGAAACTTAGTTGATTTTCACCGCTTGACAGATAAGCATGTGTTGCTTGTACGAGATTAGCACCTTGAGATTCCCATCCATTATCGACTACTGCCATAGACTTTGGCCTAGATCCATTATTTCCCGGACTCGAACCGTTTTCCACTAAAATTTGACAATAGTTTTATTAATGAAATTTGACATACGTGACAATTTAACTTAATAATAAATAAATTCATATGGCTTCATTTGATATATATATATATAATGGAATATTATAAATCAATATTGAAATATTAATACGTTTTCGAGCTTGTTGTGAGAAAAATCAATAAATGTAAATATTCTAAGTCAGCAGTAGTAACGACTGAATTCTTAATCATGGGATAATTTAAATTTTAGAACCATGATGAGCTGAAACAATGCTTAGGGGCGTTTAAATTAATATGTATATTATATATGTCATACAAATACCCGGGGTGATCAATATATATGAATAGGTGTAATACACAATTTAAATTATTAACACTGAACCAATTTCAACATAATTTACATATATATATATATATATTGAACACCTTGATAATATTATAATAATATATTTTATGAATACATATCATATATAGTTATATACTTCTGTTCAAAGACTGCGATGATGCGTTCAAATTGAAATCTGATTTGGCTCTGGAAAGCGGATAATTTAAAACCGGACTGGATATATCATTCAGGGCTCGAACATCCAAGCAAGACGCATCCATTGATTTCGTTTTTCTCAATTGCGATGACAGTGAAATCCTATCGTCATCGATTCTTGGAGAACTAATATCATCGTCCAACCAGAAACTTACTTGCTATAATATTCACATTCATAGTATAAATTAGTAAGTCGAGATTTATAGTAAATCAATTATTTTTTCTGTAAATAATTTTAATTTACTCGTAGTTTTGTTGCAAACATAGTTTCAACAGATTCTGGCAATCGTTCCCGAGACTTAGCTACGTCGAGCCAATCATTAAGATGTTCATCGTACATTGACTGAGTGTTTGTATGATACGCTAAACAGTGTTTAACCAACGAACACTGTCTTTCTAATACAAAACCATATCTACGCCTCTCCTGTGTCATAGCCTTGTAAATAAAAAATTACACAGTATTTCAACATAATTTTTCAATTGCTATATCATTTGAAATTGTATTGTACAATAATACTAACGTTTTTCAAACTTTGTTCGCAAAAGTTATCCAATTTATTTTTTTCTTCTTCTAGGATTTGCATAGTCTGTAAAAAAAAAAAAAGATTAAAACCCATTGTAATAATGTTTATCTAAAATAATAACGATGAGTATTATTCAGATGTATTATATAGAGGATTTGATTTTGTTTTGTTTATGTAAATCCGTTACAAACAAAACATTTTGCACGTTGTATGATATTTTTGCATAGCAATAACGTGAAAATAGTCCATGGTATTTTATAAAACGAAGTGTGTACTTTTCAAACAATGAGCATCTTCAATGGGCTGGTAATAATTTTTATCTCCCGACACATTTGGGCTTTACGGTGCCAAACAAATAAAAACTCAGCAATAATACATTTGAATAATCATAGTTTAACCTCGCCAATGCGTACATTTATATAACTATATATAGTGACGGTTGTTGTACACATTTTACATTAAAAAAGTAAACAACAACCCCCAATCGAAATCCGCGACATTTATTATGTGTTATATTTCACGACAGATGTTTGGTCAAGCATTATCTTAACATCAAAATCGTTAAATTTATTTCTTTAAATATACCATGCCAAGAATAAAAATAAAATATAAAATATAGATTCTCATATTTTTATACTAAGGAACATATAAGTATAAAAATAAATAAAATACACCTCTGTTGTTAGAGTTCTTATAATACTATTTTTTGTTTACCAATTGATTGAAAACAAAAAGTCAAATTGTGTTGAATTAAGTTAAACTGAGTTAAATTATACATAATTTAAGGGTTTTAAATTGTTTAGCCAAAAATAATAAATACATAACTGTAATTTAATAACTAAAAAACGAATATAAAGTTTTTAATAAGTAGGTAAATATTAAATATTTATTGTATTACCGATAAGCTAAAACAATAAATGTTACCTTAATTTCTTTATCCATGGCCAATCCTGCTTTGGGTCCAACCTTATGTTTTTTACGACACTTTTTCATAGCCGATGCAGCCTTGCTATAACTTTCGGATCTTTGTTTATGTTGTTGTAAAAATCGTTTTTGTTCAGACTGAAAATAAAATGATATTATTAATAGAAAATAAAAGTACAATTTTTGTTATTTAAATTTCATCTGATAACAGCAAAATGGTACCAAGGGGTTAATCAGCGGTCTAAACTAACCAAAAGGGTGGATTATTTATTGGACAAAGCCATTTTATTTGCTCTACTCACCTCGTAGTATGGTAAAAGTGTATATTATAATATACATGTTATATACGGTCATATATAATACACATATATTTGTTATTCCGTACAAAATATCAGATACGCATTATTATTATAATATGCATTTTTTCACTTTTACTTTTAATGGTACCCATGAATTATAGTAATCGAAACAGAGAAGAGGGGACAAGAGAAACGAATTAACCGAATACTGATACTAATATTACTCATTTTAGTCCGCAAAATTTCCGATGGTTAAAAAATTACATATCGTAACAAAACTCAAAAGTCAAAATCCATCCATTACGTTATAAAAATAATTTATGCATGTATATGGTACTGTATATTTTTTGTTTTTTTTTTTTTTTTATCAATATTTTTATAATTACATGAGTAATTCTGTAGCAAATTATATTTTACCTGTACTACTTTGGTATCTTTTTCAAGATTTGTCTCCAACGGCACTAGTAAATCCACGTAGAACGCTTTCAGCTAAAAGAAATAAGAAAACAGTATTAATTTATATGAGCTGTATGAATAATGACTAACAGAATATTATTATTTAAACACTCTTCTAATAATACTATTAAGTGTATTTTTGATTTAAAATTACAATTATATATTGTTTTTGTATGATACGTGAAAGTAACACCTTTTACATATTACTTTTATTTTATATTAACGCAAAACATCATGTGTAACTGATGTCTCAATTAAAAAAATAAATAATAATAATATTAATAATAATAATACAAATACAATTGCTAATTCCCTTATACATATATCATTGTAAAAAAAATTTACTTTTTTTTTGTACTCAATATGCTCATTGAAATATTATATACACAATATTGACAACAAATCAGACTTGTATTTCAAATAGTGCATTGTTTATTGATGCATTAAAATGTATTGTACAATAGGAATGGTTTAATAAATATTGATCCGAGATTCATGACATAACTAGAATAATAAATAATATTATATACACGAATGGTTTTATTTGAATACTTTAGCGCATATTACGAAAATTGATTGATTAATAATTATTCATTTTGTACAAAAATAAAATATTTGTTTATCACCGAACAATATTGTGATATACTGTTTAGCAATCTTTACAATCATAATTGATTATATAATATACAATAAAATACACGAGTATAATTATATATACCTGTATATTAGTTTTAATCATGTTATTGCTTTAAGTTTATTCGAAACAAGTTATTTGATACATTAATAAAATTATTATTATTTTTTAATCAATCATCTATTAAACGAATTAGTGTCAAAACTTGACTAAAATTTTAATAATTTTGTACACAAAAGTTTAATAATTAGTTTATACGCAAGAAATGTATAGCTGTGTTATGTACACTACATATTTTATTTTATTATGTAATTTTTACAAAAAAAAAAAAAAAAATGATAAAAGACACAAGTTGATATAATATTTGTTAAACTGATATAACTGTCTATGGAAAAATAAGAACTTCGCCGAAAAATAGTCATTAAACAAATGGTGAAGTATCCAAATGGTTGGTTTAGGTATTGTTTTGAAACAATTTTATACGATATTACGTTTTTACCTTCTTGATATACCAAGATTCAAATGAATGTTATTTTTTTATCCCGATAAACATACATTAATATTATCTGTTCTATAATTATTACACTTCGTTAAATTTAAATTCACATATATTTTAGAACGAATAGATTATTGTGATATAAAACTATAATAAACCATAAAATGATTTTAATCGTATCAGTAACTTTATTGCGAAAATGCATCTCTAATATGCCTATTGGATACAAGTATTTTAACCGACGGGAATTTGAAACTTCAAAACCAAATGAACTGTTTGTAAGATTTTGCGGTTGATTAATGCGCAATTCTAGTATAGGTAATATTATATTCAACAGTTTAAAATATATAGTAATATATTAATGCAATAAGTATTGCAAATATTATTGTAAACAAACATTATTAAATAATTGAGAACGGTCGAATTTACAATTATTACGAATATATGAGAATTTTAGATGTAATGTAGAATGTTTAATATTGATGCAACTAAATCGTAAAAATAAATTTTGGATTTTGGGCAGAGGGATGAATGTATTAATTTTATAATGATGTTTGTATGTGTGTGTGTATTTTTTTAAATGTTTATTTCAATTTTTTTTTTTCAAACGTCCTAAAATTTGTGGTGGCTTTTAATGATTGGTACTTTGAGCAAATAAAAGTAAATTTTATAATTGGGTAAAAAAAGTTAAGGAAACACGAGGATTTTCATGCCAATCCAATTTTTGACAAAATAGATATTTTTATTTTGATGTAATTAAAAAACAAATAAGTAACCGTAAATAATTAAAATTTTCATTAAATGTTTTTATTATCGTTTTTTATTTACGATATAATATTTTTAAAATTTTTCTAGTATTTTTGAGCTATATATAGATATGATACATTTTTAAATTTTTTTTTTTAATTTATACTATAAACATCGATTAAAATTTATTCACTAGGTAAAAATTGTTGAAAATTTTATATAAAGCTCCTCATACACTTATTATTTCTTAATTAAAAAATATTAAAAATCTATAGTCACAATTTTGTTTTTGTATGTATTCAAGTTAAAATTTGTCAAAATTTATAAAATAATTTCTTTTTATATTTCAATTTTGAAAATTTAATAGAAGAATTCTTATAAGTAGTATAATACTAAAATCATAAAATCTAAAAATATATAAATCCAATAATTTTTAATAGGCGTTAGGTTCAAATTTGGAAAAAAATTGCTTTTATATTTAAACGAAAAATACTGATTATTTTACTATAAGTAATTTAAAAAAATTATTCGGGGAACTTTTACATGTATATTATTTTATAATGAACTTAACTATGTATATGTATAATATATAATATATAATGACATTTTCGATTTATTTTAAGACATTACCTATTTATACTATAAACCTATTTTTATTATTTTTTTGGTATTTACAAAAAGATGTTACCACAATTTTGAGTTATACAAGTTGATATAATACGGTACAAATATTTATAATTATAATAATTAAATATTAATAAATAATAATATAATAAATGTAATATTTTCGGAAAAAAATATATCAACCTATCGTAATACTAAAAGTTAATTAAATTATTTTAATAGCTATATTAACAAAAACATTTAATACCATTTTTAGCTGTATTTTTATTTAAATCGTCTATTTCAAAGCTGAACAATATATAGTCTGAACAAAAACAACCGATGCAGGCATCGGACTACGAGAAAAATTTGTCTCTCTCACAGCCAGCCGACGTGTATCGCAAATTAAATCGAAATCTACTGACCACGGATGGAAAAAAAAAAAGAGGCATACTCGGACACAGATACACATACTCAGATTTAGAGAAATCGGAAAAGTTTAATACAATCCGAATGTTTTCATCTATATATATATAAAATAATTTAATAATATATTATATGAACAAGGTTCAGACTGTTGCCATATTGTGTTTTTACCCTCGCCGCGCCATCATTTCCGGATATACAGAGTAGATTACCACGGCATTTTTTCGTGTTAGCTTAAAACGATGAAACACGTCGAATCGCCCTGTATACACAAAATATCCTTCTTTTGGGCGAGTGCATTATCAAGAAAAAATAATAGAAAACGTGCATAGCGTTGGACGAAATATTGAAAAAATAAAACTTTCTGCGACTATTTTTCCCCTCCGTGACGCCAAACACCGCCTTCATCGTCGTAATGGCGACGGCATTCGAAGTCTTCTGTATGTTCAAAAATTATAAAAACCATGACGATGCCACGTGGCTACAGTCTTGTAACGTTACATTTAATATATATAGTATATATAGTAGTGACAAATAGATTATCGAAAAACTTTGTATGATCGATAAAAGTTTTTCACCGCACAAAAGTTCGAGCCGCGTATACAATATATATATATATATATATATATTTACACACTATATACACTATATACACACAGTTCGATGGAAAGTCGATATGATATACAACCCAAGTCCAATCATAATATGATATAACCTATGGGTGATAAGATGAGCGCGTAATACTACAAAATATAATATTATACTGCAGTAATATGTCCCAAAAGCATCATACATCCATATATGTATCTCCATGGAAAATCGATATATGTTCCATCAATAATTTATATAAAAATATTTTATCTCTTTTTTTTCTTTTCAAGATTTTATATACTTAATAATTAATTATACTTATTAACTAAAAGTTATAGAATCCATAACTCAAATGCACAATGAAAATAAAAAATTAAGTTTCATTTTGAATAATTATTAAAAAAAATCAATTTAAAATGAGTAAAAATCTACATGGTAAAATAGATAATATATTATGTAACTATCAGAAGTGCAAATAATAACAAAATATTAAGATTTAATCAAATTACTGTTTAATATAGAATGTATGCACTACCTATGCATAATAAAGTTAAATAGATTTACAAAAATAAATTTATATCAAGCATAATCGATACGTAGATTTGTCATACTATATAACTATATTATTAAAATAAAATTTATCTGCCAATATTTCAATCAGTTATAAAACGAGTTATAATAACATTATAGTGCAAATAACATTTAAAAAAAAATAAATAAATCATTTAAAAATATTTTATCGAGTTGCAATAAAAATATCGTTAAGAATATACAGGCAAAGCGTTTGCGATTTGAATGTTATATAGTTTGAAAATATGTCAATTTACTTAAGTAGTATTGTATAAGACGATATATTAGTTAAATTGGTACTTAAATCTTGTAATTAAATTATGAGTCCAAAACACATTTGGTGGTCTACAACTAGAATTATATGAACTCGGTTTGTAAACTCTTAAATTCATATTAGAAATTTGTAATATTTAAATACGATTTGATTTTTGACTGTTTGGACAGACATTTCCGTACTTTAAATTTTTGAAGTAAAACAATTTTCGAAGACAATACTAATATTTTTTACAAGTCAACAAAATTACATCATAATCATAATCATAATTTAAAATTGATTATAGAAAAATGAGAAACTATTTTTTAGCAAACAGTTTTTTTTTGCATAACTATATCTGTAAAAAATATATAAAGTTAGTATATATCAAACATTCATGTCTTACCCTTAAATAAAATATGTATCAGAATCTTTTTCAGGGATGATTGGACTACGCTTTTAACGATGATTTATAATTATTAATGAGCATTACCTACTCAATCACAATAATATAAATATTTATGCATACATAACTTTGCGAACGCCCTTATTAATTAGTAAAGTTTGAACATTGATGTATAATTAATTTTGTTTACTGTTTTGTAATTATATATTGTTAGCATAATATATGGAAACTTAAATCAAACAATCAAAGTTAAGTTTGTATTTATATAACCATCACTAATCACTTATTAAATGCGATAAGTGTAACGGTGTTTATTAACGTAGTTATAACTTATAGTAAAATATTGAAGTTGAATTGTTATTTTGTAAGTTTTCTTTATAAATAGGAGTATACCATATATTTGAATTATACATTATATTATATTCTTATTATCAGTTATTTTACAAAGAAATACATTGTTTTTTGTATATTTAATTAAGGAGGTCAAAAATTATAATTATAGTTTAATATTAAGATGTGATATAAAAAAATATGAGCTGTGATTTTTTTTTATAGTTTTAATATAATTTAAAACTTTTGCATGTAATATACACATAAATCAGGTAAACACCTTGTTAAAACAATTTAACACTTTAAGTCTATACATTTTCATAAATAATATGTACCTACATTTTGTTTTACGTACCATAAAATACTTTTAAAATTTTTATTCGAAAAAAAAAAATTAACGAAAAACAGTTTAATTACCTTTGTACATGATAGTAGGCGTTAGACTAATATAAACTACACGTTAAATTATTATATGTTATGATTGTTTATACCATTTAAACGGCTAAATGTTATATGATGATAACTATCAGATTGCTATGATCGTTATAAAAATGAATAATTATATAGTACGAGTATATACCATTAGCTAAAATACAGCCCATACTATAAACCTATACTATTAACTTTCTACGATTTTCGCTTATATAGTTCTACCAATTTATGATATTGATTCTGTTCATTTTTACGTCTGTTTAGACCAGTTTCTCGAAAACGGTTGACATTATACCGAACAGAAAGTGCATATGTTACGAAAGCACGTTCCGTATATTATATTATACTCTTATGCTATATTTTTATAATTATATTTAGATGCTTACTTTTATTAATAATAAACAGGACATAATATATGGGCATGATTATTATATCATTAGAATGAAAATTAATAATTCATTTTTAAATAAATTTAATAAAAAACGAAAGGTCGTAATGTTAAATTTGACAGTCAACCATATCATGTGTAGTGTGCGTGAAAATTAAGTAACTTATCGGTAATGTAACTGAAATACCAATTTAATTAAGTACATCAACGTCGATGCTGACCAATAGCTAAAATATTGGCTGAAAGAGTAGTTTCAGAGTGGCAAAGTGACGGCAGGATGTATTATTATGTTAATGACTGCGATGACGAGCGCGAAAACGAGGGTGGCCTATGATCTGCAGTTAGGCTGAAATTATTACTGTTGCGTGCATGCGTGCGTGTTGAGTGTATCTGTGTATATGATGAAGGGAGTGGGATAAACGCCAGAACCCTCGCATGATTATGATAATTCTCTCACTAGACGATTTACAAAACGTGAGGATGAAATCGAAATGCTTTATACATTGTTACGTAACGTTAGTCATAGTTTTTCTTTTTTTTTACTTTTCCACTGGATTTGTTTTGAGTTTTCCTTGAGAACATTTGCAAAAACAAAAAAAAAAATAAGTAAGTATGTACTGCAAAATAGCCATTATACGATAACGTTACACAGACACACGTAGTATAACTACAACTTAATAAGTGACTCATTGAGTAAATATAAGCGATGTTATTTTTGTTGAAACGGTATTTCGCAAAAAAAAAAATAAAGACATAGGTATTATGATATATTTGTAGAATGTTAAAATAAAATACATACACGTAAGATTTATATGCCGTCAGAAAACGATGTGAATAGACCGAATAATTTACATAATATAATACAAGTTCATAGAAACGTTATTTTTGCTACGGCTCATGATTGGATAAATATATTTTCAAAATATAAACAGTATTAATACGCATTACATGTTTGTTCGGTATCGGAAAAGTTTTATTGAATTTTAATTAAATATTATAAAAACATTAGAATAATATTATAATAAAAAACCCATATTATTAGTTATTCTTTAGATAAATAATGCAGCCATCCGTAAATATTGAATATACTTTTATTTGTAGGTGACTTTTTTTATTTTAATTCGTACACTAATGTTTAAATTTTATTAGTTATTACAGAATTCAATGTAATTTTTCTAACTCCGGTTTATGATGAAATATTAATTAACGGATGGATGCAAAAATAATCAATTATTCATAATAAAAGTTTATATTAACAGGTCATCGTAGTAGGATACTAATTTCCTTTTTTGATTACTCATAAGCTCTCCTCTCGATGTTCTCATTTTTTGAATATACTTTTTGCATTCACTAAAAACGCTATTTGAATCTTTTAATTTGTTATAGTTTATACATTTTGCTGACGATGAGTAAAATTAATTTTATTTTACTATTATCTGACATCAATAGTTTCGAAAATTTGTGAATTAAACAATTTTACTCTATTTAATTGACTTTTCTTGAATGCTAAATATATAATATTATCTAATGATTGAATTAAAATAGCATTTCGACCAAAAATATAATAAAGGTAAAAAAAAAGTATCATGTAATTAAAATAGAAGAAGGTATTTATAAACTATTTACTAATATTAACTTATTTGTGTTTTTAACTTACGATGTTTAGCTGTTGCGACTGAATTTCTTTATAAACCTCAACGATCTGCATAAGTGCTGAACCTGAAACGTAATTAAAAAATATTTCATTATAGATGGGTACTACATTTTACTATGACAAACGATACCCTAGAGAATACGGTATCATGGATCGTAAATTAAACTGAAGATTTACGAAGTGTATAACAGACATAGTATAGAACACTATCACGTGATGTCGTCAATTTGTTTATTACTTGCCCGGACAATCTTCTGAATTGTAAATAAAATGTAAAATTAAAATTACGAGATATCTAATTTATACTATCGAACCAGCCATTTTTATTAATTATTTATATTCTACTAACTTCCCTTTGATTAAAACTGTATCTAATTGTATTAGATATTATTGATAAATGTATCAGTAACAATTTGGTGTAAATATAAAAACTAATAATTGCTAAATAGTTTTAGTATAAGTAATTAGTTTATTAGTGTATCATAAAAAATATTATTACATGGATTAATCAGTACCTAAGCGTAATGTATGTAAATTTATGTTCGAATAATTTAATTATACTCGAATGTGTAAAGATGAATTTTCAAGTATCGTAATATTATTGAATCAATATTATGCAATTTTTTTTAATTAATATTTTAATTTAAAAAAAATAATAGTGTTTCTCTAAATATATAAGACGGCATTTTCATTGCAACTTCATTTGTTATATAATTTATGATGATAAATGTAATTTCATTTGTTATTCTAAATTAAAAAAAAAATTGAACAGGTGAATATAATTAATTTTTTTATGAAATTAAAATTTAATTCAACTTCAATTGATTATGTGCGAATAAATGCATGTACAATTTACCTAACAACTCTAACCTAATCTAATAGAACAAAACTCAGTTCCGTGCATTATAATTTATTATTTATAATAATAGTAATAATATAATTTATTGTGTTTCTTTATTTAATTTATTAGTTTCCTTAAAAAAAATAAAATATTTTCTTTGCAAAATCAAAAATATTAATATATTTTATTTTATTTATATCATCATTTATTTTATATCCATGTCAATGACGCTGAATTTTAAATACTCGTGGTTAAGTCATTCTGTAAATTATTATTATTCAAAGCTTACAGACGAATTTATATTGATTCTGCAAAATAAATTACTGGTTTTTTAATTGTTTTAGTAAGTACTTTTCATAAGCTTCAAAAGTTTCATAAAATTTACCGAGTACAAGAAATCTGATATAGATATCACATACTTTAATCAAATAATTTTAGAATCTTCGAAGAAATTAGGTCAGCTATCAGCTATCAAAAATTATATCTAATATATGTGGTTCATAAATATTTTATTCAATTTTTAAAAATCCCACAAAATTCAAAATTTCTTGGCAAGTTTATAGTTTCTTTCAGTTAAGTAATTTTTTTAAAATGTTCATAATGAATTTTCACTAATTCGAGTGAATGATCGGAATTCTTGACGCATATATATAATTCAATGTATGTCTGTATACTATAATCTATTAATACTTATTTTATAATTCTAAAATTTAAATATATTTCAAAAATAAATGTACATTAATGTTCACGAAATATACCATCATTTTTCTGCTTTTTGATGCGTTATTTATTAATCATTTAACCGTGTTATTCGATATCTATATTAACCAATTATTAATGAACCATAAATGAGCCTTAAAACCATGAATAAGAAAAATGCATAATACCTACATATTATTTTTTTAAATTTTGCTTATTATAACAAAATTGAATATTATATTATTTGATAAATATTATAAATTTCTTCAAAAATTATTATCGAATAAGAATTATTAAGTTTTTCTGTAGAAATAATAACGCTGGCCAATAGTGAAATTTAAAAACCGAGTTCAGGCATTACTAAGAAATAAATTATTATTTCAAAATTGTTTCCATTAGTAAATCAAATAGTAATCACTTTTAAGTTTAAAACATATATTTATTTAAAATATACGAATTGGTTGTCAAATGTTAACTAAGCGAATGAATTTGATTGAAAGCTCTAAAATTCAACCAAGCAAAATGGATTATCACAATTCCCCTCCCTTGATCTCTATCATTCTCTCCAGTAACCATCTAATCGCTTCTTTGGAATAGAACTTAATTAATTTATCAAAACGATGCATGTCTTAATCTTCTTTGAGTGTATAAGGTGTAAGTAAAGTAGTAGACATACATATAAAAAAATACCTTACAACTTTTAAGAGTTAAGCTCTTAAGATGTGTCTGCCACAAATTATGACAACATTAATATACTATAATATAGTTTAACACGCAAGTACTTTCTATAATGTATCAATAATAATCGATAAAAATATTAAAAAACATTTAATTATTTGAAAAAAAAAAAAAAACTATAATTCAATATGAATGATGTTAAATTAATGAAGGATTAAAAAGTAATAAAAATCATTTTTTTTTTTTTTTTAAATAAGAAAACACAGTTATACTGATTTTTTTTTTCATGTTATTTGCAATTTACTAACAACTAGTAAATATAAAATGAACATATAAATGTATGAATTTAATCGAATATTAAATTTAAAAAAATCCATTAAAAATAAAATCAATATAGGAGTAGAGATATTTATTTTTAATTATTAGGAAATTATTCTTTATTGATTCAGGAAAGTTGTCAATTATCACTATACTAATTCAAAATATTTTATAAAGGTTAGTTGAAACTTAGAAACATGTTGTATAACTGGCAACTAAAAATTATAATATAATGTATTAAGTGATAAGTGAAATTAAATAAAAAGTAATGACATTTTCTATACTTTCGCGTATACAAGTGTAATTTTATACAAACAAATATAAACATAATTTAGTGATAAAATACAACAAAAATAACAACAGTGCTATATTGCATAAACCTTTCTAATTTCACTTACTTTGTGGTTTACATACTAAACAAAAATATAACAAATGTCATGAGTTCTTTAAAATTAACATATTCTCACTACAAAATATCTAGCTTAAAATATATTTTAAGCTATAATGACCCATTTTTTTTGTTTTGGTTTTTTTTTTTTTTAAGAAAAAGTACATTATAAATCATGCATTTTAATTTTCTCTTAAATATGCGCAAAATTTAAAATACACGTATCTCCTATATTTACTTCATTATACGGTGTAATATTTTTTAAATATTTTTTCGAAACTTGCAATAGTAAAAAATATATAAGCTATGTTTGTAATCATATTTAATTTGTTCATAAATTTGCAGTATACTTCAAATATTAAAACAAAAATACAATATTTAACATTAATCTTGTATTGACAAATAAGATTAACTTTACAAAAATAATTTACCTTTTGAATTATAATAATATTCAAATAATTTAAATATTCATATTGAAACAATGTACCCATATATTAGAGGCGGCCAAACTGTTGATTGCGGGTGATTTCAAAATCTTTCATGTTAGAATAAAAAACACTTTCTTACTGAAGTCAATTCTAAAAGGTGAAGTATATTTTTAGTAGAACTCTGCTAAAAAAAATTTGGTAACCTCTGCCATATATATATTCTAATGTCTAGTAAGATAACGTTCAAGTGTATCTTTTCTGCATAAAATTCAAACGTTTTGAAAAAACCAAAACGAATTCAAAGCTACAAAAATTAATTCTGATGTCAAACAACGTTTGTGCGGAATGAGTGCACGAAAACCCGGAAAACCTACATAATATTATTGTACTACTCGTACATTATTATTATATATAGGCATCGTGTGATAATCAAAGCTCTTTTTCTAAAAAAGCACGTCTATAAGAGTTGATAATATCATGAAAATTATTACAGGGGTTACGCACGGTCATATAGAGAGGTTTTCTTTGAATATCTATTATACCTAAGTTTAATTTATTTTTCTTGACGATGTTTGTGAGTGTTTTTTTTTATGTTAGAAGGGGGTTAGGTTATTTTTATTACACGCAACAAAACATGACAATAACTTCGTAAAGACATGACAGTCGACGGCATATATATAATATTGTTTAAACTCTAAGTGTTAAAACATATTACGTACTACGTAATACGTAGGTATATAATATCATATTTGACAACCTGACAACCATCGTACTGCATAAAAAGACGAATCGACCGTTTTATTTGAGGATGAAGGAATAATTTGTTATGTTATAATATATGCACCACTCGTAGATTTTTTTTTTTTACATCTATATCAAAACAAGATAAATATATTTTTATTATTATTGTTTATACGGTAGTTAAATATTATTGTTTGACTGCGGCTGTAAAGCACACGGTAATTATTGTGTGTTTCTCTAATAATTGTAACGTAACATATTCACGCAACGGATACAAATAAAGAAAGAAAAAATAATATGCGGAGAGAAAGATTTACGAATGGGTCGAGACAAATATCTTACGACTGGGTCTGCAAAACGATTTGTCCGAAGACGACGACGATGACGACGATTACTCAAACCGGACGAACCGCAATTCACCGACGCCACCGGAACGAAATTTCGCACACCAACCTCTTCATCATGTGGCTGCCCTCCTATTCGCTGTCCGTATCTCTAATGTCGAGACGTCGTCCTGGGGCGAAACATAAAAACTAGACCGGCTCTAAACGCTTGTATCTATTTGTTATAATTTTCGGACTATTCGCCTTTTAACCTTTTATGTATATACCGTAAAGCGTATCATAGTATGTGTGTGTTTGTCAAGATTCAAGCCAGAGTTAGATATATATACCTACACCGACGGATGACCGCAAAGAGGATCAAGATTTACATCTATATAAATGGCTAATGGCTTAACATCGTATCTCCGCGTTGGCGGTTTGAAATCTCTAAAAAAATTATGGATACGGACAACAACGGTGACCTACCTAAGTGTGATTTTCAAAATTTAGCTGTATTTATATTTTTATTCAATACCTATAGCGTATACAGCTGATATTAATTTAATGGATGTTTTTTAGATACTAAGTGATTAATTACTAATTGATGTTTAAAAAAAACTACTTAATTCTTGCATACTTAACTACTTGC